ATGAATTTTTGTTAAAAATTATGTTTTAAATTGCTTTTCTACACTTGTTCAGCTTGTAAATTGGCATCGTTAAAAACTGGGAGGAATATGGCAATAGATAATAATCAAGGAAAATGTAAAAAATGAATAAAATGAATTTACTTTAAAAAAGGGTTCAAAACATAACTTTGTCATTTATTTGATAAATGTTAAAAAGAAAAGTTAATAAATATATTTTTCAAATGGTTTATATTGTATTACTTTAATGTATTTCAACATTTTATTGTATTAGGCTTTATGGGCGCTTCGAGCCCATCTTCTATTTCATTTGTTAACATTTTCTCTTTCAATACATTGTAAAACAAAAACAAAAATTTGCGGATTTTATAAAAAAATTTCAAAAATTTAATTTTTTTGTATGCAAATTTTTGAAAATTCGATCATCCATTAACCTTCCCTGGGGTCACCCGAGGTCCCCCCAAAAAAATTGGGCCCTACCGGTTCATCCGTTTTGACGTTTATTGGACACAAACAAACAAACAAACATCCAAACAGACACCCAGATAAAACTGAGACACGTATCTTTATATCTATAAAACTAGCAATCTCTGCTTGAATGTCCGATAAAGCAAATAATAAATTAAATGAATTCCTTAAATTCATAAAGTTTACAATAAATACCTTATTTTGAACCTACTTAGATGTAAACACCAAATTGGGATGTTTTTTTGTATGTTGAATGGGTTGACCAATTAGATTTAGCTTTCAGTGTTATAATGTTTAAATTTGTAAAAACTGTGCGCCACAAAAAAATCAGGCTGATATTTTCCGTCTGTTTGCTCGAGCTTTGAAAGCTCAGAAATTATAAACAGGTTGCTTTAATATGTCTAACTTTAATATTTCTAACTTTAATATTTCTAAGTTTAATATTTATAACTTTAATAAGACACTCTGAGCAAAAGCTGTATTGTGTATTATTGATATTTAAAATCTCTTATTCAGTTGTAACAAAGTAACACAGATAACATTTAAAGGGTTTATATTTAGGGGTGATTTCCTGTGGTAAGTTAAAGAGATTCACTACGGTGCCCTTAAATTGGACAATATGTTAAAGATAACGTCACTGATTTATTCTTGTTATATCTCTATGATTTTCTAATAGTAAAAATGTGCAAGTCACTTTGTTCAGAGAAACCATAGGTAAGGTTTCAACATTTTGAATATTTTGAATTCATGTTTGAACATTTTCACATATGAATAATTCATATTTGATCAGTTGAAGCTTTATATTTATAGGACAGCATTGTAAATCGGGATCGGAGGTTCATTTAAATTACGTTTACTAGCCCTCTCCAGTGTCCGAATTTAATGAATTTAAGCCGCGTCTCCAATTCCCCAAAAACCAGTTTTAATTGAGCGCCGGCTTAAATCTTGAAAAATTCAATACAAAATTAAATGGAACCACCAAAATTTGAATAATTAAACCGCGTCTCAAATTCTTTAAATTCGGCCTCAAGATAAATAAATCTGACTACAAACTAAACTACAGACTAGTACAGAAGATTTACAAAGGAATAATATTGAGTACATCGGACAGCAGTCGATCGTAAATGTCAATAAAATTAAGACGACTTTCCATTTTTATTTCAACCTTCTAGCAATCTTTCAAACCTCAGATACACATTCACATTTAAACAAAGAGAAGTTGTCAATTAACCTAGTTTCTCTTTGTTTACTTGTAAACTTGTTATTTGAAAAATGCTTGCAGGGATCAAATCATTATTATTGAACAGTCGTCTTCAGTGTATTGATATAATCGCCTAACACTGCAAAGACTCAATTGCTTTTAGTTTATTATGCTTTTTCCTTTCTATATATCACATTTTACGAAATTTCTGAAAGTTTTGTAAATGTACGAGGATTGTGCTGTGTACGTACAGTGAAACCCTTAATAACGAATACATCGAAAGAATTCATCAAATGTCGTATTCTTCACTTTCTGATAATAAAAATGTGGCAGGTTATTAGTTTTTTAATTAAATGATTATATGGAACTCTTTAAAGCTGTTCCCGCATATTCATGGCTATTTATTTATTTTCGCAAATACTGAAATTTACGTAATATAGTATAAAACTCATTGAAAAATTGTCAAGACGACATTTGATAAATTCTTCCGATTTATTCGTTATTAAGGGTTTCACTGTATAAAAATATAAACCGCAAGCATTGTTATTTTCAAACCATATTGCAAATTATATATTTGGCAAATCATTGCAATTTTATTTACCTGGTCTCTATTCGACAAGATAAAGTTCGAAATTTTAGAACAAAATAAAAAAATTTTAATTTAAATTTTTTTTTAATGCCACTTTTTTACAATTTTTTTAAATTTAATTTTCTGTATATCTAACAGTATGTCTATATGTCAATTTAATGTTGAATTCTCTTTAATGATGAATATTCTTTTTCAGATTATAATTTCTAATAATGAATAATAATGTCATTTAATGTTGAATTGTCTCTTTTTAATGTTGAATTGTCTCTTTAACGTTGAATTGTCTCTTTAATGTTGAATTGTCTCTTTAACGTTGAATTGTCTCTTTAATGTTGAATTGTCTCTTTAATGTTGAATTGTCTCTTTAATATTGAATTGTCTCTTTAATGTTGAATTTTTTCTTTAGTGTTGAATTGTCTCTTTAATGTTGAATTGTCTCTTTAGTGTTGAATTGTCTCTTTAACGTTGAATATTGTCTCTTTAATGTTGAATTGTCTCTTTAATATTGAATTGTCTCTTTTAACGTTGAATTTTTTTTTAATAACTAATATAATTATAATTCATATTATATCAGTTCGTCTAGGGGGGGGTAACAATATTCTAGTAGTCTTCAAGTCACACACCAATAATAGAACAAAGTAGTTTAACATCTATATTAAAGAGAAATAAAGGAATAAATAACTAAAGTCTAGAGTCACAGATTTGGCACTCAGTGATGGGTTTCTCCTTTGGCTGGATTCTCCTTTGGCTGAATACTCCTTGGCTAGATACCTTCAACATGGTATCTCCTCAGGCAACATATCTCCTCCGGCAACATATTTCTTCTGGTAACAAATCTCCTTCAGCAGCATGTTGTTTTCTCACAGCTCCAATCCGTCCAAGCAGTTTCTATTCCTTTGGACAGATCCAGATTGGACAGATCCCGCCAATTCTTAGTCCTAGGGCCAGCTGGCTGGTCAACCCCTGATGATTATTTATGTAGGTCAGCTAATATAAATATAATCAATTTGGTAGCAATTATAAAGTAAATTGAACGCAAATTAAATTTTATGTTTTTACGATTAGAGGAATCAAAAATAATTCACCAACGTGCAGTCGTCTTTAAAGGTTCATTCTTTACATATGTATACGTACATATATATTCATATTAAAAGTGTTTTTTTTTGTATAAGAGGTACAATCATCAGTATTAAAAGAAGAAAAACTTAATAAACTCTAGTTTATTGATACACTCTACATATTTCTGAAAATTTCTAACTTGTTTAGTCTACTTTTTTACCCAATAATAATTTACTGGATTAATACCTATAGATGGCTAGTTTAAGTATGTTTAAGGTTGGATTAATAATACTGTACCACTTGCAACTAGTAAACATTTGAATTTCCGAGCTGGGCCAACCTAGTTTGGACTGTAATGCAAATTTACAATTACTAATGCGGCAGACCTGTGTTTTTATCTGTTAGTAATAAACCACCACCATGTGTAAAGATATATTCTCAATCGTACTTTGAATTACTGCACCCCACAGACTTCACTGAACCCTAACAATTTATATATAATCTGCCAGTCATGGTATACTCCACAAACGAGTTTATTGATCTCAAAATATTTTCACAATGCAGGATAGTCTATAAATATGGTTAGAGTTTTTTTAAAAACTTAATCAGCCAACCCCCCACCTGAGATCAATTGTGAACATAGTCAATAAGTTTTATATCTCAAATTTTGCAATCAAGCTGAAAAACTTTTCCTGACAGGCCAAAAAACTAAATCAAAAATCAAGTTTAAAAACCATTAAAAAAATTTATATTAACGTTAAATGTTTGCAACCATAGAGTAATACAACGAAGAGGTAAAGCTTAATCAGATGTCGGTCGGTCGGTTGTGTACATAACGATATGTTTACGTAACTAACACTGTACACTTGTTTCATAGAGTGTAATCGTATTTCTTTGGGGTGGTAAAATGTAGATAATTGAAAATTAGTATTGATAATTAGATAGACATTTAATATGGATTGTAAACACAGGATTTTATACTGCAGTACATTCTAGTTCAGTTGTTTGTTTATGTTAATAAAAGTATGACCAAATTTTGCATCGTCAAAAAGTGCACATGCAATTTTTCTTGTAAAAATGTGAATTTTTTCAAAAGACCAAAACATTGTGCATGGCTAGACCTTTTAAGATTGGGAGACTCCACCATTTATCCCTCAAGTTGTATTTGCTCAAACCATTTTAAACAGAGGCGCAACTAGGGGGGGGCGGCCCGTTGCGCGCCCTCCTCTAGCACTTGAGAGGGGGGCGCCCCCCCTGCAGAATGAAAAGAAAGATTGACAAATATCATTATCACAGGAATAATAAAACCAAAAGAGTTATTGTAGAAATTGTATTCTTCTATGGTTAGTTTAAAGAAAAATATTTTTATCTTTCGGAATTCCTAAGACTTAGGTTATTGTAAATATTTAATGTAAAAAAGTTCCGAACTTTGAAATATCGAAGGTTTACGCCCCTGAGATGTAAAGATATAGGGATTAAAAAATTTAAGTTTGTGGCAAGGGCTCAACTCCTTTGTTCACCTTATGATTAAAGAGTAACAAAATTAGAATAAATATTTCATACAAAATATATTCTTTAAATAATAAATAAATACAGGCAGCAAGTATAATTTACTTTGTTTACATTCTAAATTTATAGTTTCAAGTTTAAAAGTAAATATACTTCTGAAAATTGAAACGTGTTTAATGATTTTTGACAATGCAATTTATATCTCAAAAGAGGTTTATCAACAATTAAATTGATATTATTTTTCAATGTTTGAATTTTAAAAAGAAAGATTTTGATAATTTTGTTGAATTTAATATCCAAGTTCTACAAGCTTTGCAAGATCCTCATCTCCAAGCATTACTCTTTTACCAGGCTCAGAGGAATTCAACCCTCTAAACAATCAGAAAATTGGTTTAACTTTAAATTTACAGAATTTAGAGAAAATTATTCTGATAATGAATTAAGTCTTTGCCACAAAACTAAAATGGTCTAATCTGTATATCTTTGCAACCTGATGGTACACCTTTGATATTTCAAAATTTGACTAATTTGATCCAACGGAATTCATAGTTTGAAATATCTAAGGTTTACAATATTGGGTTGCAAAGATAAAGGGATTAACAAATTTAATTTTAATGCAAAAACATAATTCCTTTATCTATTTTATTTCAATAATTAATTTTGATTTAAATTTTTCTAATTCAAAAAAATAGTTGGAATAATGGAAAATTATTTGGATCAAAAAATATTTTAAAATAAGAAATTTTCCTGAAACAAAAAAAATATTTTGGAAAAAATTTAGAACTTAAAAAAATGAAACTATTCTAAAATATTTCAACAATAAGAATTCATTCTAAAGATTCAGAAATAAGGAAACTTCCTTAAATTTAGATAGTTAATCGTCAAGCTAAAACATTGGAATTAATATTATCTTTTCTGTATTTTAAATTTCATAATAACCTGAAAATTACGAAGTTATCCTCTCTTGAAACCTAAATAGAAAAAAAATTTAATAAAAATCATAAAAATAAAATTCTTTTTTTTACTCCTAGTTGTCCTCTCGTATTCTTGTTTTACTCCTAACTGTCTTCTCGTATTCTTGTTTTACTCCTAGTTGTCCTCAAATATTCTTGTTTTACTCCTAGTTGCACCCCTCGTATTCTTGTTTACTGCTAGCTGTCCCCTCGTATTTTTTTTTTACTCCTAGCTGTCCCCTTGTATTCTTGTTTTACTCCTAGCTGTCCCCTCGTATTTTTGTTTTACTCCTAGCAGTCCCCTTGTATTCTTGTTTTACTCCTTGCTGTACCCTCGTATTCTTGTTTTACTCCTAGCTGTCCCCTTGTATTCATGTTTTACTCCAAGCTGTCCCCTCGTCTTCTTGTTTTACTCCTAGCTGTCCCCTTGTATTCTTGTTTTACTCCTAGCTGTCCCCTCATATTCTTGTTTTACTCCTAGCTGTTCCCTCATATTCTTGTTTTACGTCTAGCTGTCCCCTCGTATTCTTGTTTTACTCCTTGCTGTCCCCTCATATTCTTGTTTTACTCCTAGTTGTCCCCTCGTATTATTGTTTTACTCCTAGTTGTCCCCTCGAATTCTTGTTTTACTCCTAGCTATCCCCTCGTATTCTTGTTTAGATTTATGATGCTTAAGATAATTTGGCCGCGCTTAGGTGTCAACTTAGGTCATTAGTTTCAGAGTTTACATAAACTATTCAATAGAGAACTCTCCTTATGCAAATTTCATTTTTTAAGGGGATAGCTTACCCTCTTGGAAATGATGTTAGATACTTTTCCAAAGACATTTTCCCAAGTGGCAACTTCCCAAAGGTATTTTTCCAAGGGTTAACTTCCCAAATTTGCAATTTACCAAGCGGCAACTTCCAAGTCTGTCCTAGCCGCAGCAATGGGAGTTATGATTGGAAACATAAAAGATCTCAGCCTTCGTGCAATTTACTTTAGTTTGATGTGGAGTACCCAATAATACTTTAGATGTGAAATATCTGGGTCTGAGGTACATGTTTGTGTAGTAAAATAGTATTCCAAAGTACAAAAATTGGGATATTTTAAATTTTTGAAAAAACAATCCTTTAAACGATATATTTCTCCTATGAAAATATTTTTTTTATTTATGATTTGAAATATTTTGATCGTATTTTTAATATCGGTACTTCGTTTATTGAAATATTTTGATCGTATTTTTAATATCGGTACTTCGTTTATTGAAATATTTTTAACGTATTTTTAATATCGGTACTTCGTTTATTGGAATATTTTGATCGTATTTTAAATATCGGTACTTCGTTTATTGAAATATTTTGATCGTATTTTTAATATCGGTACTTCGTTTATCCATAAATTTACAAACTCAAATGTTCGAATACCAATATTATTGTTGGTGTAAACATTTTATATTTCAAACGTAGACTTTTTGATTTAGTGGAATTCACAGTTTAAAATATCAAAGGTCTACGACATCGGGTTGCAAAGACTGCTTGTAAATATATATATGAAAACTTTTAAGAGTGCATGCTATCAGAAATTCGGTAATCTTAATGATTCGTGCTTTTACAGACTTGAAGTGAAAACAAAAATCTTATTAAATTACCGTAGATGAAGGGGTGAATAGTAAATCAATGATGGCAGTATTAAAATAAGACAATACTTTGAATTTTGTTTATAAATCGTAGATATTGATGATAAATGTTGAAACTTTAAAATCAACTCTCAACTTACAAATATTCCCGGTAATGCACTCTAAATACGAGGTTTAAATATAAATTGTCTATTTTGTCACTCACTTTTCTTGATTTGTCCATTTTGTCCCAGATGAATTCCTTCTTCCCCTCAATCACAACAACGCTAGATCTGCAAGAAAGAAAAATTAATAAAACTAAAGATAATAAATATGCTGTAAAATAGAAGGGTAAAGTTTAGCGACTTAATTGGTACAGCTTTGTGATCTCGAATCTCCTCTGAATTAAATTTTACGCACAAGTAAGGCATCTTTAACATTGGGTTGCAAAGATATAAGGATGTGAAAACCAGAGTTTGTGGCAAATAATGCGTTTTAAGCTGGTAAAACTTTGTGACCACGTAGCTCCTCGAGTTTTTACATACTAGAAATTCTAAAAATTTTAATAAGATGAGTTATAATTAAAAACATATAAGATTTCAAAATTAGGTAAAAGGCATTCAGTTTTTGCCACAAGTTCAAGTTTTGGAATCCCTATATATTTGCAACCTTTTGCATTTCAAACTTTGATTATTTGATCTAACAGAATTAATAGTTTCGAATATATGGGGTCAGTGCCATCAAGTTGCAAAGATATAAAGTTTAGAAAATCCGAGTTTGTGGCACAGACTCAATTCCTTTACATTTGCTTACTAACCTTCCTCTGGCTGGTACAGCTGTAATAGTTTCATTATCTAGGTTTACTGTTATATTCCAGGATACACGGGACGGATTCACAGACGGAGATCCAGGAGCCTTGATATAAAAATAGAAATAGAAATCGGTGATTCAAGATTCGAGCCAATGATAGGCAATTCAGCGACCTCTCCAATTCCTGGCTATTTTTTTGTAAATATTAGCAACTTCTTTATTTAATTTATTTCGTAATTGACTCTTTGTGAATTTCCAGTTATTCTCAAAATTAAGCTGGAAGCCTTTAATCTAAAACCAATAGGAATTAATGAATATTTCGAAGTAGTTCAAGGAGATCTAGAGTGGAATATCATCTCAGAACAGAGTGCATCAGAGTAGTGCATCTAAACATACTTAGCACTGAAAGCCAAAATGTGCACGGCTTCAACGCAAAAATCTTTTAGTATTTTGCCGATAACTCCTTTTGAACTTAAGGTAGAAACAAGCGTTTTTATTTTTTAAATGTATATTCCTAGGGCTAAAAAATATATATGTGAGTGGGTGGGAAAAAATCAAAGGCCTTCCGTCACTTTTAAGTGGAATTGTTTATAAAGGTTCTTTGTAATAAACTCTGATTTTCTAATGTCTATATTTTTTCCACCTGATAGTGTAAACCTTTGATATTTCAAACTTAGATTTTTTCATTTTTTCAGATTTCAAGTTTGAAATATCTAAGGTCTAAGGCATTGGTTTACAACAAATATAGTTTGTGACAAAGACTCAATTCCTTTGATGACTAACTTTTAGAGTCATGTCTTATATCTCAGTGTTAATTTTACTACTTCTCATTCTTTCTTGATTCTGATGATATTATTTTTTATTTTAGTTCTAACCTGATAAACCCTAGACTCAGTCTCAATATCTGCATTTATCTTCATTTTCTGAAAAATAAATATCAAAAATTTTGTATTTCAAATTTCAATAGACAAAAGAAAACGGTTAATTGAGTCTTTGCCAAAAACTCAATCCCAATATCTTTACAAATCAATGTAGTAGACCTAAGATATTTCAAACTATGAATTCTGATTTCAAAGGTTTACGCATCAAGTTGCAAATATATAGGGATTGTAAAACTTGAGTTGGTGGCAAAGACTTAATTCCTATATGCAAAATTGCTGATACAGATTTTTTTACCTCGTAGTGCCTCCAATTTTAATTTAACTCTCAAGCATGTGAAAAAGCTAGTTTATTCGGTTAAAGCTAGTTTAAAAGCTCAAGATGAATAAGAAATTCATAATTGTCTATCTAAAAATTGATTTTTTCCAATTGTGGCTTTACCATAAAAGACACTTGCGGATTTATGTTCTTCAGAATGAAGTTAAAGGCTGAAGATAAGTGTTTGGTCTTATTTTCAAAGACAACATCTAAAATCTAGAAATGAAGGATTAAAAAACCAGACCTTGTGTTACGGATATCTAGTGTAGAACTGAAGAAGGAGAAGATGTACTATCTCTATATATACCTAGATACACACTGACACAATTCCGAAGAAAATTACTGCGATCTTTCACATTCTCCGACCCAAGTAGTACATTTCTAATAGGAGAGAAAATTAAGATATTTATTTTGAACTTCGGACCATAGGATATTCGAAATATTTGTAAACAAATACCCCCTCCCCCCGTTCCTCTTATTATACTTCAAATACCCCCCCCCTCTTATTATACTTCAAATTGCAGACTGAAAAATCCTTTCCCCTTGTCCTAAGTTAGTTAGATTTTCATTTAAGATTACGTCGGAAAGGTTTAGGGGCATTTCCGGGCTTATTTTTTCAAAGAGTTAATTAAAAAAAAATAAAATAGTGTAACTTAATTGAAGGTTCATTTAAAGTCCGTACATATTGAATCGTTAAAAAAGGAAATATATATTTTATAAATACAGATCGTTGGAGAAATAAATGTTACTAAAAAAAATTTATAAATATAAATAGATTGATAGATCAAAATGTTAAAGGTTTTTGTTTAATGTACGGTTTACACTGCACAATTACTGTGTCTAATGGTCATATGACTATTTAAAGTCATGACTCAAGTCAGAAAGTCGTCTTATTATTCCAGAGTTTTCTAGTCATCACTGTATATACATATTTTCATTTATGAAAATCTTATTGATTATGATATTTGCTATAAAATTGAATTTAAATAGATTCAGAGTTGCTTATTCTAATACAACCGTCTTCCCATTATTTTGACTTTTAAGGCTTATAAAGTGATTTTAAAGATTTTAGATTTTTAAATGCATAGGGTCGGGAACAAAAGGGTGAAAGGCCGGTCGGTATTAAAAGCTAATAGTTTTTTTGTTATTTATGCTACAGACAGATCTAAAAAAAAATAGATTATTGAAAAGCCCTGAAAAATAGATATAAAAAATATTAAACTTTAACCTCAACTTTAACCTTAACTTTTACTTTAACTTCAACTTCAACTTTAACTGTAACTTTAACTTCAAATTCAACTTTAACTGTAACTTCAACTTCAACTTTAAATTTAACTTTAACTTTAACTTTAACTTTCCTTTTAACTTTAACTTTAACCTTAACTTTAACTTTAACTTTAACTTTAACTTCAACTTTAACTTCAACTTTAACTTTAACTTTAACTTCGACTTTAACTTCAATTTCAATTTTAACTTTAACTTCAACTTTAATTTCAACTTCAATTTTAATTTCAGTTTCAACTTCAACGTCAATTTTTCAGGGTTATAACCGACCAATAAATATTTCAACTTCAACTTCAACTTCAACTTTATCTGTGACTTTAACTTCAACATCAAATTGAACTACCGAACTTTAATTTCAATTTCTGACCTAGATATTTGCTTTTCTACGAAACAGTGGTGAGTCAAACTGAAAATGAATAATTTGAGTCCAAGGTATTTAGTTTGAAATTCGATCTCCGGAGGGAGGACAGGATATAGATTAGTTTAAAAACCGGAAATGATGTTTTCAAGCTGTAGGTATGTTAATTCTCTGGACTCTTCATTTGTTTGAAATATTGTTTCAAACTTTAAGGCCACAGGATACATCAATTTTTTTATTTCATCACGAGAAACAGATTTGTTATCAACACCATCATTCCAGTGAACAATGTTTTTTCCAGTATCCTTTGTCCAGTATCCCTTGTTTAGTGTCCTTTGTTCTTTAAGTTCTTTGTCCAGTGTCCTTTGTCCAGTGTCCTTTGTCCAGTGTCCTTTGTCCTGTGTCCTTTGTCCAATGTCCTTTGTCCGTTGTCCTTTGTCCAGTGTCCTTTGTCCAGTGTCCTTTGTCCAGTGTCCTTTGTCCAGTGTCCTTTGTCCAGTGTCCTTTGTCCAGTATCCTTTGTCCAGTGTCCTTTGTCCAATGTCCTTTGTCCAGTGTCCTTTGTCCAGTGTCCTTTGTCCAGTGTCATTTGTCCAGTGTCCTTTGTCCAGTGTCCTTTGTCCAGTATCCTTTGTCCAGTGTCCTTTTTCCAATGTCCTTTGTCCAGTGTCCTTTGTCCAATGTCCTTTGTCCAGTGTCCTTTGTCTGAAGTAAATTGTAGGATAGTATTTCATATTCTTAATTTCTCACTACAACCATGTTGTGTCACCATGAAAGTCAAATATTTGAAGAAGATATGCATATTTAATGGACTGTGGAACATGCCACTTTTGAATTGAGCTCACTTAAAATAATTTCTACAGTCCCTTTAAATCCAAATAAAACCTTGCCTTGTCGGAGAATTTAACCGGAAATTTTCTTGACTGTAACTATGCGACTAATTAATTTCTTTTTCAAGATTATTTTCATTTTAGACATCAGCTGTGGTCAAACAGTCATTTCAGCTTACACATTCGAAATAAAGATGATTTTTTGTTCAATGCGATATAAAATTTTTAGTTTTGGGATTAACTTACAGCTAGGTTTTAATGTAAAGAAAACTATACAGCTGAAATTATGATACAAAATAAAACCATCAGGGATGAAAGACCTTAAACCGTATCTGTCAAATTGCTGCATCCTCTATATCGTTATTTTAATGTCATATAATGTTCGTTTTCTAATTGCTTAGCTAAAGCTCTCTGCTTCAAGTCTAGATTTGCAAGGAAAAGTTAAAAATACTATTTTTTCGCGTAGTATTCCTCAATTCTCAAACAGAGCAAAATATGTACCGCCATATTTGACGGATTTAGGATGAGAAGTTAAAAAAAGAAAAAAAAATATTTCGTTGCAGACATTGTGCGCTGTAGTTAGTTAACAGTTATATACGAGAAATTGAATTTGTTTTAACAAACTGAAAAAGAAAAGAAGATATAAAGCCTAGATATAAAGGGTAAGCGCTGCAGATGTTTTGAAATAAAATGTCATTTGCAAAGCCTTAATTAGACAGATAGACAGTTAATGGAGATAAATGCATTTAAATTGTAAACACAAATACATTGATTAATGAAAGAAACAAATCTGAAAATTAAAGGGACTGTTGACCTAATTTACAGAATGGTATGTTCTATTAACAATGGTACCATTTATTCCTTTTCTGAGTTACAATTTGAAAGATATAACAGTTTTTCTAAAGTATTTTTTTGACGATTTCATTGACAGTTTTGTTTCGCATCTACCTGATGCGATAAAGACTAGTTTATCATCCCTGTGTTCGGTGTTTGTCTCAAGAAGAAAAAAGTTTCCAGAAGACGCGTACTCTCTACTTTGTATATTATAACTGGTTTGAGGCTGTACTGCGGCCGGCTTTTAATCAGTATTGTTAAAGATTTCGTAGTTGACGGACTAGATATTGTCTCTACGTTGTTTATTTACTGTGAGGTGTTTTGCGGACCAATGTGGTGAGTTATCCTTATATTTATTATTTGTATTATATCGATATTTACTCCCAATATTATATTCTTATGCTGCAGTTTTTTTAATGCCTAAGTAAATAGTAGGTTGTCTTAGTAAAGTAAAGTAGACGTTGATTTACTTAAAGATTTTTCTGTGGCCTATAATACTTTTTTCGATCTATATATTGCCAATTTTCGTAGATTGAACTGCGTAATAAAACTTGAAGACTGATCCTGACTACATTATGGAGAGATCTAAGAGCAGAGGAGCTTACGGTCAGATCCGGAGAAACACCACACAGTATATACATATACTCAAATCTAGGACAACTGGGCAGTTGCGAAACAAGCTTCTCCAACATAAACCCACAATGTTATTTCTTTTAAAAATGATCAATTTTCAAGATAGAAAAGGTTTAAAGGGTCGCTATGGTTACTCGGACATGTCACTATTTGGTGAACGTCTCCTTTAAGCTGCTCGGATAATTAATTGCACTTATTTGTTTGTTTGTTTATTTGAACTAGAACTTATTGATCTTTGGTTCAAATGGACAGAAAATTAGTTTTTCTATACAACTACAAACGGTAAAGAGAATTTTTAAATTCAAATTTTCTTTAAATCTATGTGGTTCAAATTACGGTATTTGCCAAAAATGTGAATTTGAAAGAAAATTTGAAATTCATCATTCACTGTTTATAATCATACGTTTTCACCAGCTTTATAGAAAAAATGATCTACATTTTATGTTTAGTAAAACCAGCCTGTTTAAATCCTCATTAAAATTTGCAGTGTGCCGTTTTTGCATTACGTACTGCATTATGCTCTGAGAGTACGGATGAAAAGAGTTTAAAGTTGAGAGAAACTAGGAATAGTTGTCAAATGTCAGGGAAGGACAATAAAACAATGTGCTCAGTATTTAGGTCAAGTTTCTTAATAAGCTTTGTAAACAGAATGTAAAGCGAACTTCCTACTGTTGAACTATCACCATATGCAGCATTTCAGAGTAAAATGATAGTTAAAATCAAATTAAGATTTATTACAGAGTAAAATGTAGTTGAAATCAAATAAAGATTTATTTCAGATAAAAATGTAGTTGAAATCAAATTAAGATTTATTTCAGATTAAAATGTAGTTGAAATCAAATTAAGATTTATTTCAGATTAAAATGTAGTTGAAATTAAATGAAAATTTATTTCACAAATTTTGATATTTATAATTTGCAGGACAAATTTAATAAAGATGTATTTAAAAGGATTATGACTTAAGTTCACGTGATTCTCCATTTGTAAACTAAACGGAGCTAAGGACACTTATTATTTTGTCTACTGATCATCTTTTACAGATCAATACAAATTACATTAATACTGATGAATTCATATTATATATATAGTATATATATTCTTCAGATAAACAAAAACATTAGAAAAATGTTTATCCAAAACAACTGAATACGAAAACATTGTTACTAACTAAATTTTAATTAATTGAGGTATTTGCTTTTCTTTTAATCGCAAAGTTCCACAGGTGATTTATTTTAGATCATTAGAGAGAAAATTTAGGGAAACGTTAACTTATTTAGTAACATGCTTGATTCACAATGGTACTCTTGAAACAGACCTTATCTGAGAAGCAATGAAAAAAGAGATACATTTATAAATTTCTTTCCTTTTTTCTCTTGCATTAAAATCCTCAAATCACTTTTAGAAATTAATCAAAATAGAAGTAAATTAAGCCTTTGCCACAAACTCTATATATTTGCCACAAACCCTGAATCTTTGCAACCTGATGGTTTAATCTAACAGAATTTAGAAAATCATAGTTTGAGGCAAAGACTCAATTCTGTTATCAAGTTTTGAATAGAAAACTTGACTACATTATTTTTGCTAATCTTTGCAAATAAATCGGGCATATTCCTCTTTAAAAAGAGGTTACGTCGATACTCCCTTTTCTCTCGTATATTAATTCTCAATAATTCTCATCTTTATAGACTGTTTAATATTCAAGTTCATGCTATCCTATCAGAGATTTTACAGGATTTAATCTTTTCTCTTTCCAGTTCTCGACCTGAATATATGGGTCTATAAATATACATTAATTAAGGACTGTATGTGACCGTCCTTGCACAGATGACAATATTCGATTCACAACAACAACAAACAGTATGAATTAGAAATCAATGTTTTTATTTTTTAACTGTTTATTTTCATTTGTGAATTCTCTGCTGATCTGCGCATTTCTTGCTTCTAAGAATCATTGAAGAATTTCTTAGAATAAAATCGGACATTGCCATCTTTGAAATTACGCTTACACAGTCCATTCAAGAAATCTAAAGGAACTGAGTCTTTGCCACTAACTCAAATTTTCTAATCCATTTTTCGTTGCAACCTGATGGTGGAAACCTTTGATATTTCTAACTTATGTTATTATGTGGAACAGAATTTATTGTTTGTAATGTCTAAGGTCTACAGCATCGGGTTCCGAAGCTATGGTGTAAATCACAGTTTATGGCCTCGACTCTATTCCTAATTGGACGAATTTCCAAAATTTTTGTTAATCTCTGAAGGTATAAAATGTAAATTTTCTATTTTATGATAAGATATGTATTTTCGAAAAAATTTCGCGATAATCGAATAATATATATATATGAAAAAACAAACTAACAAAGAACATTTTAAATTATTGTTCTGTTTTTTCTATTTTTTCAGGATAAAAACTTGTAAAGTTTAGTTACACCCAATCATGATATAATATTCTTAAAAGAGAAGAAAATATCTGGTTTGTCGGTAAACTTGAATTACAAAGCAAAATCACCTCAATACTTTCTTTCCCATATCTAATACCAGCAAGCACCTCACCTTCTCTAGACAAAACAACTTTTTATAAGATTATCTTTAAATAATTATTTAACTTTATAGGGACCGTTCACTTTTTAGATATTAGGCCAAATGACTAATCTTGAATCCAATGTATGGCAGTTGAAAATCTATACTTGATCCCAAGATTAACAACACAGTAGGTCTGACTTCAAATATACGTTTCTTGATCCAGAAACTGTACGGAATGTGATTTAGATATTATTCCAGTTGTTTTTCAAATATATATTTTTTGTCGCATTGATTAAACATTCAAGAAAAAAGAGATCGAATATATGAATACAGAGCTCGAGTATATGAAAATAGAGCTCGAGTATAAGAAAACAGAGCTCGGGTATATGAAAACAGAGCTCGAGTATATAAAAACAGAGCTCGAGTATATGAAAACAGAGCTTGAGTATATAAAAACAGAGCTCGAGTATATGAAAACAGAGCTCGAGTATATGAAAACAGAGCTCAGGTATATGAAAACAGAGCTCGAGTATATGAAACAGAGCTCGAGTATGTGAAAACAGAGCTCGAGTATATGAAAACAGAGCTCGAGTATATGAAAACAGAGCTCGAGTATGTGAAAACAGAGCTCGAGTATATAAAAACAGAGCTCGAGTATATGAAAACAGAGCTTCAGTATATGAAAACAGAGCTCGAGTATGTGAAAACAGAGCTCGAGTATATAAAAAACAGAGCTCGAGTATGTGAAAACAGAGCTCGAGTATATAAAAACAGAGCTCGAGTATATGAAAACAGAGCTCGAGTATAAAAAACAGAGCTCGAGTATGTGAAAACAGAGCTCGAGTATGTGAAAACAGAGCTCGAGTATATAAAAAACAGAGCTCGAGTATATGAAAACAGAGCTTCAGTATATGAAAACAGAGCTCAAGTATATGAAAACAGAGCTCGAGTATATGAAAACAGAGCTCGAGTATATAAGTATATAAAAACAGAGCTCGAGTATATGAAAACAGAGCTTGAGTATATGAAAACAGAGTTCGAGTATATGAAAACAGAGCTCGAGTATATGAAAACAGCGCTCGGAAAACAGAAAAATAACGTCCTGGGGATCAGTTTATTGATACAGGCCGAGAAAAAAAAGTTTTGAAAAATAGAATTGATCTTATTATTAAATAACATTATCTTCAGGATCAAAAACAAAAACATTTTTTTCTTAAAAATTTGATAAAATTAAGAATATTTTTGAATTGATCAGGTTGAAACCTAGATTATATGCATAGAAGTTGTCCCATGCTAAAAAATGACAGTTGAGAAATAAGAAAAGATCCTTCTTCGGTCAGCTTCAAGAGATTTAACTTTTTGATACACAGCTAAAGATAAAAGACGACCTTTTGCGTGTAATTTTTAAGTGATCTTTTAGTTGTAATGTGACATATCCGGTTCACACCGGTACCCTTTGCTGTACACCTTTGTCTGATCATGAATGTGCTTTTGTATTTTATCTGCAGGAACACTTGTATAGTTAAAACTTTGTATAAGCAAGCTGTTTTATCTTACAAATATTAGTTTGTTTTTCTTCTGTCAAAGAAATTTGTAAGCGTTTTTATTGAAGTATAAAAAACTCATTGTGTTCTACATTTATACACTAATAAACACCCTTTTGCGTTTGCAAAATTATACAACCTAAACCCCTCAACCAAAATAGCGCCCCCCTCCCCCTGGACAAATTCCTGAACACGCCCCTGTTTGTGGTTAACCCTATAAACACTGTACACTTGAATTCTTCGCTATTTTTAGCAAAATAAAAAAGGATTTTTTCGTCGTCGAGGATCATACACAAGTTTAAAGAATCTGACTTTCCACTCAATGAATGGAAAAGTATTGGCTGATCCCAAATGTAATATTTAGTGGGACACCCTGTATTACCTGGAAATATGTTTAGTGGGACACCCTGTATTACCTGGAAATATGTTTAGTGGGACACCCTGTATTACCTGGAAATATATTTAGTGGAACACCCTGTATTACCTGGAAATATGTTTAGTGGGACACCCTGTATTACCTGGAAATATGTTTAGTGGGACACCCTGTATTACCTGGAAATATGCTTAGTGGGACACCCTGTATTCCCTGGAAATATGTTTAGTGGGACACCCTGTATTCCCTGGAAATATGTTTATTGGGACACCCTGTATTCCCTGGAAATATGTTTAGTGGGACACCCTTTATTACCTGGAAATATGCTTAGTGGGACACCCTGTATTCCCTGGAAATTTGTTTAGTGGGACACCTTGTTTTACCTGGAAATATTTAGTGCTGTTTGTTCCTGTCCCAGTAGCATAGCCAAGTGCCAAACCACCTCTGCAGCTTCTAGCTGATGGATCACCTTAATATTAGTTAATCATTTAAAAACATATCCAACAAACCACCTATATAGCCTTTTTATTATGGATCAGCTCAATATTATTAGTTAAAAAAGATAGCCAGTTCACTCCAGTTCTAGGGAACCAATCCCTATATCATCTTGACCTATCTAAAAATATGCATTGTGCAAATCACAGATCAAACAAATAGAATCACATAATGATCAATAATTCTATAGTTTTTCGACCCAATAAACTTAAATAATTTGATTGAAAAAAAACTGGGTTTAATATTGGTCTGGGGAGGTTAGGACTTTTTTAAAGCCTTTCGTTAATGGTTAGTTAAAATAACAGAACGAACCTATTTATCAGGAAGAAGTTTGTTTTTAAATAAAACCAAACACTCCGTTAACGGTATCTTCTGTTATTTCTGAAAGTTACTGAGCGTTAACGATATCAACTCACTTAATGGCGTTAACGAAAAACATAACAACCCGGAAAAAAATCAGAACACTTAATTAAGTTTCAAACAATTTTAAGTAAAATATTTAATAAAACCGCATTCGCATTAAAAACGCATTCGTTCATTATTTTTACTTTTAGTTTTTCTTTTTATGTTAACGGTTATTTTCGATTGTTAATCATATCAAAATTACTATTCCTGAACGGAATCTTCCATTAACTTTCAAAAACTTGCCGTTCGAACTAAACGTTGGCCAGTTCTGCCGTTTAAACTGGTTCTATGGAAAACAGTTTAAATAAACAATAGAAGTTAAGATTTGCCAATTGGTTCTTTGAAACTAATGTTATTATATACCTTGTAACCCAACATTTTTCGTAGAAAAAACCATCGTTCAGCTGTTCGTAAAACATTGCTTATTTCTTCAGAACTTAGGCTGTCCTTGAGATCGAAACATGTTTGAGAGAGATTAAAAGCTTCCACTCTGAGTTTATCATCCTGCTCCAGGAGGTTGAACGGTAGGGAACACACTTCACAGTTACAATCAAACCCATATCCGGACTTAAGCAAGCTACGCCGCTCTTGCTGCGTTATCCGACCCTGAATAGAAATTGTAAAGAAAATATCAAGCTTTGAATTAAGTTCTTCTTTGTAAGCCATACATAGTCCAGATAGCTAGGCCGATTACTATATATGTTAGGTCCAGGTAGCTAGGCTGGTCACTATATATGTTAGGTCCAGGTAGCTAGGCTGGTCACTATATCTGTTAGGTCCAGGTAGCTAGGCTGGTCACTATATCTCTTAGGTCCAGGTAGCTAGGCTGGTCACTATGTTTGTTAGGTCCAGTTAGCTAGGTTTATGTTAGGTCCAGGTAGCCAGGATGATCACTATATCTGTTAGGTCCAGGTAGCTGGTAGCTAGGCTGGTCAATATATATGTTAGGTCCAGGTAGCTAGGTTTATGTTAGGTCCAGGTAGCCAGGCTGGTCAATATATATGTTAGGTCCAGATAGCCAGGCTGGTCACTTCATCTGTTAGGTCCAGGTAGCTAGGCTGGTCAATATATATGTTAGGTCCAGGTAGTTAGGTTGGTCACTTTATATGTTAGGTCCAGGTAGCTGGTAGTTAGGCTGGTCAATATATATGTTAGGTTCAGGTAGCTAGGTTTATGTTAGGTCCAGGTAGGGCTGGGTGCGTTAACGGTGGAACAATCGTTATTTGCCGAGAATGAACGGAACGATCAAGAACGATCACATCGTTCCGAAAAAAAAACGAACGCTTAGAACGCGTTCTTAAAAATATTGGAACAATTAGTAAAAGAATGGAACGGAACGGAACGGAACGGGAATTGCTTGAAAAGAACATGATGTAATTGTCCGTTACTAAGAACGGAACGGGGGCATGGAAACGTTCTTAATTAAGAACAGAACAAGAGGGATGCAACCGTTCTTCAACTAAGAACACCAAGAACGGAACGGAACGGGAAGACCGTTCTTCTACTCAGAACGGAAGGGAACGGGACGGAACAGAACGAGAACGGAACGATAAAAAAAAAGAGGAACAAGAACGGAACGATTTAGCTGAAGGCCCTCGTTCTAGAACGGAACGGAACAATTTCAAAAAAGTCGGAACGTGCACAGCCCTAGGTCCAGGTACCCAGGCTGGTCACTTTATCTGTTAGGTCTAGGTAGCTAGGTATCTATATACCTGAATTTTAAGGTCCAGATAGCTAGGCTGGTCACTATATCTGTTAGGTTTAGGTAGCTAGGTATCTACATACCTTAATCGTAAGGTCCAGATAACAATTTGTTAACTCCTCTCCTTGTGAAATATTCCTAAAAGCTCTCAATTCATCACAACCCAGCTCATCGTTCCAGTGGAACTCAGTGTTCGGTCAAAATGGAGATTAAATAATGAAATAAGCATAACATACTGTGAGAATTATAAATCTGTGGAATAGGAAGCAGATATTCGAGCAATCTTATGTGGATTAGATACTGCTATATATATGTTTTTTTGTAACTTAAAATCCAACTTATTAAATTATAGTTTACGTCTTTCCATTATACTCAGGTTTATGGGTCTCTCTGTCTTAAAGAAAAAAAAATGAAGTTTTTTAATACTTGAGAGTATTAAGTTAATTCCAGTTTAAACCTGCAGCTGTGGTTCAACCTAACAATATCAAAGCATTCAAGAAAAATTAGAAAAAGTTTGTTTGTATTTAATTGTTTTGAATTTTACTTTACCTTGCCAATATTGGAAGCATGGCAGTTGGATATTCTACTGTGGTAGTTTGCTTTATACTGAAGCAGTTTGTAAAGTAAATTCCCCTGAAAGAAAAACAGAGTTTATATCAATACAGTGAAAATGACTTAATTTCTAACCACATATTTTTAAATTACAAATTTACATGTAAACAAAGAGAAGCTGTTAATTAGCATCTTATCTTTGTTTCCATGTTTAAGTGTACCCTCTACCAGTGATGTCTGAAAGCAAAGTAGAAATCAAAAACGAAAGTTGTCTTCATTGACTGTACTTGAATCCAATCTGAACACTAGGCAGACGGTTATTTTATGTAGAATTACTGGCAAGACTTTGTGTCTTCTTGTTTTCACTTTAAATCCAAAGAGTGAGAGAAACTTGTTTGGTTGCAGCTTACTCGAATGGATTTCAAACATTTTTAGAATAATTTTTTTTTAATTTAAAAATAATGTAAGATTTAAAAATGAAATTTATTTTGATGTTATTTTTCCTTAAAACTACCTGGAACTTTTAGGACCTTGAGATTTAGAGTCTGTTAAGTCCCAAAAAGCCTCTTTAGCCTCCAAACAGAGATCTTGAAGTTGTGCCTCCAGGTAATCGTCAAGCTAGGTTAGATTTAAATTATGATTTTTTTAAAAATTCAATGTTAAATGTTAATGTTTAATACATATTTATTTCTTATCAATCAATCAATAAGATGGAAGATATCGTCGTTTTCCCAGCTTGATAAGATTTTGATTACAATAGATCAAACCAAGCTTTTAAGGATACTGTCGTAAATCGAACAATGTAAATGAAGGAAATTACGTCAACAGTCCCTCACCCCGACTAACCAGAGTTAGAGGCAATCGGTTTCTTCAATTTGAAGTCATACTCGTTTTGGTTTATATATAAACTTTGACAATCTTTAAAGTTACGGATTTGTTTGTTAAATTCTTTTTATTCAAAACATATATGCCGGCAAAAAAGTATTTATAAAAGAAGACTGAAAAATTATGTTTAATAGGAGTAATTGTGAACGAACGTCATAGCTCTTTCTGGAATATTGACAGAACCATTAAATTCACGTGCCCTGTCACTAGTTCATCAATCAATCAACTAAACAACATGAACCTGTTCTGATGAGTCTGTATGAACTGCTGAGGGAACAATAAACAAAGGAAAATCTTGAAAAATGAGTTCTCCAATCTTCAGATTTTCTCTAGATAGTTCTAATATGGTTAAAGGGAGTGACCGGCAATGTATGGTAGTGGAACTGAGAATGTAGTATTGTGTAAAAATTTGATAGGATTCATTTGAGACATATAAAACATTTTAATGATGTATAATTAATTACTGAGTTTGAGGGCGAAGTTGACGTTCAAAACCATCCATTTGGGTGGTTACGTTTTGAGAATCGATTTTATTTAAATTGTTAAATAACGACAACAAAAAATGTAAAAAAATCAACAGTAAACTAATTAGATGTTTAGAAGCATATTTCTCGATAGAAATTTGCCAATAAATCAATGAATCAATAATGAATTTCTTATTCTTTATGATTTGTGCGTAGCGTAAAATTCTTCAAATTCTTCAAATTTCGTTTTTTCAATAACAATTTTGGTAAATCTACAGAAAAGTGTTGTGAACAATGAAACATTAAAGAAACAGATAACTGAATTAGACTCCTTATATTCAATAATAAGAGTCAATTTTTATTTTTAACCTGTTCCTGAACAACTAATTAGTTTACTATAGTTGTACTGCATGTTGTACTGAAATTTTTTAATGTAGTTTATACTTCTAAGATCTAAATTTTCATACAATTCCTGCAATTTCGATTTTATTGTGAAGACGACTTTAAGATCTTCAAAAAAGGGCTCGAAAATCCAGCTTTACGACATCTTCCAGTATTTACCTTGCAAGAACTCCTTTGCCTTTCCCTGGTACATCCTCAACTCTCCAGTATCGTCCTTCTCTGAACGTATTTGCCATTTTTCTTTTAAAGATTATTACATAGTTACACCAATTCAATCAAAGGAGGATCTGAGCTGAGAACTCTTGTATTGGATACTCTTAATCCCGATTCATAAATCTTGATATCCACTCTGGACACTTTTGATTTTCTGATTAATCGACTCTTTTGGATATCCTTAGATTGGGTTCTGACCAATTGGCTGTTCGGATTCTGCAATCGACAATTGGCGGCATTTTTGACACTTTCCTGGATATTAATATAAGATTAAATTAATCTGCCGATTAATAAAAAGAGGAGATTAAGTATTGATCTTGATATCCCCAATTTTAAAGTTTTTAGCTCTTTACCTATTTACTATTTACTAGTATTACTATACAACTGAAGCCATAAAAGATGGGTTCAACACTATAAACACAGGTTGATTTCCAGTACCAGACCGACTCTTAAGCTGTTACAGGAAGCAATATAATGCACATACAGGTAGGTTTTAGTGTCAAGGTAGTTAAAAGGGTTCCCACCGTTTTATTCATAAAAAACCCAATATATATACTAATAATCAGGACGAATATTATAATTTCACACTGAGGACATCTACTGTGAACGCACATAATGGACGCAATAATGAAGATTAAGGGCTGAGATAGGACGTACATTTAGGACGCCCTCTTAAGGACGCAGTATTGAAGTCTCATTTACCATAGAGGCATGAGTGACTACGCAAATTGCGTAATGAGCCGCAGATTTACATGAAATAATGTCGTGTACATTTCCACTGTTTACTAGTTACTATTCATCTGTATTTATGTTTATAAATAGGAAAGTTGTTCCACACTTAATATAGAGCACAGTCGGCAGAATTATAAAACTGCTGACAGCAAACAAATCATGCATTCGGCTTGTAGAGTTTAGATTTTTTTTCTATTCAAATTGTAGAATCTAGATTTATTTATGCATTCAACTTGTAGAATCTAGATTTATTTTTCTATTCAACTTGTAGAATCTAGATTTATTTTTCTATTCAACTTGTAGAATCTAGATTTATTTCTCTATTCAACTTGTAGAATCTAGATTTATTTCTCTATTCAACTTGTAGAATCTAGATTTATTTATCTATTCAACTTGTAGAATCTAGATTTATTTCTCTATTCAGCTTGTAGAATCTAGATTTATTTATCTATTCAACTTGTAGAATCTAGATTTATTTCTCTATTCAGCTTGTAGAATCTAGATTTATTTTTCTATTAAACTTGTAGAATCTAGATTTATTTTTCTATTCAACTTGTAGAATCTAGATTTATTTATGCATTCAACTTGTAGAATCTAGACTTATTTTTCTATTCAACTTTTAGAATCTAGATTTATTTATGCATTCAACTTGTACAATCTAGATTTATTTATGCATTCATCTTGTATAATCTAGATTTATTTATGCATTCATCTAGTAGAATCTTGATTTATTTATGCAATCAACTTGTAGAATCTAGTTGTTTAGATATAAATGTCAGATCGGGACATATTTTTGCGCTTTGCAATGCTAAAGTGAAAATCATCATTCATAATTTCTTCCGTCTTTCCTCCCCTTTCCTACTAATCATTTTCTTCTAATACAATACAATCTCGTATGTTAAATACAGAATCATAAAAAAATATGTTTCTTCCATTTTTTCCCTTTATTATCTTTTTTATTCCCACTTAAATTAATTTTATCCTTAATTCCTAACTTCTTGGCATGTTCAATTTACAACGGCACCGTTGTAACAATAAGGAAGATATCGTTGTTTTTTGTCTTAAATTCTGAAAATTTCATTCATCGTCTCAACATCAAATATCCGCAAGAATTAAAAATAAGTAATTTTCAGCACAAAAAATAAGAATATTTCATCCATCAATTACTGAGAAGACAAATGTTGTGAAGACCATGCCACTCTCAGACTCCTCTATAAAGATTCATTATTTCTTCGGTCAGCGTATTGCCGATCCGTATAGCACGCACCATAAGCTTAGTTTAGGGTCAGTCCGAATAGATTATTAAGTACAATAGGTGGCAACAGAGAAATGGACGAATTTTACATGACGTCACAAGTGTCAAATATAAGAAAGAATTCAACATTTTCTCAAATTAGTTGAAATGTTTTTCAAAATTAAATAAGAAAGTGCAAAAATAGAAAATAAAGAACACAAAATTGCACTTATTTCATTTTAAGAAAAGCACTTTATTATCACTATTATTATTATTTTTGACAGCTGTACTGAGAGTATTCTACGTTGCTATCTATTGTACTTAATAATCTATTTGGTTCAGTCGAAATTAACCCTACTGTTCCTTCAGAGAAGTATTTTAATATTCTTTTTGTTTTTTTACAAAGTAATTTATTTTCAAGTAAACTGAAAACAGTAAACATTACTGTGGTTAATCGACTATTAAACTAGATTTTAAGGCGTAAAGCATGTCACTCCTACTGCAATTCTTTAAAGGGAATGTGTGCGTTATTTTAATTGATCATTTAGTAAACGAGTTGCATGTCAGATTCACAATCAATCAATGTTTAGCAAATAAAATAAGGATATCTTACTCATTCTTGATAAGATTAGTTTCAATGTTAGCGTTGTGAATAAGATCTGACGTTTTATGCACGAAAGGTCACTATGTCCAGTCCCTTTAAATTTTTGCAAAAACATTTTCATAAATTTTGTAAGCTTCTAGTTTTCAACGGATACTTAAACAAGTCACCTACTCGCCTAAACAAGGAAATATGTTTGCCTACTTTAGGTCAGACAAAAAACTGGAAAACTCAAGGAATTTGCACAAGAACCATCGTGTTCGTGAAAATATGTATAAATATGTTAAAACTTAGATTTTGTATGTCAGTACGTGTGTTTGTTAAAAAAATGAATAACCTAGAGGGGGGGTGGGCTCTGTCAAAATTCGACGTTATGTTTTTGTCATTCTTAAAACTTTCTAACAACTTCAGACTTTTCTTCAAATAATTCAAAGTTTTATTTTATGTTTGACTAATTATCAATATAAGAAGTGAAAAACTTCTCAATAAACATCAAGTAAATCGCACTGGAAGTCAAAATAAAACTTATATATTAATTAACAAAAAAATACACAAAATGTAAACATACCCTATCCCCCTTTCCTTATTTTTACTCTTGAAAGAATAATCTATACTGTTCAGTGTTCTGTAGATACAAAGTTGCGGATGAAAATTTCCGAAGAAGTGTTAAAAAATCCGCAAATAATCAGATCAGGATTCCGAAACCAAAGAATACCTACTCATCCCTCTCTTTATGTTTAGTCTATTTCTCAAGTTTGTACCTTTTCTATTCCAAAAAAAAATAATACGCTTCTAAGATTTGGCCTTTTAAATAAAAAAGGATAGTTTATGTTTGCACATTTATTCATTTTCTATGAAATCAGAGTTAAAAACTATAATACAACCACCATCTATAGATCCACCAAGTAGATATAATTTTGTGCCATATTTTATAGAAATTTCTGTTATCAGCAATTAATCATTTTTCAACCAACACAATACTCTTAACGTATAATTATAAGAAAATGCTGAATCATCCTTTCTATGAAATGTGCAACAAACTCTTCTATCCAACGAAAATGTCACGTAGATTATAGAAAATACTCAAAAATATAGAAATATAAATTTTTGAAAAAGTTATTGTAAGTAATTTATTAAATAGGCCCGATCGGTTCAGCCGTTTTGACGTTTATTGGATACAAACAGACAGACAGACAGACAAGCCAAATTTATATATAGATGATGATAAATATGATAAAGTGTGAAAAAGAAAAAAGGTTTTAGACAAAAATGCATTTTTAAGCATCTGTTTTTTGACATCCTTTCGTATAATTATTATTTTTTTTCTTTCCAATCTTTTCAATCTTCTTTTAACATAGAATGTGGTGAAGTTTAAACATTGATTCTGCTTATAATAATCTGCTTACAAATTGCAATAAGCTTAATTGTTGAAAGTGAAGCCTATTATAAATGGCAGGGGTAGTTGATCTGTAAGGAAAGCTGCAGAATAACTTAAATATAATATACAAGAGAACGTTTTTATTATTTTTAAATAAATTTAACCATAGATTAGTTAAGATAAGATAATTCAAGATTTGGATGAAACTCTTCCACAATAACCCTGAGGCAGAAGCCAAGTCGGCGTAGAACAGGCTCTCTCTGTCTTGTAATTCTACGCCGACTGCGCGAAACTCCTTCTGGCTTAGGATTATTGTGAACTAGTTTCATCCAAATCTTGAAAAAACGAAATCTAGTGGCTTATCTGTAATTTTAATTAATCTATGAATTTCACATTTATGATATTTGAAATTAAAAATGGTCTAAATATTTTTTGAGATAAATGACAATATTTTATTACAAAATGTAACAATAAAATACTTTATTCAAATTATAACAAATTATTAAAGTGATGTTAAAAATTTTCAATTTTGTGAATCATCCCAGAAGATATTTTACAGGATTTGACTCTTTTTCTCTCCAAATTTGAACCTAAATAAATCTTTTAACAATTTTCGTTCCTTTAAAATTTTGTAATCGTAAAAAAGGGATTTTAGCTCAGAATTAAAGTGTTAAAATTAAAAAAAATTATTACAAACTATTTAAAAATTATTTCATGCCTTCTTTAAACTCCGACACGATCTCAAATAAAACTAAAGGAATTGTACAAGCCTAGTTTTTAGTGACTCTCGACACTTAATCCTATCCAAACTGTGGAAGATAACGTCCTTTATTCTGACTCGAAAAAGGGTTATTTCTACGAATTTCTCCATTTTTCTATAAAGCAAGAAATACGCAATTTACTTTTGCATATATAGAAACCACAAATGAAAATAAGTTTGAATAAACAACAAAAACATGGATATCTATTATCTAATCCTTTTAAGCTTTTAAGGGACCGTTGTAAATTGGGCATAGTAATCCTCGTATGGGAACACGCTTACAGTCCCTTGAAGTTTACATTGTAATCTTCGTATGGGAACACGCTTACAGTCCCTTGAAGTTTACATTGTAATCTTCGTATGGGAACACGCTTACAGTTCCTTGAAGTTTAACATTGTAATCTTCGTATGGGAACACGCTTACAGTTCCTTGAAGTTTAACATTGTAATCTTCGTATGGGAACACGCTTACTTTCCTTGAAGTTTAACATTGTAATCTTGGTATGGGAACACGCTTACAGTCCCTTGAAGTTTAACATTATAATCTTCGTATGGGAACACGCTTAGAGTTCCTTGAAGTTTAACATTGTAATCTTCGTATATGGGAACACGCTTACAGTTCCTTGAAGTTTAACATTGTAATCCTCGTATGGGAACACGCTAACAGTCCCTTGAAGTTTAACAAGTATTTCAACCCTTTTTCGTTTTCAAGAAATTATGAAAAAAATGATATTCTATAAAAAAGTATTTTTTAGCGTCCTTAAAATATGAATTATAATTTCAAAAGTTCAAATATTTTTTGTTTTGTTATTTCTACCTCTTGACTGTCAGCTCCAAATCTAATGTCGGCCAACAGGTTCCCTTCCCTAAAAAAAAATAAACATTTAATATCTAAATTTCATAATTAATATTCCACATTGCCTGTGGAACATATACATATATCTAGCAAAGAGCATTATTATAAATATAGATTACACATTAAACCTTAACAACTTTTTTCGAAACAAAGTAAAGTAAAATGAAAAAAATTGATCTTGAATTTTTACCACCAAAATATTTATATGTTATTTGATAAAATAAAAAATAAAATTCTAACTGAATAGAGTAGAGGCTGTTTACCTGTGTATAAAGTAGAGGCTGTTTACCTCTATATATAATAGAGGCTGTTTACCTTTATATATAGTTGAGGCTGTTTTCTACTTGTATATAGTAGAGGCTGTTTACCTGTATATATAGTAGAGGCTGTTCTCTACTTGTATATTGTATGAGACTGTTTCTATCTGTATATAGTACAGACTGTTTCCTGCCAGTATATTGTAGCGGCTGTTTTCTAACTGTATTTTGTAGAGGCTGCTTTCAACCTGTATATGGTAGAGGCTTTTTACCTGCATATATTGGAGGCTATCTCGTCCTCTCCTAGAAGCATAGCGAGATGCCAAACAACCTCAGCAGCCTCCAATTGATGGGTCAACTAGGAAATCAAGTTTAAGTATACTTATTGACGGTATTTTAAGAAACGATCGGGAAACCTTTCATCTTATGAATAATGTAGACCTTTGAGTGTTACTCACGTGGTTTAGTTTGCTAATTTAGCAAGCAAACTCATGACATTTCACGCATTTAATAGTTTGCCAATTTAGCAAGCAAACGCATGACATTTCACGTATTTAATAGTTTGCCAATTTAGCAAGCAAACTCATGACATTTCACGTATTTAATAGTTTGCCAATTTAGCAAGCAAACTCATGACATTTCACGCATTTAATAGTTTGGGTCCTTATCCCAGCAACCTGAGACATTCGATCAAACATTAAATATTAAATATAAAGGATTTGAGTTTTTGCCACAAATTCAAATTTTCTTATTTCTTTATCTCTGCAACCGCTAAGTGTAAACCTTTGATATTTTAAACTTAGATTATTTGATCTAACAGAATTATTAGTTTGAAATACTTAAGGCCTATGACCATGGGTTGCAAAGATTATAAGGATAAGAATATTTGAGTTGGTGGCAAAAACTCAGTTCCTTTGTTCTCTTTTAGACTTTTTTTTTGGCATATGCGTTTCAAATGAAAAATTAGTAGAAAACAACTCCGTAAGTTTAAAGATTGCTGACATATATAGACCAAAATGCAATCAAATTCAAATCTAAAGTTCGAATTACGAGATGTAATCTAACAACACATTTAATTTATGACTTTAGCCACAGGTGTTCGTCTTCTGCTGAATGGAAAAAGAAAAGCTTTGAGTAGATATTGGCGCGTACGGTTTTTTTCATTTTGTTCGTTCATCGTTCATGAACGGTCCATTTGTTCGTTTTTTTTTCAATAGTTTCAAAAACTATTAATTTCGTTCTTTCTTAAAATTATCGTTCATTTCTCATCTATTTCGTTCGTTTTCTCACTGAACTTTCGTTCAGTAAAATTGTTCATTCAGAAAAATCGTTCGTTCAAGAAAATCGTTCGTTCAAAAAAACGATCGTTTTTCAAAAAAAGAATTGTGAAAAAAAATCATCAGTTTAGTATAAAAACCTATTGTTTATAGTGCGTGAAAAAAATCGTTTGTTCAGTAAAACAACTAATAAAATCGTATATTAACGATCAAAGTCGTAAAACCGATTTTAAACTGGTTACGATGGACATTGGACACTGTACCAGTGTACCGTCTAAAAATTATTTGAGTACTATTAGTCCAAAACCGTACTGAACACGCCTAATATATTGTGACCCTGCACGACCATATTAGTTTAACATATATTTAACCAAATACAATATTGTTGACAGGTTGGATACAAAGGGTTTACCTTATAACCTAGAGATTTTCTTAAGAAGAACCAACGTTCCGCTTTCCTTAGCACTTCCACCATCTGCTCTGAGCTGAAGCTGTTCTTGAGATCGAAACATGTTTGAGAGAGATTAAAAGCTTCCACTCTGAGTTTATCATCCTTCTCCAGGAGGTTGAAGGATAGGGAACACACTTCACAGTTACAATCAAACCCGTATCCGGACTTAAGCAAGCTACGCCGCTCCTGCTGCGTTATTCGACCCTAAAAACAATGTAAGACAATTGAAAGAATTCATCAAATTTCGTATTTTCATTTTCTGATAATGGATTGTTGCAGATATTTATGTTTTAATTAAATGATTATATGGAGCTCTTTAAAACTGTACCCACATATTCATGGCTATTTATTTATTTTCGCAAATACTGAAATTTACGTAAAAAAGTATAAAACACATTGAAAAATTGTCAAGACGACATTTCACAAATTCTTTCGATGTATGGCTCATTTAGGGTTAACTGTACCATATCACGTGACTCAATTCTTAAATACATGTTATTGCAGACAATTATTCATCAGAAATAGAAAAGAAGATCTTTAAAGCTTAAAAATTTATTTCAACATTCATATCTCCAGCTCGGACAATTAAAAACAGGTTGGTGAACAATGACTGGATTCCCTCCCCAGTTTATCCACTCCATGACTTGTACCTGTGCTGTAAGATCCAGGTAACAGTCAGTAATCTCCTCTCCCTCCAGGATACACCTATAGAGTACATAGTTTTAAATATAAAAGGGGTTGCAAAGATATAGGAATTTAAAAAATTAAGTTCGTGGGAAAAACACAATTCTTTTTTAAATTCATTGTTAATATGGAAGAAATTTGTTTTGTCCACTTGGGTTAGCTGATTAAAGTTTGTATTTCAATTTTGCATGATTTGCAAGAAAATTGTCTTTTCTAAAAGTTATTTTGATAAATATATATTTATCATGCACGACCTGTGTACATTTGAATATACGAGCTTAGCCAACCTTTGCAGTCCTAGTTTGGACTGTACCGCCAATTTACTATAAGCGGCAGACCTGTGTGATTTATAGCTATTCCGAGTAAACTCTGGTAAATTTCAAGTACCGGGCCGAATTTTAATCAGCAAGCTGTACATTACAAATACAGACTTTATAAGGCAAAGCGGGACAGTAAGCTTAATGAATTATCCCCTTCTAATAAACTTTACTTGATAACCCCTAACCTGGAGGCTCTGAGTTCTTCATATCCTTGCTCAGGGTTCCAGTGGAACTCAGAGTTAGGTCTGAAAAAAAATATTTGTGGGAACTTTTTATGCAAACCAGGTATTATTAGTAGAAGGGTTTTTATACAAACCAGGTATTATTAGTAGACGGGTTTATACAAACCAGGTATTATTAGTAGACGGGTTAATGTGATTAAGTTGCAAAGATATAGGGATTAAAAAATGCAGGATTGTGGCAAGTGTTTAATTCCATTGGAATATCTTTTACCTTATTGTATTTCTATAATGGTCTAAATAGAAGATTTACCTGCAGCTGTGATTTATCCTGAAACAACAGAAAAAGATTAAAAAGTTAAAGGAACTGTGTAGGTGTACTTTGAGAGATATTTATTTTTATCATTATCCTTCTTGTTATTATTATTATTATATAGTTATCATAACTATCATCATTATTATTATCATTTTTCCACCTTTTGACCAAAATTACTGACCTATTGTAGCTATCCAAACCCCCCCCCCCTCCCCAACCCCCATCAAACAGGTATGCTTGGACTGTTTGTGTGAGATCATCGAACCCTGGCCAGCCTATAAATGCTATGACTACTGCTTATCCACGAAGCCTTAAAGGGAGGTTAGGTTACTTAACGTCTTTTGGGACAGTTATGAAAAATAACCACCCGTTCTGCGAAGTTTTCGGGGGAAAATTCGCGAATTTTCATCTCAAAAGACGATAAAATTGTGTACAACTACTTTTTCGAGACATTAAAAGTTGTACTTAACCACGGCAACAAAACATCCCTCTCTGCACTCTGGATATTTTGTAGACAAAATTGGTCTTGGGAACCCTTGGTAAAGTAAATACCCTTAACTTTCCTGTAAAGTAAATAATTATTATCGCTATTATTATTATTATTATTATTATTTAACCTGGAAAGTATTGGAAGCATGGCAGTAGGAAACCTTGTTGAACTACCTTGTCCAATACTATAGCAGTTAGTGAAGTATATTCCTCTTTATAACAAAATAATATTAATGTATGATAAACTAGTTTAAAGGGATTTCAAGTAACCCTTCATGTTTAGCGGTTGGAAACAATATGACCGGAAAGTATGAAACTAGTGTGCTCCACTAGGATTTACTGTCACATATATAGCGGTAAATTTAGGCCAGTTGACTTAGAGGTAATTGTCAAAACTAATTCTTTGGAAAAAGATCCATCTTTTTTTATGGAAGTTAATTATTCGATTTCTCTCTATGCACTTGTGCTTCAGTAACAATATGAAAGAAGTTGTCAGAATTAAACACTTTTAGAGCTAAAAAACAATTATTTCTTCCACATTAAAAAGGTATAAAGGGCACCGTTGTGAATCAAGCATATATAAATGGAGGTTTACTACAGTCCTCAGATCAACAAGTATTAACCCACCTTGGAGTTTTGCCTTGAATGGATTTGGAGTCTGCAAGATTCCAGAAAGTTTCCCGATCAAGAGGATTCAGGTTTTTCACAGCGCAATCCAAGTAATTATCAAGCTGCAATAAAAGTTTTCAGTCAAAATAAAAAAATTTTGATCTTCAATTTTTCAGTTAAATTAAAAAATAAAAAAAATTTTATCGTAAATTTGAAATGTTGCCCGAATTAAAAATCTCCTAATCTCTCAATTACAAATACAAGAACTCGAAAATTAAGAAGAAATTAAAAAAAAAAAAACATTGTAAAGAAATTTTAAAAACATTTACTTAAAGAAATATTATTGGTTTATTGCGCTTAAAAAGGTCTTTTTTTTCTCTTTTTAAGGTAATTTTAAAAAAATCATTTGAATTTTTATTTCATATTATCACATTATATATTATGTCGCCTATTTTGCATAATTTAGAATATTTTTGTAAACCATATTCAAAAAATGTTAAACAAAATTAAACTACATCATAATATTAGATTAATTCTTAATATAAAATAATTTCATCAATATCTATTCTATCATTATGCTATGTTAATATATAATCATCATTGTTAATGTAATTTTGATGTGTATTGTATGAGAGGAGAATAATTATTATTAGATATTATTTTTTATCTTTGTAAAAAAGCTATTCACTCATTCATATATAATTAGCATAAATATATATTTTTATTTATATATATATATATATATGTCAGTTTTTAACTTCACATTTTTATTAAGAAAAGAATTATACTAAACATAATGTTTCACGTCTATCATGACGATCCTCAGTAGTTACAATTCTTTAAATAAATATATATATATTTATGATAATTATAGCTGGCCAAACAACGTGATCTAATTTGCTGAAATTTGTTTTGGAACCCATACGTACGGCACTCGATCCAGCTAGTTATCTATATAAACTAGTTTACCGTATTTTTGTTTTGAGAATGTGCATCTGGTGGAACTATAAACAGAGGAGTATCTGCTACTATTAATTCTCCCTGTTTTATATCTTTCCTAAAAATTATTCAATTTATTGTTCAACCAAAAACAGATAAACAGATAAAAAACAGATAAAAATTACTTTTTTTTCAACTTGCATCTTTGTTACATACAGGGGCAAACTCAGGAATATGTCCAGGGAGGGACTGCACAGTTGTTTCTTTTAATGGGTTGGCTTACACCCATTGGGGATTTTGGACCCAAACCCCCCTGAAAACCATAGATTTTACTGATCCAGAGGAGTGGATAAGGGTTCATAGAGTTTAAACCTACCTAGCTAGGACTCCCTTCCCCTTCCCTGAAATATTCATCACCTTCCAGCACCTTCCCTTGGTATATCTAGAGTTTAAACCTACCTAGCTAGGACCCCCTTCCCTTTCCCTGAAATATTCATCACCTTCCAATACCTTCCCTTGGTATATCTAGAGTTTAAACCTACCTAGCTAGGACTCCCTTCCCCTTCCCTGAAATATTCATCACCTTCCAGTACATTCCCTTGGTATATCTAGAGTTTAAACCTACCTAGCTAAGACTCCCTTCCCCTTCCCTGAAATATTCATCACCTTCCAGTACCTTCCCTTGGTATATTTAGAGTTTTAACCAACCTTGCTAGGACTCCCTTCCCCTTCCCTGAAATACTTATCACCTTCCAGTACCTTCCCTCGGAATATTTAGAGTTTAAACCTTCCTTGCTAGGACTCCCTTCCCCTTCCCTGAAATATTCATCACCTTCCAGTACCTTCCCTTAGTATATAAAGAGTTTAAACCAACCTTGCTAGGACTCCCTTCCCCTTCCCTGAAATATGCATCACCTTCCAGTACCTTCCCTTGGTATATCTAGAGTTTAAACCTACCTAGCTAGGACTCCCTTCCCCTTCCCTGAAATATTCATCACCTTCCAGTACCTTCCCTTGGTATATCTAGAGTTTAAACCTACCTTGTTAGGACTCCCTTCCCCTTCCCTGAAATACTCATCACCTTCCAGTACCTTCCCTCGGAATATTTAGAGTTTAAACCTACCTAGCTAGGACTCCCTTCCCCTTCCCTGAAATATTCATCACCTTCCAGTACCTTCCCTCGGTATATTTAGAGTCCATATTTAAACTCTGTAAGTTCATTTGTAAATTGTACAATGTACACATAGGTCATTGTGATCCAAGGTTGAAAGATCAAAGGCCAATTAAGGCAGCGTTGAAACATTTCAAAGTCAACCCAGTCTGCAAATGTATGCAACTTTTCTTAGTATTCAGGATCTGCGTGGATTAAGTTTCATATCTATAGCTAGTGTCATGGTTTAAAATGGTGCGTAAAGAACTAATTTCTCTCCTATTTTCCTGTAAAGATAATTCGACATAAACCGTCGTAAAAACATCTTACACTGACACAGCACCCTGGACTAACCAGGGATGATGCGTTCAATTTCTTCACTTTACTTTTGATTGCGTGTTGGTCTACAATTCAACCATCTTTAAACGTACAATTAAGAGAATATATCGTAATTTCAAGTTTTCCATTTGAAAATTTATCACTTTAAATGAAAGTTTCTCTCTGAAAGCCTCTTTACGGATTAATGAAAGAAATTAAACGGAATTATGCTTTGTACAAATTTTCCTCTGATTCGATAATAAAGGGTGCTATTGTGTGTTAAGAAAATGGTAAATGGAGAGTCCCTCGAAATTCAATGTTGTTCCCCGGTTGTATGAACTTGAAGCTAAGAAGGGTGAATACTGTATATATTACTAAACTGTGTTCCCCCGGTTGTATGAACTTGAAGCTAAGAAGGGTGTATACTGTATATATTACTAAACTGTGTTCCCCCGGTTGTATGAACTTGAAGCTAAGAAGGGTGAATACTGTATATATTACTAAACTGTGGTCTCTCTCTCACACAAACTTTATCCAAGGAATTTGCTTACCCCATCATCTTCTGTAATTAATGACTTACGGGAAAAGATGGAACTGTAAAGTGTAAATGTCGTCTTTTATAGAAGACGACATGATTTCATATAACATGAATTTCGTTATATAGGGAATCCAAGATACATGTATACATAGCAAGAGTTCTTTATAATGTTGTATTCTTAACCTATTTAAGATCAAATGCCGCGTAAATACGAACTTAATTTATCAATTGCTGTCCTGCATATTACAGGGCTATTCATTTACCTTAAAATAAACTTTAAAAAGTAGTTTCTTAAGAATTATCTAAAAAAAATATGACTTTCAACAAGGATATTTGGATACATTTTCATAAATTATATTCAATCCATTTAAAGCTGCGAAATCTGAGCAGCTTTCTTCAGGTGCAGGACATTGATTAAGCATAACAGCTGTCAAAAATTGTTGAAACAATTTTGAGACGACATTTCATGCGCTCTTGCTGTGTATTCTTATATGTAAGATTGGCTGTAGTGCAGGGAGAACTAGCAAACTGTGGAATAGGAAGACGACATTAAAATATATTATGTAAAGCAAATAGTTTACTATAAGCTTAAAATTCAAATATAAAAGTATTTGTCTGAGCAAATTGTACAATTGTTTCATGTTTATTTGACTATCATTCAAAAATCATAACATGAATCCCAGATTTTTCTTGTTTTCACTGTATCATCTAGATTCTAGGGTTTACAATGAGATGTAAGATAATAACGGGTCGTAAAATATTGGGCATATTTCATATAATTCAGTACTGTTGGACAGCTGTAGGAGCTGAAGTCAATCAGAATTTAGTTCTATAAATTGTTTATTGATGAATAGAAATTGACAACAAAAAGCATCCGGGCTATTTAAAAGGAACTCGTCTCATTTTTTTCAATCTTTCTGGAATTGTTGTTAATCCATATTGTTTTAAAAAATCAATAAAACTTCCTTAAATTCAAAACTGTATTATGTTAATGTTTGCTTTTATTAAACATTCCTTCATCTTTTCTAAAAACGAATGTTACAACACGTTCATTTTTACCTCGTTTTTGCATTGTTTTTGGGACGTTTTTTGCATATATCTTCTGTCAGGGTAAAATTTGACATAGTATAAGAAAGCAAATGTTTAGATTTAGAATGAAAAATGTAAAACATTTGCTTTCGTACACTTAGCCAAATTTTGACCGTGGAAGAAATCTATTCAGAAACGAACCAACTGAAGCCACATCACTAAATATATGAAAATTGTCCATTTTCAGGTTCTGGTAAACTACTTAACAATACATTTTCATTTATCAAGCCCCCGGTACCTTCATACCTGTACATTTGTGGATTATGAAGACGACTTTTAAGCAATCTTATGAATATTCTATGAATTGTTTTATGGCAAATAGTTTCACAATAACTTCCTATATGGATTTCACTGTTTATTACACAAATGTGATTTTAATGAAATTTGTTTTGTTAACTTCATGAACCGTGTTAAACTCTTGCTATAGATCTACACTTTAGTTTTACTGAGAAACCACAATTTAAAAAAAATCTATTTTTAGGTCAAAAACGGCTCATTCCTCTTAAATCAAGCAATGGTTTAAAGAATTATACATTATATGTTTACGACCCCTTTAAGCGTAAATTATACACAAGGGTTACCCTCAAAGATTGAGACTTTCGAATCGACTCAACGAAATTATTCACTCACTCTTACTGTGTAAAATAATGGTCCCATGTTAATATCTTTGCAAAATTAATTATTATTTAAAATTGTTGTTTAACGAGTGAGAGCAAATAATTATATCTAAAAACTATGAGTTTCTGGTTTTATTAAAGTCTCAAGTATTGTGGGTAACCTTGTGTATCTTGTCTGAACCATGAGAACCCCTTCTATCCTTATCTCCTTAAACATGAGAAACCTTCTCTGAAAACTCCTTTTATCCAATTGTCTGCTTAACCCCTGAGAACTCCTTGTTTCCTTGTCTCCTAAACCCTCTGAGAACACATATTTTATTGTCTTATACTAAACCCCTTAGAACCTCTTATGTCCTTGTCTCCTAAACCCTCTAAAAACCCCTTGTATCATTGGTTGCTAAACCCGCTAATAACCATATTTTCTTGTCTCCTAAACCCTCTGAGAACCCCTTTCATCATTTTCTGCTAAACCCCCTGAGAACCACATATCCTTGTTTACAAAACCCTTAAGACCGCCCTTCAATCCTTGTCTCCTAAATTCTAAGAACCCCATTATCCTCGTCTCCCAAACCCCCCGAGAACTTGACTCTCTTAACCTCGTATCTACTTGTAAATCAGTCCTAGATATATATCCATTCTTCTCTCCGACTTCTCCTCTTCCTGAAAACTCTTCCCCTTCCTTTTACTTTTTCTCCGCCTCCATCTCCTCTTCTTCCTTCTTCTTCTCCTTCTTCCTCCTTCTGAAAACTCCTCCCCTTCCTTTTCCTTTTTCTCCGCCTCCTTCACTTCTTCTTCCTTCTTCTCCTCCTCCTCCGTATCCTACTTCTCTTTCTCCATCTCCTTTTCCCCTTTCTCCTTCTCATTCTCCTCCTTATCCTCTTTATCCTATTTCACTTTCTCCATCTCCTTCTCCACCTTCCTCTCCTTCTCCTGTGGTATTATCATATCGTATTTAAGTCCATTGAATCCCCTGATCCCCCAGAACCTACCTGGTTCCTCTCTGCTCTGTGTTACAACAACAACCTAGTGTTGAACTAACCTCTATCGATTGTATTGAGGTTCAGTAGCTGTGGAACCAGTATGCTGCTGGTATCTCCTTGTCTAGCCTAAACCTAGTTCTATCCCAACCAGATGGAAGAAGGCGTAGGTCAACCTGGTCCTCAGATACAGCCTGTAGATCCAGGTATAAGTTTATACTGCTTGGTTCTATCTCAGGGAAGACCTGAACACACAGGGGTTCCGTGGTTGTGTGGGGGTGGATAAAAAGCATTCATTGTTCTGCAGTATTTAAGTTTAACCCTGAACCCGTCTGGTTAACTTGTTGCGTAATTCAAAACTAAGATTGAAATAAACGTATATTTCTAAGGAAAGAAAGATCTTATTGCTTAACGTAAAATCCACAATACATGGCACACGATCTATCTAGTCTTTGTGCTAAACTATATAAAAAAGTCCTGAATAGAAAAGATCACACATTCTATATTCTCTAACATAAAATAGAGAACAATTTGTTGTTTAAGAATTGAGAATGTTGATTGATGTACTAAATTACAAAATGTAAAGTTTTTGAACATGTTTTAAAAACTTGACTCCCGGAAACAAAATTTTTAATTTATTATATTTTGCAATATGAAAATAAAAAATCCCACAAAGCCATGCCTTTTTAATGATAAGAGTAAGTAAAAAAGTTTAAATATTAAACAAAAACTATGTTTTTCGCAGAGGTCTTGACGTATGTTTTTAGCCTCGTAAATATGATTTATCAAAGTTTAAAATTTTTCTATTTTAAAAGTTTAGATTAAGAATAAAACTTTTAGATTAAGATGGAGGTACAAATTTGCAAGGATTCATAGAAAACAGATTTTTTTAAAACTTTTAACTTTTAAAAAATATATTTCCACATTGATTAAAACATGTTCGTAAGAATTTTGCACCATGCAATTTACAGCTAACATCAAAAATTTGAAATCTTTTGCGGAAAAAAATATTAAAAAAATTTTAAATTATTTTTTACATTGAGAAGATTCTTTTTTGTAAATGCCGCTACCGGTTTTGAAATTTTCAGTGTTGAATATGATAAATTGTTGAAAATGTATATCTTAGAAATAAATCAAACACAACCAATAAATTTCATAGCAACATTTCATAGAATAATGAGAGAAAACATTTCTTCTTCTTCTTCTGTATTCTGGTGCCCAATGTGTGCATCTCATACAGTCATAATCAATATAAGTGATATATAAGTCGTCTTTATTATTCAAACTATATTACTATTAGACAATGGCTTATTTAACTATATAAGTGATCAGAGGTCTGAAGTTTTTTATTAAGTATTGTTTATTTGCAACGCTTGATCTCAATATCCTGTGTAGAAACTTTTGATTTTGAGGATCAATGCTTTACAACACAAAAGTTCTTACTTATCATTTCAGGGTTGCAACAGAAACGAATTAAATAATGCTTAGCGAAGTTTCGGATTTAAAAGCTGACTTTTATTCTTTTATTTTCTAATTATCATTGGACTATTTGTTTTAGTAGCCTGGCTGGTGTTTATCTGATATATATTTTAGTTGCCTGGCTGGTGTTTATCAGTATATATATTGTAGTATCCTGGCTGGTGTTTATCAGTATATATATTGTAGTATCCAGGCTGGTGTTTATCAGTATATACATTGTAGTATCCTGGCTGGTGTTTATCTGTATATATATTGTAGTATCCTGGCTGGTGTTTATCTGTATATATATTTTAGTAGCCTGGCTGGTGTTTATCAGTATATATATTGTAGTATCTTGGCTGGTGTTTATCAGTATATATATTGTAGTATCCTGGCTGGTGTTTATCTGTATATATATTTTAGTATCCTGGCTGGTGTTTATCTGATATATATTGTAGTATCTTGGCTGGTGTTTATCTGTATATAAATTGTAGTATCCTGGCTGTTGTTTATCTGTATATATATTTTAGTTGCCTGGCTGGTGTTTATCAGTATATATATTGTAGTATCTTGGCTAGTGTTTATCAGTATATATATTGTAGTATCTTGGCTGGTGTTTATCTGTATATATATTGTAGTATCCTGGCTGGTGTTTATCTGATATATATTTTAATTTCCTATCTGTATATATTGTAGTATCCCGGCTGGTGTTTATCTGTATATATATTGTAGTGGCTGGTCTTTATCTGTATATGTCTGGGTGGGGCTGGAGTACTGCTCCTGGGAGCTGCCCTAGCCTGCCATCTAGTCAGGAAAAAGGGAAAGAAGAAACACAACTTCGGGATTAAAAAATCATGGCATCAGGTAGTGTTTAAATATGGTTATCCAATCGGATTTCCGTTGCTCAGAATTGCGAGCAACTGTTCGCGAATTGCGCGGAATAGTGCGGAATTGCGTGAAATTGCGCGGAATTGCGTGGAATTGCGTGGAGTTTACATGGCTCGCAATTGCGCACAAGTAAAATTCATTTGCATTGTAAACTCTAGTTACAAAGTGTGCATTACATAGCCTTTAATCGTGCTATATACCGTAGAGCGCTTCAACGCGGGTAACATTTTTAATGATATTTTGGCTGACTGTCTCTTTCACAACGTTTAAAAACTCTAAAAATAGTAATTCATAAATTTTTAATTAAAAACTACCGACCGAAATAACTCCAAAATTAGAGATATTTTTAATTCAGAAATTAGTTTTAAAAAAGAGATCATTTTTCAAAAAGAGAAAAAATTCCAAATTAGGTACAGATAACAATATATTTATATACAAAAAAAATTTATTAATGCGATAAAAAAAGTGTTGGTCCGCGGAAAAATATAGAATTTGAGACTTTTTCGCTTTCAAGATATATACAGTGGAGCGCAATTGAAGGAAATAAACTATTAAGTCCAAGTATATATGCTGCGTATGTATTATGTAAATAATGTTTGCATTCTAATCTCAGCATGAAATACTTTCATTTTATGTAGGATTACCGGCACGGCTTTATGATCTCGTGATTTCTCTCGTTTTCATATTTTTGCATCGTTTCAGACAAGACAAAAATTGAGTAGAAACGGACATTTTTTAACATAAATCAAGTTTCGTGGATTACGCAAAATTAAATTGATTAGAATAAATTATTTTAATTTTCTAAAATAACATTGAGTTTACGATGTAAATGTAATCTTAAAGGGAGTGTTCGCGAAAAATGAAAGGGGGTATAGGCTTAATGCGATGAAAAAGCGGGTTTTGATCGCTACTAATCTTACTTCTATCTGTTGCGTCTATAAGGAGAAAATTGTTAAAGACGTCTCATACCGAATAACATGGCGTCCATACAAATTGAGAAAATTGCAACATAGGACTTAGACCGTAAAAAAATCAATTTAATTTCAAACAAATCATTCAGAGATTACAACCAATAGTCATCGATTATCTTTCGCCACATTTATATATAGTTGATTTTTCATAATATGTTTTAATTGTTATGATCTGAGAGTTACTTGTAAAAACATTTATTCCTGTTTCGGGGATTTTGGTAATGAAGACGACATTTTTATATTTTCCAGGAATGTTCGAAAACAAGTTGTAAGCTAAATATTATTTTAAAAACAAAATCAAAACTAGTATGAAATATCAAATCTATACAAATGTGGCGAAAGATAATCGATGACTATTAACAGTTAAACAGTTAAACTATTGATTTTAGCAATGAAGGACAGTTTTTTATTTTATATGAAAAAGATTATTTCTTCTTATAATAGCAAAATAAACGCAGTTGAAAAAAAACCTTGGAACCATTTAAACCTTTTGCTTGAGAAAAAAAGAAGAAGATGGAGATAAACTTGTTTTGCTGTCTAAAAGCTGATAACTTTATAACTAACTCGAATGAAAAAATGAACATGGGAAAACTTGAATTTAAAATTCAATGTAAACATGAAAATTAATTTAAGAAATGAAATAGATACATTAGTCTGGAAACAGAAAGAAATGATAGTTCACTTTAAGGCTTCAGATGCAGATATGTGTGTACCTATGTCAAATTTTAATAGTGCGTCCTCAATACCGCGTCCTAAATATGCGCCCTCATCAGTGTTTTAAGATTAGTGCACCCTCCTTAGAAACAGAGTATGTTAATAAATGATGCCAGCTATGTCAGGGAAATAACCTATAGTGTTTGTTTGTAAAATGTAAAAAGGAAAATGTTATAAATCTGATTTCCCGAGAAAATAATATATTTTTTAAAAGTCATAAATTACATTTTTTCTTCTGATTTATTAGCTTTAGATTAATTCTGCAAATTGGTTTTCAAGATTTGAAAAAAGTCATTTGTTCGTTAATTTAATAGTGAAACTTTTGTGCTAACAATTGGACTGATAATATCTTTTTTCTTTCGTTAAATTATCTCTATCGATTATGTTTTGTACGAAATATCGGAATTATTTTTTTCTAAAACGTCTTATTGGTTTTAATATATCATATAAGTAGCATTAACACATATCACATATTATAGAGGTAGAGTTAAAAAAACTCACAACCCAATATAGTATGCCTTATATTTCAAACTATGAATTCTTTTGGATCAAGGAATCTAAGTTTAAACTATCAAAAGTTTACACCATAAGATTGCAAAGATAAAGGGGTTAGAACTCTTTTGAGTCTGTGGCAAAAACTAAATTCCTTTATTTCTTATTTTTCTATAGTGAAACATAAATTTATAAAAATATTAAAATAAAGAAAAATAATCAAATTAAATAAGTAAGTGAAGAGAACTGGGAGAAAAAAATAATTTTCGAAATTAAAAGGAACTGCGCGGCGGTCCGAACTTTTGGATAAGGTAGGGCTGATCTCTGCAGTAAAATTTTAAGTTTGGCGCAGTTTTTGTAAATAGTTGGTAGATTTGTATCATGTATGGTCTGATTTTAGAAAACTAACAATTGATTAGAAGCTCCTTATCTCTGTGTCTTCATCAGAATTTTTTTTTCAGTTAATTTTCCGTGTACATTTATATAAAGCATAATTTTCAAATCACAAGGTGGGATTCAATCATGTTGTTGGGAGAAAACATGGCCCAACCCCCATGGCTGTGGTTCAGAACATGTTATTTTTATGTTTTATTAATTTTCTGTGCTCAGGTTAATCTGGAATTAAGGTTTATCCCGTCCTAATCCTCAATCCTGGCCGAGTAGAACTTGTTTGATCCATACTCTAGAAAAAAAACTAAAAAACATAAAAAAGTTTATTACCACCCACATAGATTCAGCCTGCTTATAAACAGTCTCATCAATTTTTAAGCCAAAGTAGAGTTTTGAAGTGTCGCCACACCATGGGCTTAGATTTTACCACTCTAACTCAGTTATGCTTTTCTGTAACCATTTACATGTACATTTTAGCACTGTAAAGCACTTGTTGTTAGGGATGGTTTTTAAGAAATAGTTGACAACCTTCTCATCGAATTTTGCTTGACACGTGAGACCTTTAAATCACAGTGCACCTCAAACTCCGCTGGCGGAAGAGGCCCAAGAAAGCTGAATTCATTGCCAAATTTTTTTTTTTCAGAGGTCAAAACTGTTGTACCGTTAATCTTGAACTCTTGGTCTCGATATCCGATGTGGACAATTTAAAATTTGAGGATGCATATTTGATCCCTAAATTCATGATATCTATACAGGGTATAGGCCCACCACGGGATGTTTTATAGGAATAAGTCTGCATAAGCTAGAGATCAATGCTTGATAATATCTACACATAAACTTCAGGAGATTAGAAGATGGAGTTCGTAAAGAAAAGAAATTGTTTACAAAATGCATAAAAATACCCAATAAAAAAGGAGGATTTCTTGGTGAACTTGAATCAGAAACATAAAAAGGTAGAAAAAAGAAGGAAAGAAAAGCGATGAACTCGGTGAAGCTTTTCTGAATTTTTCAATTTGTCATAAAAATGGAAACATACAGTGGCAACATAAAAACTTGGAATGATGACGTCGTCTTTAATTTTTCCTCATAAAATTAAAAGGGACTGTAAGTGTAATTTCAAATGACCCTCCATTTTAAGAGGGGCATACCTGATTCACAACAGTTTCTTAAAACCTTCATCTGATCAATTAAATGTGTAAGATAACGTCGTTTTTCTAGCTTCACTTTTATAGACAAATCATAAATGAAAATGATATTTAGTTCATACTTTATCAGGTAAATCTTTTATCGTTGTGAATCTGACAAAGCAGGGTCACTTAAAACTACGTTTATTTAAATAAAAAATGTCGTTAAGAATTTTGTAATAAGTAAATGACAAATTACATGATTTTTTCTTGAATAAAAAAAGAATCTAGATTGATAATTAGTTCATATTCTGGTTTTTAATGTATGATCTAGAATTTAAAAAAGTGTGTTTTCAATATTATATTTTATTAAACTCGGTTTAAAGGAAATTAATATTTAACAATTTTAGGCGAACAAAGGGTTTGATTCTATACGGTTCTTTTATAGAGATTAGAGCAAACAATAGAAAATAAGATAATGAGATAGGATAATAAGTAGTGGATTTTTAAACTTTCAGATGGAGCTTAAAAACATTATCAGCTTTAAAATCTTTTATAACTTACATTCCGAATTTGCCTAATTTATGAATTTATGTGATTAAGGCAAGACGTGGATCAAATGTAACTAACTTTTATTTATAAAATATTTGCATAGAACAAGTAGTGACTGGAAACAGTATAACGCATAATATAGTACTCCGGCTACGTGTCAGGAAGACAGGTTAGAGTATACGAAGGTCGTCTTTAGCTCCGTCACATGATCATCTTTAATCACTTAAATTCAGGGACTGTAAGTGTAATTTTAGTAGGACCCTCTATGGTCTATTCATTTGTCATGTCAAGTTTGAAACAGTATGGTATCAATGTTTATAATTTCAAAAACTGTTTATTTTTAGTTGAGGTTTTTTCATTCAAAACAACTTGCGCATTTCCACAACATATATATATATATATATAGATCATCAGAATTTAACCCTTTTTAACCTAGAAAAACGACAATATCTTCCACATTATTGTTCACCGTTGGGAACTGCTGGTATTGCCATCTTTGCAATTGGGCTTTTAATTTAAAGGGAGTATTGACCTGACTTTAAGTGACTTAATAACCGCCACAATGACTTACAAGTTTATGCAGCAGAAAAAATTTAGGAAATTGTCAGAATTTAACACTTTGCAAGAAAATAGGTGATTTTTTTCCTGATTGTTACGCAGAAAAAAAAATTTATAAATGGAAAGTCCCCTTCCCCCCCCCCCCCCCCATACTTAGGATCTAAACTTCCTTCTTTTCTGAGACTTTATAACTTGAACAATTAAGGATAAATAGATCTGAAAAGAAGGGGATTAGAGTTCTAACATTTTTTGTGACTTAGCAACGCGTAGGTTCAATATACGTCGTATACAGGACAGCTAAGGAAAATAATAAGAAAGCCACGGATTTACTTGATAGGAAGGAGGGCCGGGTCTGGGCAAGCACTGATTACTTTACAAATTACAAATAGAATTTAAACATAAAGTCTCTTTCAATCTTTGCAACAAACTTTGATTGTCTAATCTTTGCAACTAATTGGGATAGCCATTAAATATTTCAGAATATAGAATCTGTTAGATAAAATAATTTGAGTTTGAAATACCAAAGATAAAAACCAACAGGTTGCAAAGAAACCTGAGTTGTGTGGAAAAGACTCAATTCCTTTAATTGTTAAACTTTTCTTATTTCAGGACAGATCATTTCTCAAGTTCCGCAAACCAACCCCTGTAACCATTCCGGACAAGGGGAGTCACTATCTCAAGAAATCTCCTAGTCCTACGGGGCACAAGTCCCCCCCTGGGGTTGATGTAGGGGGCGTGGAGGGTGTAACCCTCTCCCCAGTCAATGAATATTTACAACGTAAAGCCCTGATAACTACGACTCAGCAGGTGAGAGATAAATATAGAAATAAACACAAACAAGTCAGTGGATAGATGGATAAATGGATAAATGGGTCATTAATTATTGGAAAAATAAATCAGAAAATCTTCTAAATTTCTTTTAAAATCAAGAGAACTGAGCTGGGAACTTTAGATTGGTGGATATCGGGATTAATGCTTGATCTGCTTTTTCTTAATCTCCAGATTAAATATTGCTTGTTTTCCTCATGAATTTAATCTCCAGATTAATTAACAGATCAGGATCACATTATAAAGTTTTCAGCTCTGATCTCTTGTCACAAACTCTGGTTTTCTAATTCTTTTGCCTTTGCAACCCAATATTTCAATCAATGCATTTTAATAGATCAAAAGTTTGAAATATCAAAAGCGTACACCATAAGATATCAAACATATTGGGATTAGTATGAGTTTGTGGGAAGATATCAGTCCCTTATTATTACAAACATTTAGGTGAAAAAAATTACTCTTTAAGCTAAAAAATTATTTTATACTTTAAACAAGGAGAAGACTCTTAACTTTGTTAATATGAAAACTATTTTTAACCTGAACAATTACTGAGCACTAGCCTAACATACTTTATCCATTATCAGGTCTTTCCATTATTCCCATTCCCCCACCCTATCTGGTGTTTATCTGTATATATATTGTAGTATCCTGGCTGGTGTTTATCTGTATATATATTGTAGTATCCTGGCTGGTGTTTATCTGATATATATTTTAATTTCCTGGCTAGTGTTTATCCGTAGATATATNTTTTTCCCTGCTTTTCTCGCTCTATAACCCCTCCCTCTATAGCTCCACGTATTTTGTAAAGACCAAACACAGTTGATTCTCTTTAATAAAAAATTTACTGATCTGTAATGCAAAAACCAATGAATAAATTCAAAAGTTTTTTGAAATAATTTTTGCATCAAAATCGGACTGAGATAATTTCGAAATGAATTAACTCATGCCCTAGACTGGACGAGATGCGTATGGTTTCTTTAATTCAAATTTAATCTGTTTTGGTCTATTATTATAGTTGTTTTTTACTTTTCCATTTGTAACGCATCCGCCGTCAAAAAACCATAATAATAACAAAAAAAATTTGATTTTTTTAATAGTTTAAAATGTGCTCGAAAATCAGAGCTTGCTTGGTCAAGGGTAAAACTCTTAAATCCGAGTGAACTCAATCTTTCTTAAAGTTTGACTGTTTCCTCAATAATTAGGCAATTAAATGTATGATTATATTTACAGCATATATAGAAACTATAGTTTTCAACTTTTCCAATCATAAAGATGAATTAAAACTTTAAGAATATTTTTCCAAAACGTTTTTTTTCTTAAAATATTTTTGGAAAGGAAAATCAAGAGAAATAACTTTTTAAAACCCTTAAATCCATCTCCTGCTATAGCTGATGATGTTTTTTATACTTCTTCATTTTAACATCCTTGGAATTGTCATAATTTCCTTTTTTTGTAAAATAAAAAGTTTATGATCTTGGTGAAAAGTCGAGTTTTAAACCAGATATGGCACGACTATTGTAGGCAAAAACTTTGAAATTCGATTAAAACTCCACTTCTCATCAATTCCAGATATTACCAAACTATTATCCAAATATCATCTAGAAATAATCTATAAATCATCCAGATATCATCCAGGTATCATCCAGATATCATCCAGATATCATCCAGTCGTCATCCATTTTTACAACCCCCAACTTGGTAAAAAGTCGAGTTTTCACCCAGATATGGCACGACAATTGCAGGTGAAAACTCCACTTCCAAACTCGATTAAAACTCCACTTCTGGAAGGCTAATTAAGTCGAGTTTTACTCGAGTTTAACTCGAGTTTCTGTATGCTGTGGAAGTGTTTATTTATAAAAATCTTTCAAACGCTTAGAGTAATTTATTATCAATTAATTATGGAAAGCTTGAGATTATAAATATATTGAATATTAATATATACATAAGGTATAGGTGCAACAGATATTAATATTTTGAATGAAATATAATAGCTGGTTCTCGAGAGAAATTCCACGATTTTAAACATTTCACAATAATTTTTCCTTAAAATTGTTCACTTTTGAGAAAATCAAAATACAAGTTTTTAACAGATCTAAAAAATAAAATAGAAAATTGAGCAGGGTTGATTCTGGAAAATGCACTGATATCCGCGGGATGGATTGTCCTTAAATTTTTTGAACAACTCAAATATTTTAAACAAAAACTTCTGATAATAATCTCTTTTTGCCATGAGTTGTAATCTTCTTAGCTTCAACTAATTTCCATTTTTTGGAAGGAGGATTTACTAACCGAATGATTTAACTAAACAAATGTTTAGTTTAAAAAAAACGAAATAGAAAATGATTAATTTAGAAAACGAACGAATTCAAATTGTTGCTTAACGACTGAAAAATAACGAAATTGATCGTTACAGAAGGATGAACGTATGAATTGTAATACACCGACCGCGCTCAACTCACATTTGCTCAGAAAACTCTTTGGATAAACCGACCCATGGGCAGTGCAGTGTAGTCATTTAGAGCGAATACAAATAATCATATATAGAATTTACTGTCCTTGCAGACTAACAAGATTTTCAAGAAAATAATATTATTTCCTTTTCTGGAAAGAATTATTAATAAAATCTTATTTTTGGCATTTTTCATAGACTTTTGAAGGGGGGGGGGGGTTTATCGTATTCTGTTACATTATTTAATAAGATGCGCTGATCCATTATCGAAACAAATATATGTTGCAAACATTCATGGAATAGTTTAACATTTTCTGCAAGCATCAAATATACTTTTTACTAAAGCTAGGATGCAGAGATTTTATATACTAAAGGATACACAGATTTTTATACTAAATGGTACAGTGATTCTTTATACTATTCTTTATCCTTAAGTATAAAACATCTCGTTTTATACTTAAGGATACAGAGATACTTAATACTAAAGAATACAGAGATCCTTTATACTAAAGGATACCACGTGAATTTCACTAGAAGGGGATCATTCATTTGGCGTCCTGTCCCGTTCTGCCTCATATAGTCTGTATTTGTACTGTACTGCTTGCCCTGGCTAGTTGAAATTCGGTCTTGCACATGAAATGGAGTGGAATTTACCGTAATACAGAGATCCTTTAAACTAAAGGATATAAAGATCAATATGGATACAGTGATCCTTTTATACTTAAAGTATACAGTGACTCTTTATTCAAAAGGATACAATACAGTGTTATTGGAAACCATGACGCACTTCAGGATAAAGTAAAGTAAACAAGAGTGACGTCATTTATATCCCCCACCTCCTCCTTCCCCTTCCAATCCTTCCTCCCCCCCCCATCCTTAAGCCATCCAACCTAAATATTTTAGAGCAACGTAAACAAAAATAATTCTGATACTTATATTTCTGAAAAAAATAAACATTTTTCGGTATTTTGTTGTTAAATGATTTGTAAGAAAATGACCGAAAGAAAAAACGCATCAAGGTTGAATTAGTTACGGATTGCGTAAAAACTGCTTCAAAGTTATAAATAAAAAATAACTGTTGTGTTAATGTTTTCTGATTGAATGTTCGGTTTTAACTCTTAGGAATTGAGTTTTTGACACAAACTCTGATTTTCTAATTTCTATATCTTTGCAACCTGATGTCGTAGACTTCAGACATTTCAAACTATAAATAATCTAAGTTTGAAGTATCAGAGGTTTACATCATCAGGTTATAAAAATATAAGGATGAAAGAATTTAAGTTTGTACCAAATATCTTATAAACATTGACTAGCTGATCTCGCAGAATTCTGATTTTAAAATATCAAAGGTAAAACAAAATCAGCTTGTAAAGATATTGAAGTTTGAAGAGAGTAATTAGTTCCTTATTAAATATTATATATTGATATGAGCATAAAGTTGGAATTATCTTTTTCCTTTTTAATCCTTTTCCTGATTAACATAAATCCATGAATAAACATGTTTTGCGTTATCTATTTAATAAAACAAGACATTCGTATATATGTTGCGTATAGCCGGCCAAACGGCTGGACCGATTGGGCTGAAATTGTTTGTTGACACTCATGGGTACCCTGGGGGTGACATAAGACAAAAAAAATACGTAAGTTTTTTTCAATTTTTATTTTCTTTTTCCTTCCAATTTTTTTCCCCACGGGCAACCCCGGGCCCTTCAGCTAGTTATTATTATTATACTAATTCTGGATAGTTTTTATGTTAAATGGAACGTTCTTCATTTACCATGATTAATGTTTATTGAATATTCCATTTAAAGGGACTTTTGGCGTAATTTTAAGTGACACTTCTTTTGTATATGAGTCACTCCCAACCCTCCTACTTCATAAGCGTTTGTCCACCCTTTTCTTTGATCCTCTTTTTGTGATTAAAAATACCTTTTTTTGTATCTTTCGAACCTTTTTCCAATTCATCATAAGTTAGACAGTATTTTTCAATTAAGGTACAGATATTGATGTAATATAATAAAAGAATAGAAAGAAGAAAAAGTTTTAAAACTTTTAGATTAAATATTTAAGAATAGCATCAGAGGCAGAAGAAAATATTATATTTGAAGTTTGTGATGGCCGAAATACAGTGTGGTCCATGAAATACAGTGTGGTCCATGAAATACAGTGTGGTCCATGAAATACAGTGTGGCCCATAAAATACAGTGTGGTCCATGAAATACAGTGTGGTCCATAAAATACAGTGTGGTCCATGAAATACAGTGTGGTCCATGAAATACAGTGTGGTCCATGAAATACAGTGTGGTGGTCCATGAAAATCAACATAGCTTCTCTTATTGAGTTATTGAGAGGAATTTAATTGTTTCTTTCATGTAACATGATATATTTACTTTTCGCAGACTATACAAATACGGCAAAACAGGACAGTACGCCAAATGAATCAGCTTCTTCTAGAAAGATGAGTGACAGGGAATCAATTTTATTTTTGAAAAGAAATTAAATCTTTGCTACAAATTCAAATTTGCTAATGCATACATTTTGCGACCTGATGTAGTAAACTTAAGGTATTTCAAACTTTATTTTATCTAACAGTATTCATTGTTTAAAATATCTGCTTATTAAAAACCAGTTTTATATAACGTATTATCGGAACAAGTATACTTCTATGAATATTCCATGGAAATTGAGAATTTTCATTTTCATTTTGGTTTTATAATATTCAAAATTTAGACGAATAACAACCATGAACACGACGAACCTGATCACGAGGTGCAAGGGGTGGTGGAGGGTCCCCTCGAGGCCTACGACGAGACCAAGCTGGGCAGACTCTTCTTCACTGTCAAGTACAGCTTCGAGAAGAACGCGCTGATAGTGACGGTGAACAAGTGTACTAATCTACCAGCCAAGGATAGCCTAAACAGAAGCAGGTAATTAAATAGTTGAACTAGGCACATTTGGAAGGGATTATATAAAGGGACTGTTAACATATTTTTGGGTAACCCTCCATTTTAAGAGTCACAGTGCCTTTAAGTGGGGCAAGAGGTGGAAAGTTAGGTGTCAAATACGAAACTAAGGCCGGTATTCAGCAAGTTGTTTAGGACTCTAATAAAGTGTTTAGGACTCCAATAAAATGTTCATAACTCCAATAAAGTGTTTAAAGGACTCCAATACATTGCTTTGGACTCCAATAAAGTATTTAGGGCTCCAATAAATTGTTTAGAACTTAAACAAAGTGTTAAGGACGTTAATAAAGTGTTCATTAAAGTGTTCAGGACTCCAATAAATTGTTTAGGTCTACTATAAAGTTTTTTGGACTCCATCAAAGTGTTAAGGACTCCAATAAAGTATTTAAGACTTCAATACAATGTTCATGACTCCATTTAAGTTTTTAGGACTCCGATAAATTGTTTATGACCCAATAAAATGTTTAGGACTCCAATAAAGTGGTTAGGACTCCAATAAAGTGGTTAGGACCCCCATTAATTGTTCATGACTCCAATGTAGTGTTTATAGGACTCCATTAAAGTGCTAGGTTCTCCAATAAAGTTTTAGGACTCGAATAAAGTGTTTAGTACTCCAATAGTGTGTCTAGGACTCCAATAAATTGCTTAAGACTTAAGTAAAGTGTTTAGAACACCAATAAAGTGTTAGGGACTCGATTTAGATATATAAAGACAAAAATATACTAGGTATCTAATAAATGACTGGAAAGGTTTGCATGGGTTTGCGATGAGCTTATAAGCAACCTCTTGAGATAAATAAGTTAACACTTCTCAGCTTTAAGGACGATGATTAAAGTCTGTGAAATTGAACTCTGTAAAAAGTATTCTTTACTTCTTCTAAATTTAATTTATTTCTCTCCTAAATATGCTTCCTAGTTCCTACACAACTTAGATAATTATAGAAATAATGAAAATGTATCATCATCAAGTTTATATCATTTCGCTTACAGTTGACACTATTTAGGGAATTATAAAAAGTAAAAAAAATGTAATTTTTACTTCTCTCCTAAATGTAGTTTCTCTCCTGATTATGCTGATTATGATTACAATGAAGTATTGAGGACTCAAATGAGAAAATTGTGGACTTCAATTTAAAAACTAAATTTTTTTTCAAGTTCTCACATTAAAAGTTGAAACTGAATAAAGCAGTTATGCTTAAAGTTAACACCTTTTAGCTTTTAAGACGGTTATTGAGTCTTAGAAAAGAAAAACAGACTTTGTAAAAAGTATTCTTTACTTACCTTTTTTTTAGTTTATCTTATCTATTTTTAGTTCTCTACTATTATGCTAATCAACATGATTGAAGTATTTAGGACTAGAATTAGAAAAATGTAGGCCTGAAATATAAAAGCTAATCTTTTTTCTTCAAAAAATTCCTCAAATCGAGACTAAAAAAAATTTCACAAAAAGCTTGAAATTCAGGCGAACTAAGAATTTAAAGTGTATCCACTATAAATTGAGATTTTAGAAAAAACGCCCTTGCTCAATTAATTCCAAACTTATGTTGTTGAATTTGTAAAAACATATCAATAACGATTTTCAGAATAGACTTTATTTTCTTCAGATTCATGAGAAACATGTAATCATTTGCTTTTGGAAGACTATTTTAACACCCTGAACAGTCTCTGGCAGAAAATTCCCCTTTAGAAATGGCAAGCGATATTAAAGGCTTCTCTGGGTTTTGAATGTTGACTGAGGACAAATTTCATGAAGAACATTAGTTCTAAAGGCAGTCTTTGGGCATGCATAAAAATTTAAATTTCAGGGGCAAAATAGGAATTTTAATTCAAAAACAATTGTAGATCAAAAAATTTTGTGCTTCTTCCAGAATTATTTTTGTCAGCTTTACCCTTGGCGAGCTTGGGATATGATTTTTGTCTCCAGCATTTGACATCATCCTTATGAAGGGTTATATGAGCATATTACTTTGAAATTTTTACTTTTGTGCAATTTTTCTTCGGGACACTTCTCTTTATTGTACAGCTTCATTATCAGACATTACACTATTAAAGGAGGTAAATTCTCAGCTTTCCGATCAGTTCTTATTTTCCCTTTCTCCCTAAACCTTCCTCATACCCCAGAAGTATTTGGTAGTTGGGTGTTTTTGAAGCCCATATTATAGCAAGGAAGTGCTTAATTGGAAATCTCTTACCAACATTAAAGTTTTTGATGTAGAACCCGCCAAAAAGCATTTTCATCCACTCCACTTTCATGTCCTTAACCCTATCCCCGCTGGGGTACTTGAAAACCAGGATACGCTGGGGGGGGGGTCAATTTGACCCCCCCCCCTCTAAATCCCATGTTTTATGTCCAAATATGACAAATGATACATCATTAGAAAGCTCTTGTGCTCTACTTTTAGAATCTGCAAAAAAATTTGCAAATTTGCGAAAATTGAATTTTTTATCGCAAAATCCAGTTTTATAGTAAAAATGTTTGCAAAAAAAAATTTGTCCAAAAAATGACAAATTATACATTTTTGAAAAGCCCTTGACCATGCCATTTCAAATATGCAAATATTTTTGCAAAATTTCAAATAACCTGATTTTTAATCAAGAAAAACTAAAAATGTGCAAATTTTCTTTGACAGGTTGTTTGCAAAAAATTTGCAATTTTTTTCTCGCAAAACTTGGGCAATCCGTTTCCTTATGTCATAGGCTTTCCAAAAAGCTAAATTTTATCAAAATCTGACAAGTGAAAGTGGGTCAAAACTAAGATTTATTTTGCTACAGGCAAAAGCAGTCATTCAGGCAGTGTGCCTGAGGACTCAGGCAGTTAGTATTAAAGCCCGGTTTTAGGCCTAAAGGGAGGGCTTTGGGTATGTAAGAAAAGTCAGAAAATTTCAACAGCCTCAGACCAATACTTTTTGAGTTATGTAAAAAAAAACTACAGGGGGGGTCAAATTGGCCCCCCCCCCCAGCGGGAATAGGGTTAATCTTCTTTCTGATAGAATATTCTTCAGGTGGCTGATCTTCGCGGTTTTTTCGTTTCCATATTGGTAATGTTTAAAAAGTCTTAATTTATAGTGGACAACCTATCCGCGTAAATTTGATGCCTTTTAGCTGTTAGCAGGATGATCAAAGTCTTATAAAATGGAATTAAACTTTGCACAAAGTATTTTCGTATAATTTTGACACAGTTTTATTTCAATTTTTTGAGACAGGAACATCAGATAGAACTCGTATGGGTCTCGATCAACTCCTAAAATGCTTATGTTTCAGCCTATATCCCTTTTCATTTTTCCTTTACAGTCCCTTTAAATTTGACATCTTTTAGCTTTTTAAAGGTGATTAAAGTTTAAGAAAATGAAATTCATTACTTCTCTTCTTAATTTAGTTTATTTCTGTCCTGAGTATGCTAACTGCACAGTTTATTTCTGTCCTGAATATGCTAACTACACAGTTTATTTCTGTCCTGAATATGCTAACTACACAGTTTATTTCTGTCCTGAATATGCTAACTGCACAGTTTATTTCTGTCCTGAATATGCTAACTGCACAGTTTATTTCTGTCCTGAATATGCTAACTGCACAGTTTATTTCTGTCCTGAATATGCTAACTACACAACTTGGAAAACTTAAAACTATCGATTATATATCACTACGCTTAAAGTTGACACCTTTTGATTAAAGTCTTAGAAAGTGAGATTAAATTTTGTAAAAACTATTTTTTACTTTTCCCTTAAATTTGGAAGTATTTTTATTTCTCTCCTAAATATATAAAGTATTCTTTACGTATCTCCTAAATTTAGTTCTCTACTGAATATGCTTCCAACACAGATTAGAAAACTTAGACCTCATTGATTAGATATCACTATACGCTTAAAATTGACACCTTTAATCAAAAGCTAAACATTTAAAAAAATTCCTAGCATTGAAGCTGAATAATTTTAAAGTCAGGCAAACTAAGCATTTACACTAAAAGTTGACACCTTTTTAGCTTTAAAATGTGATTAAAGTTTATAAAAGTATTCTTAATTTCTCCTAAATGTAGTTTATTTCTCTGCTGAATCCCCTGGAAGCCTAGGTTTCTAGGATCATAAATCTGCAGGAGGAAGGATGGAAGGATCCCATAAATCCTTGTGTAAATGGTTCTCAGGTGTATCGTACTCTAGGTTATACTGGAGAATACTCAAGGAGAATATATCCTACATAAACATACACCGTGTCCAATAAAAAAGGAAATTAAAGAGTCGGTCTGACGTAATTTCATATGAACCCCATTTATTGAGTGGCATTTATGATTTATAATAGTACCCTCTACACCGCAAACTAATATTTCAGCGTGTACTGCAGTTTTCTGATCGGGAATTTTTGATTTTTCTCTCAAAAATTTGTTATTTTTATTTTTTTAAAAACTTTTTAAGAAAGAAAAACTTATGATATCTTAAAGGGTACCATTGTGAATCGGACATGCCATTTTTATACGGAGGATCTCTTGATAGAACCTCCATATTACCTTTGCGTGTTCAGTGTTTACGACATTTTAAAAGGTTTCCAAAAGTTTTAATTTTTTACATGCATCATATACATAATCGTCTGGCTGTTGGAACACAATTGAGTGTTTATAAAAATAGATAAACAGAGAAACAAAAACAAATAGAAAAAGTATAAAAATAGAGAAAGTATATAAAAATAGATTTTTTATTAGTATAAACCAATCTAAGTAAAAAAGTGGAAAACAAGAATATAATCGAAACATTTATATTTGTTTGGACTCATTTTATAAAAAATATATTAAAGAGAGAGACCGGCTATGTAAAATATTTTAACCGAGAGTGCAGTATTCTCCGGATTCTCCCTTTAAATTAACATGAAATTGATTAATTTTGAACTTTCTTATATTTTTTAACACTCAGATCTCATACCTGGCAGGCAACAAACAAAATGCACACATCTAAAAAATTGTTCTTTTCGACAAACCAAATGTAGGTTTTTACCCTGGGTTGTTAAAGGAAAGTTTTGGATGTTATTAAGACATAAATAACCCCACGTAAAACTGAAGTTCTCACAAATATTGTGATTGGTGCAGTAAATAGTTTCTTTTTCTATCATTAATTGTCCAAAAAAGGTTTATAATGCACAAATATATTTCTTAACATTTATAAAGGGTGAATAAAAAGCACTTATAGGTTATATTCTCGTTTGTAAACATTTTTTTAAAGTAGTCAAATTTCAACCCAACTTCCCAACCCCTTAAGTTAAAAAAACATTAAGCATTTTAAAAAAGAATACTATTTTAGTGACCCGTACGTGAAACTACAACTACTACCGGAGAAACAGCATAAGGTATAGTACTGCATGCTCACATAGTTCCGGATTTCTAGAAAAAGTTGTATCAATTCTCAAGATTGACTTTAAAATGTTGCAATGCCTTAACCTCAATAACTCAATTTTGGATCACAATTACACTAAACACATCACAAAGGAATTAAGCATTTTTATCTTTGCCACTTGATCGTGTAAACATATAATATTCAAAACTTGAATTATTTGATCTAACAGAATTCATGAGTTTGAAATATCTTAGGTTGCAAAGATATAGGAATGAGAAAATCAAACTTTGTAGCAAAGAACTTTATTTAATTTTATTTGAAAATGTTTGATATTTGTTTCAAACACAACTTATTCTGAAAATGTTTGATATATGTTTCAAACACAACTTATTCTGAAAATGTTTGATATATGTTTCAAACACAACTTATTCTGAAAATTTTGATATATGTTTCAAACACAACTTATTCTGAAAATGTTTGAAATATGTTTCAAACACAACTTATTCTGAAAATGTTTGATATATGTTTCAAACACAACTAATTCTGAAAATGTTTGATATATGTTTCAAACACAACTTATTCTGAAAATCGTTAAAATAAAAATTATAAGAAACAACTAAATAAGTTTTTGATACCTTTTTAAGTGCGAATAAATGTCCGAAATGATTTATCTGCAGTAGACCAATACTTTTTGAGTTATGTAAAAAAAAACTACAGGGGGGGTCAAATTGACCCCCCCCCCCCAGCGGGAATAGGGTTAATCTTCTTTCTGATAGAATATTCTTCAGGTGGCTGATCAAGCAAACCTGCGATTCTCAGGCTCCTGTGGGTTATAATGGTTATAATCGTTTTTAGATTGGTTACTTATTTGCTGAATATGATCTGTTTAAATCTACAACTTTTATACAAAATTGTATACATATGAATTTTCGTATAATTTTGACACACTTTTTTATCAATTTCTCGAGACAGGAACATCAGGTTGAACTCTTATCGGTATCGTTCTACGCCTGAGATTCTCAGGTTTCATCCTATACCCCCATTCATTTTTCCTTTACAGTCCCTTTAAATGCTAGGTCACTGATACCCATAGATAAAGATAGATTGCGCATAAGACGATATTTTTCATCTAGAAAGATATAAATGTACAGAGATGTTTTACAGATATTTCTATTATATAGATTAACTACAGAGCGTCCCATATCATATTAGATTATCTCCAATCTTTGACACCTAAATACGCACATTATACTCAAAAAATCTAGCATTTTCTGCAAAAAAAAATTTCTATTAGCCGTATTAAATTTTTCAAAATGATTCATTCTTCTTAAATTTTCTGATTTGTCCCCCAAATCGTAATTTAGACCCATTGACGCGGTCTAATTTGATGTGGGACACCCTGTAGGTCGGTTGTGAACATTGGCTGTTCTTATGTCATTGATATACTTGTGAACATGAGTACTGTAGAGAGAAATTTAAGTTAGTTTAGTCCTTCTCATGTATTTCTTCAGTTCTCGTCAATATGATATATTGCTCAGTGAAATATTGTTGTTCAAATAGTTCTATTCCCATTATGAAATCCATTAAAACACCAAACCACCCCGCTTATCATTGAAGTACACTTTGACCCCTAGAAGTATGAGTTCGCAGACTGTACAATTCTTGGTGATTTTTTGTACATAAGCTATCTATGTTTATTTATTTATCTATGTTGATACCTAACTGAAAGTTATGTCGACCGGTATTTTAAAGATTTGCATTACTTTTTTATTAAACAATATACCTATATTACCTATAGAAATAATAATAAGAAAAAGAAAAAGATTTTATTGATATCGGAAATACATCTTTAATTAAACAGTGTATGTGTAATGTATATCTATTCCCGGTCCTCAATTAGCTTAAATTAATTAAGGTTGCATGTAAATGAATATATATATATAATAGACTAGACTAAGATTGAATCATTATTATTATAAAAAAGAGTCAAAACGTAAATGGCGGATGGCACAGAAAGGAAGACCACCAGGTTTTGAGTTCAGAAATCAAATTAGTTGACCGGAAATCACCTAATCTGTTTTATTCTGCGGTTCAGGGGAGTTTTAACAAAAAATGTTTAGGTTTATAACTCATTATTTTAAATAAGTTTTCCTAGAACATAATTTTTTTCACCTTAAAATTATTGAAAAAATATCATTCTGATTTATAATCGAAATTCAATGTTATATTTTTATCGTCCAAAGTTGATATAATTTTATTGAAATTTTGATTCCGTAACTTTTAGATTTATCCATTTTTTTAAAATAAAACCAGTCGTATTTTTAACTAAAACCAGTCGCATTTTTAACAATTTGAATCAGAAAAGTCGACGTTATTTTCCCAAAAGTTCTAGCAAAAATATTAATTCAAAGAAAAGCTTAAACTACTTATCTGAACTTTATTTCAAAATCCCAAAAACTTGCAGCTTTATCTTTTTAGAATTGTATTTTATTAAACAAATGAACTCAAATTCACTATATGCTTTCCTTTATATATCCTGAAAACATATAAGGTTTAAAGAAAAACGGGGTTAGATCAATTTCCACATATTCAGAACAATCGGCTGCCAATTGTAATTACTCTCTGCTTAAAACAGAAATAGAATTGTATTTAGGTTTTGTATTTTAAATACTTACGATAGAGAATTCTACCGTTTTTTATTACCATTTGTTTGTAGCAGCAGAAATAACATTTTTGATATTTATATATTTCTAAAAGCAATTTACTGTAAACATGTAACCATTACATGTAACCATTATGTATCCAGGAAAATACAACCTGTCATTGTTAAATAAATTATTAGTATACTTACAAAACAAGTATCTCATTTAATACATTTTCATTTTATAAATTATACAACGTAGCAAAGTATTCTAGACAAATTATCTTTATTTAGCATTATGTAAGGATGAATTAATATGAAAAGGAACCCCGGGTGCTCCAACCTCATTTTTTCCTGTTAAAGCGTATTTTCAAGAGACCCTTAACGGAAAGACGCGGCAATGCTAGATTTCCCATAGCACCATCAAAAGCTCAATAATAAATTAGATATCAATGTTTTGGAAACTGATTTTTAATTGTGGTTTATCCAACAACACCCTATTATTTATCCTACATAAGATAAGATAAGTTTTTACCAATGGAGTTTTTTCCACAGAATCTGATTTTCTAATCCCTATATAATTTGCAACCCATTGTCGTAGCCATTTTATATTCAAACTTTGAATTTGTTATATCATACAATTTAAGCTTTAAATATTAAAGGTGTACACGATCAGGTTGGAAAGAAATTGAAATTAGAAAATTTAAGTATTTTGGCAATATGACTCAATTCCTGAATATAAAAAGTTTTATGTTAAAGGGATTGATTTCTATATTATAAAACCTGGAGTAAAGTAAACTATCAATGGACCATAGAGTGAGACCCATCAAAATGTGGAAAAGGAATACGACTAAAAATTAACGTGAAAAACAGCAATTGTGCAGTGAACACAGACCCATTTTTATATAAATAATTCATTTTAAATCTATTTGCACTCATTGTCTTGTCTAAGTTAGGACTCGAGCACTGCGAAGAACTCTGAACCCGGTCTACAATGTACTATATTTGTCATTTCTAGGTTAGGACTCGAGTATTGCGAAGAACCCTGAACCCAGTCTACGATGTACTATATTTTTCTTGTCTAGGTTAAGACTCGAGTATTGAGAAGAACCCTGAACCCAGTCTACGATGTACTACATTTGTCTTTTCTCGGTTAGGACTCGAGCATTGCGAAGAACCCTGAACCCAGTTTACGATGTACTATATTTGTCTTGTCTAGGTTAAGACTCGAGTATTGCGAAAAAAACTGAACCCGGTCTACGATGTACTATATTTGTGTTGTCTAGGTTAAGACTCGAGTATTGCAAAGAACACTGAACTCGGTCTACAATGTACTATATTAGTCTTGTCTAGGTTAAGACTCGAATATTGCGAAGAACTCTGAACCCGGTCTACAATGTACTATATTTGTCTTGTCTAAATTAAGACTCCAGTATTGCGAAGAACTCTGAACCCGGTCTACGATGTACTATTTTTGTCTTGTCTAGGTTAAGACTCGAGTATTGCGAAGATCCCTGAACCCGGTCTACGATGTACTATATTTTTGTTGTCTAGGTTAAGACTCGAGTACTGCGAAGAACTCTGAACCCGGTCTACGATGAAGATTTTACTTTCTATGGAGTGCACTTCAATCAGCTTCCGGTAAAATTTATTTTATCTAAACTAAACCACTTCCTTTTTCTCAATTTTATTATATTATTATTTTTTTCTACATTTCTTTTTTTCCCTGCTGCATTTTCCGATAGTTGTTCTGTTCATTTATTGTTTTTTTACTTTTTCTAAAATTTTCCCGCTCCTTATTTTCTAGCAGTTTTCTAGTAATTTTCCTGTTCTTTATATTCATGTATATTACATGTTTCTCTCTTTTCAGTACATAGTTTCTTATTTTCTAATAGTTTTTCTGTTCCTTATTTTCTAGTTTTTTACTTATTTTAATGTAAAGGAATTGAGTTTTTGACACAAACTTTTATTTTCTAATTTTTAAACTTAATGGTATAAACCTTTGATATTTCAAACTTAGATTATTTGATCTAACAGAATTCATAGTTTGAAATATCTCAGGTCTACTACATTGGATTGCAAAGATATTGGGATTATTAAATCAGAGTTTGTGGCTAAGACTCAACTCCTTTCCCGTTCCTATGCCAGTAGTTTACTCGTTTCTTATTTCTACAGTATTGTTTTCTGTTCCTTATTTTCTCGTGGTTTTCCTGGGAGCTTATTCATTTTGGCTTATACATTATAAATATTTCTTATTCATCTTTTTTTGTTGCAATTCGTCATATTAAAAAAATTAATCTTTAGGTTTAACATTTTTTCTCTTTGGCAAGAATTTTGAAAATAAATATCATCATTTTCTGAATTTTTTCGAATTTTTTAGATCTTGACACTTCACTTTGTCGTGTTGAGCTTCGACAGGTACAGTAGGGACGATGTGGTCGGGGAGGTGATGGTGGAGCTCGAGAATATCGATCTCACAAACACCGACTCCGCCCCTCTCCCCCTGGTCAGGGAGATCACGCCCAGGAGTATGAAGGTTAGAATATTAGAAACATAAACTTGAGAAAATTATGGTAAATTAATTTACAGGAACTTTACTTAATTATGGTTAATTAATTTACAGGAACTTTACTTAATTATGGTAAATTAATTTACAGGAACTTACTTAATTATGGTAAATTAATTTAAAGGAACTTTACTTAATTATGGTAAATTAATTTAAAGGAACTTTATTTAATTATGGTAAATTAATTTAAAGGAACTTTATTTAATTATGGTTAATTAGTTTACAGGAACTTTACTTAATTTCATGTTACCCTCCATGTAAGAAGTTCCTGGCCAGATTGAAAATGAGTTACAATGATAGAGATATCTTTGTTTTTCTATCTAGAAAATAGATTACTTCTATTAATTTGATTCCTTTACTCTAAATCCTAAATCCGGAAGTCGCAGAAAAAAATATTTAATGAATAAAAATGAGATGACATCCGTAATTTTTGCTCATAGAAAGGTATACAGGGTACCACTATGACTTGAACAGCCAGGATCTTTTAAGATTTTAACAACTTTTTGTTATTACGTAGATTGAACAACTTGTAGTCACTATTTTTAGAAATACAAAAAATAAGAAATTTAAGCAGAACTGTTTGCCTTTGATCGATTCATAATAAAACAAAATCTTGTTCTCCATTGACTAAATATTTGTCAAGATATTTGATATTAATAATTCCTGAAATAAAATATAAAATATTACATTTGTATTGCATCTATATATATATATATGTAGATATATAGATACGAGATAATCATTTAGATGCTCAGTGAAATATTTAATAAAGAATACAAATTCAAGGAACTGTAGCTAACCATTCATTTCAAGATGGCAATGCCCGAAGCACAACAGTACCCTTGAAACCTTATCTAACTAATAATGTGGATGCTATTTTTTGGCTTATAAAGTGTTTGATTCCTACAATTTCTTCATTTTTTCGTTAACTTTCAGAGAAAATACAAGTAAAATTAATAATAAGAGAAAATTTTGAATATCTTGTGAGTTCTTGATTATACAAAGCTTATAATGGTACATTTAAGTCTTGCGTTTCAGTGCGGCGGCGAGAAGTAATCGAGTTGTTAAAAAAGCATAAAAAATGAATATATTTATTATCCTGTAAAAAGAAAAACAAATTTTACTGTTTGTTCTTTGGTTTTATTTTTGAAAATTTTATCGGTTATGTTTATATTAGTCTATTTTGTTGTTGTCAAATATAAGAAAAAAAAACTTTGAAAATTTTGCAGTATATTTTTTAACTGTCTAGAATTTTTATTTTTCTAAAGTGTTAAAATTGATAATAATAGCCGTAAATATTAATAATAATAATCTAGTTGAAGAACCTGGGTCGGGGTGAAATACTCCTATCCCTGTGCTACCAGCCTGCAGCCTCCAGGGTAACCGTGGTGGTTCTAAAAGCTCGAAATCTACCAAAAATGGATATAACAGGGTTATCAGGTAAACACATTAAACTAAACCGAATCAAATTACAGATTAAAATCTTTAAAAGATGAAAGAATCGTCTTGAAAAGTATGAATGTATGAATTGATGATGAATGAATAATGAATAAATGATGAATGTATGATGAATGTATGAATAGATGATGAATGGATGATGAATGTATGAATTGATGATGAAGGAATGTAAATGATAAATGGATAATGAATGAATGATGAATGAATGATAAATGAATGATAAATGGATGATGAATGGATGATAAATAAGTGATGTATTAATGAAGAATGAATGATGAATGAATGATGAAGGAAGGATGAATGGATGATGAATGGATGATGAATGAATGAATAATGAATGATAAATGGATGATGAATGGATGATAAATGTATTAATGAAGAATGAATGATGAAAGGATGAATGGATGATGATTGAATGATGAAGGAATGATAAATGGATGATGAATGGATGATAAATGAATGATTAATGAATGATGAATGAATTATGAATGGATGATTAATGGATGATGAATGGATGATGAATGGAGGATGAAGGAATGTATGATGATGGACTGATAAGAGAATAAGAATTCCAGAAACCTTTTACCTCTAATTTTATATTTTAATCAACTTAACACGGTTCAGGGTACTGAAGAGTGAGGATCTAGGGTTTAGATAAATTTTTAGAAATCGGGATTCAATATTTGAGTTAATAATGACGAATATCATAGACAAATAAAGATTAAAAAATCATATATATATGGTAAAATTTACAATTTCCGAAACAGTTTTTTAAACTGAATAAACACTACACTGTGATTGAAAGGTTGCAAGCTCTCAAGCAAAAATCGATGAGAATTTTGCCAACTACTTCTTTGAAAAATAAATCTAACTTCAACAAAGGGCCACAGAAAAGCATAAGTGAGTGAGTTAGAGCGGTAAAATCAAAGTCCAAGGCTTTGCGACACACTTTAAAGCCGACCCTGTCGTTAAAATTGATGAGACTTTTATAAGCAGGCTAAATCTATGTGACTAGAAAAATTTAAGTACTGACTAAAACTTTACAACTCAGGTTCCATGTTTTTTTGAAGAAAAGAAAAAATTCTTAAAATTTTTTTTTTAAATTTAATGATTTTAGATCCGTATGTGAAGATATATCTTCTGTTTAACAACCAGAGGATTGCTAAGAAGAAGACCCACGTGAAGAAGAGAACCTTGAACCCTGTCTTCAACGAGTCCTTCGTGTTCGACCTACCCAAGAGCGAGGACGGCTTAAAGAGTGTACAACTGGAGTTTATGCTGCTGGACTGGGATAGGGTTACCAAGAATGAGGTAAAGACGACATTTTAAAGCATCAATATTTCACAAACTTTTAATAAACTTAGTATTTGCAAAATAAAGATTAGTATTTTCAAAAGTATAGTTTGTATATTTTCAAAGTAAAGCTTAGTATTTGAAGAATATTTTCAACAAGAAATTCCTTTCTTTGATTCTATTTCTGCAAAATATTAGAATTAAGTTTTTTCTCAATTTATTTTTCAATTGTGTGTTGAAAAACAGGGAGCTTTGGTTTTGACTCTTCTCCTTTATATTTAATCTAAACGTTGAAAAGAAATTAAACTTTTTGATTTGCTGTTTGGATCACAACATATCGACATCATTTAAGATATTTGCTGTTTGGATCACAACATATCGACATCATTTAAGATATTTGCTGTTTGGATCACAACATATCGACATCATTTAAGATATTTGCTGTTTGGATCACAACATATCGACATCATTTAAGATATTTGCTATTTGGATCACAACATATCGACATCATTTAATATTTGAAAAGTTTTAAAGAACTCTCTGTTATTTTCCTTTTCATTTTAAATTTATAAGATTTAATAAAATAAACAAGTTTGTCTGAAAATTCATGTTTTCCTGAACCTTGAAGGTCAGAGGTGAAACCTTTGTATTGTGGATTTCGAGATCAAGGCTTGATCGGTCTTTGGTTAATCTACAGATTAGACAGTTCCCATCTCAGAGCTTGGAACTTTTGTGTTGGATACTCACAATCGTCTGATCTCGAAATCCTCTTTGGGCACTTTTAATTTGAGGATCAATCCTTATCATTTTTTTTACCTTATCCATTCAGGGTGCGATAAAGATTAGATTAATCTGAAGATTAACAAAAAATGGAGAAAATAAGATGAAACATGAAAAGATGTAAATTTTGCCGGGTTTTAAAATTGAACAAATTTTGAAAACATTTTTTTTTTGTGAAATTTATACACCGAGAATCAGAAAAGGAAGGAAGACGACAGTAAAATTTTAATTAGATGTACATGATGTTTTACTATTAGCGGATTAAATCACTTATTTACTAAAATGGGTCTGTTTACACTGCACTTTCACGTTCACTGTACTATTTAAAGTCAACTGGACAGGGATTAAAAAATGAATGAGATATCCCTTACCCTTGGTTCATATTTCCGCTAACGTTTGATCCAATCAGAGTTCAGTCACGTGCTTGGTGACGATTTAGAACCAATAGAAATTGCAACGGAGTAACATCTATCTATCTATTTATCGCAAGAGATAAATCCTAAAATTTGCTAAACCGGAAACGGAAATGTGTATACTTCTACTGAAACAAGGTTGGGGCCATATCATTCTTTTTTTTTATTTCCACCAAAATATTCGTAAAAATGGTCTGTTCACAATACACCTTGTGTTAGGTGATTGGAAGGTTGGATCTAGGAGGAGAAGGTTGTGAAGGATCAGCTCTCCATCACTGGGAGGAGATACAGAACAGTCCTAGGAGACAGATTGCAGAGTGGCACAAACTCAAACCAGAGTAATTCAACTTCAATCCGGTAATTCATTTTTCATTCATTAAACTCAAACCAGAGTAATTCAACATTTATTCTGGTCATTCATTTATTTATTCATTCATTAAACTGAAAACAGATTAGTTCAACATTCATCCTGGTCAGTCATTTATTCATTCATTCATTAAACTGAAAACAGATTATTTCAACATTCATTTATTTATTCATTAATTATGTGTTCATATCTACTATAAATCATAGTCTGCGATTAAAATGAACCGGGGAAATCTATGATCTCTCGGCTGAGCTGGCATTTTGAAGAATTTCTCTAAGACTAGCCAAATGGAGACTAGGGGATTAAAGGGAGTGTTCGCGAAAAATAAAAGGGAGTATTGGTTTACGGCGAAAAATAATCGCTTTTGATCGCTACTAATCTTACTTCTATCTGTTTCGGTACAAGTCGTTTTTTACAATTTTATCCTTATAGACGCAAAAGATAGAAGTAAGATCAGTAGCGATAAAATCGATTATTTTAGCCGTAAGCCTAAACCCCTTTTCATTTTTCGCGAACACTCCCTTTAAGACTCGAAAATAAGCCTTTTAAACGCCACCTCAGAGAAACGACTGATAAAGGGACTCTAAGCTAGTGTAGTTCCGAATGGACCTCCATGCAAAGATGGCAAATTGTTATATTTACACCTTTAAAGCTTTATCTGATCATGTATGAATAAGATATTCATGATTTTGTTTTTTTTTAATTATTGTTTTGCAGTTTCTCTGCAAACTGACTTTCACATTTCTTGATTATGAAAAACAAAGAAGAAATTATCCGTATTAAAACTTTCCAACCCAGGAAATTGACTATATCTTCCACATTTTGGATATTAAGGTTTTAAATTATAGATGTAAATCTGGCTTTTCCATCTTTGCTTGGAAGGTCAATTGAAATTAACGTTTACAGTATCTTTAAAACCGTTTCTATTTCAGGGTTGCAGAGAATGGGATACAACCTAACCTACATATCTTTATTGGCAGAATTTACATTTATTTTCTAATCATATACCCTTCATTAAATTCAAGAAAACAAAACTCAGAACAATATATATTACTTTTCAACCCTTACTGGCGCAAAGCTTAATCAACTTTACGCAAATATATTTGCGTAGCTTTACTTCAGGCTCGGAGAGCGTATTTGATTTATAGCGGGCATATATGGAACATACATATATGGCGTATTTGAAAATACGCTATGCGTCAGGTTTCGGGTTGGATTGGTTATATTGTAAATAATAGTGGTTTGCAAACCGGGGTTTATTTTTGTCAAATAAAAACAAAAGAATAATATTTTTATCCTATTTTCTGAATTACTGTAGAAAAAAAGACGTCGAAGAATATACTCATCAGTGTAATATTTATTCTGCTTCATAATATATAGATATAAAATATATAGAACCTTGTCAAACTATAAAAATATAAAATTAAGTTGTAATCTCAACCAAACAATTGGAAATAGAAAATTTATTTAATAATTTATTTTGTTTTAACTAAAAAATGAAGAGAATCTAGAACGATAAACCAAATTTTTCATAACAATGGAACACTTGCCTCAAACTAATTTTCTAACTTTAATCCTTGCAACCTGAGGTTGGAACTTTTGTATCGTTATAATATTTAATGCCTGATCTCGATACCCAATTTGGGATATTGTGAATTTGAGGAAAGAGATAAAATTGTTTAATCCTTTAATTAAACTTATCCATGCAGGGTATGACCACCTAGCGATATCAAAAAAGAAAAGAAAAAAAAACCTAGATTTTCATAAACATGAAGATCCGGATATTCAAAACAGAAAAGTTTTAACATTTGATCACTTACCTAATAATCTAAATTTATGTCTATTAAATCTTTAAAATGTTCAATCTGAGCTGAAAACTTAGAATGAGATATCCATAATCCCAATTACTTAATCTGAGTATCCAATGGACACACTTTTGATTTTCTTTTTAAACCGTTCGATCTCTTTTGGATATACGTAGAAAAATCGAAAACCGGTTTTTTGAATTTAGAGTATCCCGTTTCTGTATACAATCTTAAATGGCGCGCAAAATTTAAAATTTATCGGCTTCATATGCGACTCTGATTGGTTGAATTTTATATACAGGATACAAGTACAAGATTAGGTTAGTCTCGATATTAAGAAAAACAGAGAACCAAGCATTAATCTCGATATCCACCATTCTAAAGTTTTCAGCTCTGATTTTACTTTCTGCGAGATCTAAAAGTCAAAACTTAATAAATCAAAGGTTGTAAAGGTGAAGGAACTAGAAAATTAAATTTTGATACAATTGTAAAGTTTATTTGAAAGCTTGATTGAGTTTGGAATAATAGAGATTTATGTTTATGTGAAAAGTATAGGATTAGGAGAAGAATAACTCCGGATTCTATTGGGTTTACTGCTGGATCAGTAGTAGATTGAATAAAGATTTTGTATTAATAGGAATATAGGTTTGTAGGGTCAATAGTAGGATAAATGTAGGTTTGTAGGGTCAATATAGTAGGATGAATATAGGTTTGTAGGGTCAATATAGTAGGATGAATATAGGTTTGTAGGGTCAATAGTAGGATGAATATAGGTTAGCAGAGTCAATAGTAGGATGAATATAGGTTAGCAAAGTCAATAGTAGGATGAATATAAGTTTGTTGGGTCAATAGTAGGATAAATATAGGTTTATATGGACAAAAGTAGGATAAATGTAGGTAAATAGGGTCAATATTAGAATGAATATAGGTAAATAGGGTCAATATTAGAATAAATATAGGTACAAAGGGTCAATATTAGAAAAAATATAGGTAAACAGGGTCAATAGTAGGATAACTATAGGTAAATAGGGTCAATAGTAGGATAAATATAGGTAAATAGGGTCAATATTAGAATAAATATAGGTAAATAGAGTCAATAGTAGGATAAATGTAGGTTTGCGGGTCAATAGTAGGATAAATATAGGTTTGTAGGGTCAATAGTAGGATGAATATAGGTGTATAGGGTCAATAGAAGGATCAATATAGGTTTGTAGGGTCAATAGCAGGATGAATTTAGATTTATAGGGTCAATAGTAGGATGAAAATAGGTTTGTAGGGTCAATAGTAGATGAATATAGATTTATAGGGTCAATAGTCGGATGAAAATAGGTGTGTAGGGTCAATAGTAGGATGAAAATAGGTGTGTAGGGTCAATAGTGGATGAATGTAGGTTTGTAGGGTCAATAGTAGGATGAATGTAGGTTTTTAGGGTTAATAGTAGGATGAATATTGGTTTTTAAGGGTCAATAGCAAGATGACTGTAGGTTTTTAGGGTCAATAGTAGGATGAACATTGGTTCATAGGGTCAATAGCAGGATGAACATTGGTTCATAGGGTCAATAGCAGGATGAATATAGGTTAGTCAGGACAAGAGTAGGATGAATATAGGTTTGTGGAGTCAATAGTAGGATAAATATAGATTTAAAGGGTCAATAGTATTTATGAACATTGGCTTACATGGTCAATAGCAGGATGCATTTAGTATTCATGAACATTGGCTTACATGGTCAATAGCAGGATGCATTAGGTTTGTAGGGTCAAAAGTAGGATTAATTTAGGATTAATATATAATATTTAAGATGAATATAAAGAGTAGGATGAAAATAAAGAGTGGGATGAATATAAAGAGTAGGATGAATATAAAGAGTAGGATGCGTATAAAGAGTAGGCTGAATAGAAAGAGTAGGATGAATATAAAGGACGCTACGACATCTGCTCTATTTCCATTTGCTCTATGGCCATTTGCTCTAGTTCCATTTGATCTATCAAGTCATTTGCTCTATATTCAATCTGCTCTATACCTCATTTGCTCTATGACTAAACACGTCATTTGCTCTATAACCTAGAAATACACTATAAAATAGCTTTTATTGGAATTCCTGAGCGTAACGTGACTATGAAATGCGGAATTTTTTTTGAAAAATTCGCAAATTGCGGTTTTAATCAGTTCTTCAAAGTTCATCATGACAGAGCTAGACTGTTCAATAATAAGAGGGATAAAAAAACCTAATATGTGGTGAAAACTATATTTATTCTAATCTCTATGGTGCATTTGTGATGGTTTTCTAAGAGAAGAAGGTCTGGTGCATCAAAAAGTTCATGACGCTCGGGTAAATGTTGTAGATCCTCTTGCTCCTGCTTCTGCTAGGAAACAATACTCAAAGAACAAGCTGAAATGTTAATATTTAACTTGGTCTCACAATAGGCACAAATACCAGACAAACAAAACTATCTCCAGGAAGTTGGCGGAATAATGAAACTGTAGGAAGAATTGTAAAACGTAAAATTGTAAAAATATAGTTTTAATATGATTAGATATTTGTAAAATATGTTTATAGAGCAAATGACGTGATTACTCATAGAGAAAATGTTGAGTAGAGCAATTGGACCATCACAGTCATAAAAATGTTTAAAGAGCAATTGTTATGTCATAGATCAATTGACGTATAGAGCAGATGACATATAGAGCAAACGTCGTGATCTATGAGCTATAGAGCAAATGGAACTAGAGCAAATGGCCGTAGAGCAAATGGAATTAGAGCAGATGTCGTAGCGCCATATAAAGAGTAGGATGAATATAAAGAGTAGGATGAATATAAAGAGTAGGATAAATATAAAGAGTAGTAGGATGAATATAAAGAGTAGGATGAATATAAAGAGTAGGATGAAAATAAAGAGTAGGATGAATGTAAAGAGTAGGATGAATATAAAGAGTAGGATAAATATAAAGAGTAGGATAAATATAAAGAGTAGGATGAATATAAAGAGTAGGATGAAATATAAAGAGAAGGATGAATATAAAGAGTAGGATGAATATAAAGAGTAGGATAAATATAAAGAGTAGGATGAATATAAAGAGTAGGATGAATATAAAGAGTAGGATGAATATAAAGAGTAGGATGCATACAAAGAGAAAGATGAGTATAAAGAGTAGGATGAATAAAGAATAAAAATAGTAGGATGAATATAAAGAGTAGGATGAATATAAAAAGTAGGATGAATGCAGAGGGATGAAGGGAATGGGAAAAGAAAGAACTGTTGTAAATGTTTCTAAATTGGAATATATGGTTGAAGGGTAGGATGGGTAGATATTGGAGAATGGTGGGGGGGACCAGAGGGATGGGTATTGGAGAAGAGGAAAGAAGAGGGGTGGAGATATATAAATATATATTGGATAGGGTAAAAGGGTAGACGGTATTAGAGGATACTCGACCAGTAAAAAATATAAAACTTTTTATTTATTTGTTTCTTTAGATTAACAATTAATTAATTCAGAAAATTAGGTTAATCTTATATATTTTTTCCAATATCAGCATTCAATGGAATTGAATTTTTGTCACAAACTCAATTTTCGAATCCTTATCTCTTGGCAACCTTATGGTGGAAACCCTTGATATTTCAAACTATTGCTATTTGATCTAACAGAATTCATAGTTTGAAATATCAAACGTCTACGAAATTGGATTGCAAAGATATAGGTATTTGTGAAAAAGACTCAATTCCTTTGTAACTTTTAAGAAAAGTAATTTAGAGGATTTTTTCAACAAAAAAAGGATTTATAGGTTGAAAAATAGAAGATGTCCGTGGTGGGTGTTTAGGAAAATATACAATAACCTTTATAACAAATCAAGTAACATGTCTTAATTTACTTTTATTCAATAAAATAGAAAGAAAAATCTCAATGGATTTTGGCGAGGCCGCCGCCATAATTACGATCTAAAAAGTAATGAGACAGGGCCGATTTAAAAGTATCGCCAGTCAACGGTCCACTGTTTCACCTCACTTCCATAAAATACTTTTTTGAGACCTAACTGCTACAAAGTGCATGTAATTGTAAATGTTTCTAGCTACAGTTCTGTTTCTAGCTTCAGTTCTGTTTCTAGCTACATTTCTGTTTCTAGCTACTGTTCTGTTTCTAGCTACAGTTCTGTTTCTAGCTTCAGTTCCGTTTCTAGCTTCAGTTCTGTTTCTAGCTTCAGTTCTGTTTCTAGCTACAGTTTTGTTTCTAGCTACAGTTCTGTTTCTAGCTACAGTTCTGTTTCTAGCTTCAGTTCTGTTTCTAGCTACAGTTCTGTTTCTAGCTTTAGTTTTAACAGAGTAAAGAAAAGTCTTGATACCGTCAGAATGTACAAAGTTCAGTGATGCACGACTATTTCTGAAATTTAATATTTACAATAGGAAAAGATTCACAAAATTGTAACAAAATATTTAAACTCATGTCCTGTGATATTTGGAGAGTATTATATTGTTTATTATATTTAGAGAGGATTGAATTGATTTTGTTCCCACTACAGATGTCAATATAAAAGAATTCTAAAAATAGATTTAGACAGTTCTAGTAAATATTAAGATCAAGCTTTAAAACAATAGCTGGATCACTTTGTAGAAAACTTAGAAAGAAAAAAATAAGAAAATTAAGAAAAACTTGACAAGGATAGAAAAATAAAACGGGGTTAAAAGTTATTTGACGGTTAAAAAATATCCCTGAAACCAGAATTAATGAATAGCAAGAAAATTGTTGAACCATGCACTTTCCTTCAATTTGAACCGATGCAGTAAAGAAGTGGTTCAACTTCGTCTACGAGGTTCAATTGCTTCTTGGTATTCTTAGACTCTGGTCTTGTTAAGTGTAAGGGGGAATTTGTAGTTTCTTAATGTTGAAAAAATTGTAAATTCTTCAATCCGGATTCGCAATTCCGGATGCACAAATCTAGACAAAAATGTCTAAATTTTCATTTAAAATTAGACAAATTTTGTTTTTTTGTTTTGCAAAGGGAAAGGTTACAGAATTGTCGGAAGGAATCTTTAAAATATTTGGAAAACCAATAAAATATGAATATTTTGATAGTTGTCAAAGATTGAAGAATACGTTTAAATATTTTTAACCTTCATTAAAATTTTATTTTCTTACTTGTCCCCACAAAAACATTTTTTTCTATTTTTATTGAAACTTTCCTTTTCTAAAAATACTTTTTCATTACATCCTAATTCCTAACGGAAATTGAGAATGAACAGTAGGCTAAACCTGGACCTACCTGAACCTAAAACTGGAACTAAACCTAAATCTAAGCCTGAACCTGAACCTGAACTTAAACCTGAACATATTTTCATCAAATTGAACGTGGCTATAAACCTGAACCTTAATCTGAATATAAATTTAAACCTGGACCTAAACCTGACTGAACCTACTCCTGAACCTAAACCTGAAACTGAACCTGAACCTGAACCTGAACCTAACCTGAACCTGAACCTGAACCTGAACCTGAACCTGAACCTGAACCTGAACTGAAACCTAAAACTGGACCTAACCTAAACCTGAACCTAAAACTAAACAGCTAAACCTTTTCCTGAACCTATGTTGGGAAAATCAATCATTTGTGATAATCACTTGATTGTACATGAGGAACCTCCCTGCGGTTTACATGTATTTAAAAGTTAAATCTGTCAATATTTGTGGTAGATAAACCAACCCTGGACTTCAGGATAATACATAAATCATAAAGCTTTATCCCTAGTTCAACCACATTATCATCCTTAAAGGGACTGTAAGCATAATTTCGAGTAAACTTCCGTGTAACGATATCCTTGAAAGCTGTGTGTGAACAAGTATGAATTGCAATGTTTAAAATTTTGAAAGCTGATTATTTTTCATTGTGGTTTCTCTATACAAAAGTGACTTGCGCATTTCTATACTACAGGGAAACAAAAATGATCAGAATTAAACTTAGGAAAAAAAATATCTTCAACATTATTGAAATGTTTTCAAATGTATTGTGATCACATTAACATATTTACATTGAGGATAGCTTGAAATTATGCCTGCAGTCTTTTAACTATTCAAAATGCACTTAGATATATATATATTATGTATTATAAAAACACCTAGAAATATATCATTCAAAGTTACTCTTACACACATTTGATTATGTATTTACAGAAACATATGACCTTTTATTACCATTAGTATTTACAAAAACAAATTAAATATTGATAATATTTACATCATGTTCATCATATCATATTAGCGTTTTTTATAAAGATAAAAACACAAAATAAAAGGAATTGAGTTGTTGCCACAAACTCCAATTTTCTATTCCCTTTGCAACATGAATGTGTTTAATTTTTCAAACTTAGACTATTTAATCTAACAGAATTCATAGTTTGAAATATCAAAGGTCTATAAAATAAGGAATGAATAAGAAATAAGGATTAGAAGATCAGAGTTTGTGGATAAAACTCAACTCCTTCCCAAATTTTCTTCTTTTAAAAACTTTGAAAAAGTACTTTTGGGATATTTGATATCTGTATTATTTTATAATCCGAATAATAATATTATAAAAGGAAGGGTAGAGAATCAGATATTTCTCTAGATTCTTGGAGTTGATTTTTCCAATGTTTATCATTGGACCAATTATTTGATTGTTTAGGCTCACTACCACTACCTAGATGAAGTCCTCGGGGTGGTCGGGCAACCCCTTGGGATTGGAATCTGCTTTCTCCGGGTCCTGGTCTCCGGAGAAAATTTTGTTTCGGAGATGGATGACCGTAAACTCCATCAACTATGGTGTAACTGCGTCCTCCACTCTTATTAAAAACATTGACTGAATATCCACTATTGGGATTGGACCGGGGTTTCTCCGCAAATCTTTGCTCTGATCCCTGACTACCCGGAGCTAAAACAGGATTTCTTTGCGGTGGAAAGTTTTTCTCCTGACTCCATCCTTGGAGTTTGTGAATTGGGTTTCTCTGATCCTGAAAACGGTCTGTGGATGCAAATTCTGGATTTCTCTGATCTTGAAATCGATCTGAGGATTCAAATCCTGAATTTCTTTGATTTTGAAATCGATCTGAGGATTCAAATCCTGAATTTCTTTGATTTTGAAATCGATCTGAGGATTCAAACTCTGGATTTCTTTGCTCCGAACCCTGAAAGAAAGGTCTCGAAGGCGGATTGTTTTTCTGTGCAAGCCGGGGTTCACTGTTCTGGTCTATACTTGTTCTAGGATTATTGAAACGGTATGGATCAGAACCAACTGTTGATTTACGATTAAGGGGAGCTCCCTGGAGATTTGCTGGAGTAGATCCTCCCAGCCTTATTTCATCCAAGTTAGTCCTGCTTGTATCCGTCTCACTTGTATCTTTCCCACTTGTATCCGTCCTGCTTCCATCCGTCCTTCTGTGTGTAGGAACAATATTTTCCTTGTCGTTTAAATTTCTTCTCTTTCCTTGATTTAGTGGGCGCTTCTTGCCGGTCTAAACAAGAAATGTAAATAAAACACAGGAAACTCGGGTTCACTAGAAGTATCGGACTAACACCTGGGCAGCGGGCCCGGCGTTGTCCGTAGAAAAAATAAAACAATTTTGAAAAGTTTTTGAAAAAAAATTAAAAATTTTTAAAAAAAAATTAAAATAAAAAAATCTTTTTATTTTAGCCTATAACACTCTCCGGCCACCCATGAGTTTCAACCCAATCGGTCCAGCCGTTTGGCTGGCTATACGCAACACATATATATATACGAATTTGTCTTGTTTTATTATATAGAAAATAGATTAAAGACTACGGAAGGCAAACCGAAATAGTTACCGGATTAACCCACTAGCGGCTGCGGTGACTTATACGTCCCCTATAAATTATTTTACATAAAACTCATCTATTTTCCTCAATTTTGAGTTTATCTCCGAGGGAGTCATTTTATGATACAGTAAACAATATGGGACACAGATGTGTACAGTTAAACGGTTCTACCTACTCATCTTCCAAATTATTTAACCGTGTAAAGTTGAGGTGTGAACAATTAAACTAAATTTATGGAAAACGAAAAACAGCAGCCTTTAAGGTATGGTAAATTTTTTTAGTAGAAAACTATTTTAAAATGTTTTAAAAAAGTTTTTCAATTTAATATTAATTATTCTTTGAAATTATTTTTTTTTTATTATTTTTCTGTCATTATTTTAGAAATAAGAACTACATTTTTCCATACATAAATAAATTGGCCTTATAGGGCACCTCAGTTGTCACAGGGTGGGTATACAGTTTTATAATATGTGAGTTTAGACTAAATACAACAGTCGACAAAAATCAAAGTACAGTGTAGGTAGGGACTTAATATGTAGCATACGGGTTGCATGGTGGGACAAAGNTTAAAATCCCTAAAAAAACACCTTTAAAATTTTTTTTTTGCATTTTTTACTTTTTTTCCTTGATCTAACCAATAATAAGTATTCTTAATTAAATTTTCAAAGAAAAATCTAAAAAAAAATTCTTCAGCCGCTAGTGGGTTAAAAAAACCTTCACGTTACATCCTGATTTGTGTATTTTTTATTACTGAGCAAATAATATTCTTAACTCAAAAGTGCGTTTGGTAGAAGTTATTAATGCTTAAAATATTCTACTAAGAGAGATAGATGGATACATCTGAGAAGTTTCATTCATACAAAAATATTCCAGCAGAAATAATTTTGGATATAATTCAATTTTAAGATAAATAAGTAAGAAAAAAATATTGCTATTTTATGTTAATTTAATTAAACATGGACGAATTTAAACTTCTGGATTATTGTTATTGTAATAAATATTTTACCAAAGTCATAATTCACCCCGGAGCAAGATATGAATTGCAATATTCAAAGAAAAACTTTTTTGCAAATAAAGATAAATTTGTATGATGTCTAGAACTTTGAGAATATTGCTCTTGCTGGTTGAAAAAAGAATGATATTAAATCATATATCTCTGTATAGTGTACACTGTACAATACTTTTAGAAAGAAAATATATTTGAAAACAAACAGAAATCTAAAAAAGGGGATTATTTTCTATTTTTTTAAATGAATTTTGTTGAAAAGGAATTGAGGTTTTCCAAAAAACTTAAATTTTCTAATTCCTAAATCTTTACAACCTGATTGTGAAAATCTTTGATATACATATATACTTTGGTGTTGCAGAATTTATAGTTTGAAATATTAAAGATTCCCGACATCGGGTTGTAAAATTATAGTAATTGAAAAATCAGAGTTTGTTTCACTATCAACTCAATTTCTTTTGAAAAGTTTCAGAGTTTCAACAATTTTTCTTGGCCATGTCAGTCTTTTAAAAATTTGTCTCTTCCAAAGGAATGTAGTCTTTTTAACAAACTCAAATTTTCAAATCACTATATCTTTGCAACCTGATGGTTTAAATCTTTGGACTGATAGTCTTTGACATGGGGTTGAAAAAATATAGAGATTATAAAATCAGAGTTGTGGAAAAGACTCGTTTCGTTTCGAGGCATTTGAATTTGAAATCTCGAAAAAAAAAACAATTGAGGGAGACTGAAAAAGGGTCATTATCTTACATTTAATAATTAACTCACCCTTATTTACAGGATAAAGGAAATTATTAATAAACAAATATAACCTGCTCTCTTTGATCCAATATAGATCTTGAAATATGTTCAGGTTCACTAGGCTTCTCCGCTGTCTCTCTAAATAGAAAATATAAAAAATCTTGAAATATGTACAGGTTCACTAGGCCTCTCAGTCTCCGCTGTCTCTCTAAATAGAAAATATAAAAAATCTTGAAATATGTTCAGGTTTACTAGGCCTCTCCACTGTCTCTCTAAATAGAAAATATAAAAAACTTGAAATATGTTCAGGTTCACTAGGCTTCTCCGCTGTCTCTCTAAATAGAAAATATAAAAAATCTTGAAATATGTTAAGGTTCACTAGGCTTCTCCGCTGTCTCTCTAAATAGAAAATATAAAAAACTTGAAATATGTTCTGGTTCACTAGGCTTCTCCGCTGTCTCTCTACATAGAAAATATAAAAAATCTTGAAATATGTTAAGGTTCACTAGGCCTCTCAGTCTCTGCTGTCTCTCTAAATAGAAAATATAAAAAAAACTTGAAATATGTTCAGGTTCACTAGGCTTCTCCGTTGTCTCTTTGAATAGAAAATATAAAAAATCTTGAAATATGTTCAGGTTCACTAGGCGTCGCCGCTGTCTCTTTAAATAGAAAATAGAAAAATCTTGAAATATGTTCAGGTTCACTAGGCTTTGCCGCTGTCTCTCTCAATAGAAAATATAAAAAATCCATTCTTGAAAACATTTTTTGAAACTTGATCAAGCATTAATTTACAGGGTGTTTCTAATCTGGTGAATTTTATCCTTCTGACGTTAATCTAGATTAAACATTATTTCAAAAGTTTAAATCTTTAACGTTTTCAACCTTAACTTGAAGAGTTATTGAGAAGAATAAAAAATTTCCAATATGCAACTGAATTATAGAGTGCTTTTCACTTACTTGTGAGAAAAATCAAAGCAAAGGGGAGCTACAATGTCACAAAGTTGGAGTAGTTATAGTGTAGCATAAATTTGACCTTCTCCTTCTGACTAGTTTTAAAACTATGATAACATTTTTCTGATAACATCATGGGGGAGGTTTTAATTGGGAAAACGAATTGATGATTATTTCGAAAGATGTCTCAAGTGTTCACCATCTTTCTACAAGCAAATAGTCACCAAGTTTACTTATGAATTATCTTTTTTATTTTAGAAATAAGATTATTTTAGATATTAAATATATTAAGATATTGAAGTTACAAAATTTACAAGATTAAGAAAACACCCTGTATTTACAAGGTTAAGAAACACCCTGTATTTACAAGGTTTAGAAAACACCCTGTATTTACAAGATTAAGAAAACACCCTGTATTTAAAAGATTAAGAAAACACCCTGTATTTTCATCTGAAGGATTATTTGCAAATTATGGAAATCTGATAGTTTTCAGAAAGAAAATATTTTGATTATATTTAAAGATCAAAATATTTACTCCATCACAAAACATTGTTTAAAGAGTAAATCCCTTTTCTGAGTTCTTGATTTGTACATATACTTAACTTCCATTCTTCTTTAAAGGGACTGTAGACGTATTTTCAAGTGACCCTTTAATCATCAATCGACATGTCAATTCAAAACTATACCCTTTAAACCTTTTCCTAATCAAGGATGAATGAAATTTTTCTGATTCACTGTGGTACCCTTAAAGGCTAATTGCCTGATCAAGATCAGATAGCAATATTTATATTCTTGAAAATTCCACAGAATTGATTGGTTAGAGGTTTTAAGTGTACTGTTGTGGATCGATCATTCCCCTTTATTATGTTTACTTGAAATCACGATAACAGTCCCATTTAATATCTTCTTAAATGTTTAGTGTGTAATGGGAGGTTTTAACTGTTTAACCATGAAGGATTCCGGGGCGAGAGAGGGAGGGGGTACCATACAGTTACATCTTATAGAAACTGTTTCATTGAGAGTTTAACAAAAAACATAGTCCTTATTAAATATTAAACTTTGTCCCCCCCCCCATCACTCCTCAACCTCCCGTCTACCTCCCTCCCCTCATCACTCCTCCCCCTCCCGTCTACCTCCCTCCCCTAAAATCTGTGTTGTGACATTATAATTCACACAGATATATTGATTTGGATTTGATTTTACAGCTTTGCCAAAAAATTTGAATCATTAAAGTTAATTATTCTAAAAATGTTAAAAATTATAACATCGTTTGAAAATTTTCTAAAACTTATTTTGTGTAGTTTTGAAATGTATTTCTGTGTATTGAAACCATATCTATAATGTATCTATTTAAAATATAGTTTTATCGGAAAGATGTCTCGACCCCTCAATCCTATCATTTTATTCATATCTGATTAGAATATGAACTAAACCTACCTAGGAATAGATTTCTCCTGGTTCTCTTTAGGGTAAGGCTCAGGCTTTTCTCCGAGGAAGGTGATAGCTGGACTGTAGGGTTTCATAGGCAGGCCTAATCCCTCTGCCTTTCTTTTAATCTGGTTCCTGTTTGAATCAACTCCGGAGAAATCGAACCCGATCTCGTTCTCTGAGAACCCTCTTAAGTCCACTCCTGTCTGGATAAACGGATTTTGATTCCTGAGCTCCTGGTTATAAAAGGAACCTGGAGAAGGATTTACAAAACTCTTTGGCATTGCGGTCGGAGAATAGGCAACCTGAGCAGGGTTTAAAGAAGAGATTGTTGTATATTGATAGGTCTGCGGGGCTGGTTGATATGACTTAGGGGTAGGTTGATACGATTGCGGGGTTGGTTGATAAGATTGAGGGGTTGGTTGAGAAGACTGGGGGGTTTGTCGATAAGACTGGGGGGTTGGTTGATAAGACTGGGGGGTTGGAGTATGCTGATACGATAGTGGAATGGACTGATAGGCTTGTACTTTATTTTTCTCCTGAACCAAACGCTGTTCATAATATTCCGGAGATTCTGGGAAAGTTCTTGGTGTTGGTTGTGGACTGTTATAACCCTGAGAAGGGTTGGATTGAGTATATTTATTGAGCTCCAAGTGCTGTTGTGTATTGAAGGAAGCAGGAGTATAGGACCTGAAGAAGGATTGAGGTTGGTCAGAGAATGAGGATGGGGAAGGTGAACCTGGAGTAGAATAGAGAGCAGGACCAGGAGTAGAGTAGGTAAATTGTGTTGGGACAAGTTGGGGTGGAGTTGTGCTAAACAGAGAAGGAGGAGAAGGAGAAGAAGTTGGGTTTCTTGAATAGAGCTCAGGGTAAGAGTTTACAGGAGACCGATAATTAGGTGATCTATATGGAGTAGAGGTTGTTGTTGTGTATGTTACTGGAGATGGAAGTTTTATCCTCGGTGGTTCGGTGCTGATCTCTCTCTTTGGATTCCTTTCATCCGTGATTTTATCTCCCCAACTTGAGAAGAATCCAATCCCAGATTCGGACCCAGAGAAATCATCAAAGCTCTCAGGAAAGAAACTATTGAATGAGTCTGTTGTAGATTTAATCTCTGGTTTATATTTCTGTTGATGTTTGTTATGTTTAGCAGTTTGATCTGGGTTTAAGGTTGGAGAAGGGTTTGCTCTCTCCGGTCGCTTGTAAAGATTGTATGCTTCCTGACTGTAATTATCTCCTGGAGTATCCTCATACTCATCGTAATCATATTGAGGCAAAGAGGACTTTTCTTGATTAGCAGGTTTACTCGGAGATTTGGGAAAGGATGGAAAGTTTGGGAACCTAATCTCAGTAGTTTCAACCTGATTATAGGACGGAGTTCTCTGGTAGGGTAGCTGGGTAGGGGAGGAGGGAGAACTGGGAGAGTTTCTATACGGGGTTTGGGTTGGAGCGAAGGGAGAGTTTCTGAACGGACTTCTTGTAGGACCTTTATATGGGTTCCCAACCTAGAGAATAAATAAGATTAATCAGATTTATTTAGAAACTAACATAGCCCCCCAACAACAAAAAAATTATAATTAAAGAAAAATTACTTGGATAACTTTTTTGAATTTTTTAAATAGTCATACCATAAAAATATATCTAAGATTTATTTAGCCTTGGTACAAACTTAGGTTTTCTAATCCCAGTATCTTTACAATCTTTTATTTTTCAAACTTAAATTGTTTGATTTAACAGTTCACTTATTGTTTGAAAAATCTGAGGTCTACGACATTTCGTTCTAAAGATATAGAGGTTAAAATAAGAGTTGTGGCAAAGAAACAATTGCAGAACTTGGACGTAGAGCAAAATAAATTTAAATTTAGACTTGTTTCTAGTTTCCTAACCTGAGAAACTGGACCCTTGTTTAGATATGAGAGAATTGGGTTGGATACATCCTCACTCTCTACTCCTCCTTCTCCTCCACCAATCGTAAAATCATATGAGAACGGGTTCTTCTCCTCTCCGTCCTTAGGAGGGAAGTATATCCCAGGGAAGGGACTGAAGGTTGTCTCCGGGGTATACTCCGACCCTGCCGGATAGTTGTAGGTAGGATAGCTAGGGGATGAGGAGGGGAAGGGTGTTGGAAATATTTGATGATTGGAATATAGATTAGGACGGTTTGAGGGCTGAGGAAAATTAGAGTTTCTCGAGTCTCCTGAAAAATATAGAATGTGTAAATATATCGAATTATCATATATATGACAACGAGTCTACGTCTGCAGACGCAAAGGAATGGAGTCTTTGCCAACAATGGAATTTTATAATCCCCATATCTGCAATCTGTTGGTGTAAAACCTGTGATATTTCGAACTTCGGTTATTTGATCTAACAGAATTCATAATTTGAAATATCTAAAGTCTACGACAAAATCTAGGGATTTGAAAATCAGAGTTTTTGGTAATTAATCGATTCCTAAAGCCAGTTCTGGAGTGGTAAACCGATTCACAAAGATACCGTTTAAACCTCTGATCAAGAATTAATGATATACGCTTTATTTCTAGCTGAAAATTGATCATTTCTTAAAGAAGTAACTTGTTTCCTTAAGCTAGAGAGAGTCATATGAAGAAAGAAAAGTGAACATTTTTTTATTATTTAATCAGATAGAGGTCTAAAGGGAACCATTGTTAATCAGATAGAGGTCTAAAGGGAACCATTGTTAATCGGATAGAGGTTTAAAGGCAACCATTGATAATCGGATAGAGGTTTAAAAAACCATTGATAATCGGATAGAGGTTTAAAAAGAACCATTGATAATCGGATAGAGGTTTAAAGGGAACCATTGTTAATCGGATAGAGGTTTAAAAAGAACCATTGTTAATCGGATAGAGGTTTAAAGGGAACCATTGATAATCGGATAGAGGTTTAAAAAGAACCATTGATAATCGGATAGAGGTTTAAAGGGAACCATTGTTAATCGGATAGAGGTTTAAAGGGAACCATTGTTAATCAGATAGAGGTTTAAAGGGAACCATTGATAATAGGATATAGGTTTACAGGGAACCATTGTTAATCGGATAGAGGTTTAAAGGGAACCATTGTTAATCAGACATGCCATTTGAAATTACATCTGCATTCCCTCAATTTCAGAGAAAATGTAAAATTATGTTATTACGATAATATATGCATATATTGACTATATAGAGTAAGTTTGAAGGTTGAACCAGTTGAATTTAGTCATCCTTATCCCACATATACTGCAAGGTTACATAGATAAAAACAATTCATCAAACTATTATTATCCATAAATTATTTTATTTAAAATTATGTATTGTCCTTTCAACAACTAAAAAGTTAATTGAAACAATAATTCACCCTACTATGCTATTAAGTTTTTATGTTATTAAGCTAAATACAACAAAAACTCTGAGAAGATTGTTTTCAAATAGTTGATATCTAAATACTTTTATTAATGTCTTATTTCAACTAAAACCGTACAACGAATACTTAAACTATATTTATACTTTGCTTGCCTATTTGACTGTCTGTTTGTTTGTTTGTATCCAATAATTGTCAAAAAGGTTGAACCAAGCGGGCCCAAATTTTGTTCGGGACCTCACGTGACCCCAGGGAAGGTTTATTGATGAACAAAATTTCAATAATTATCCTCCAACTAAATTTGATACCAGAGATACCAGGGATACCAGGGATACCAGGGATACTAGGGATACCAGGGATACCAAGGATACCAGGGATACCAGGGATACCGGGGATAAAAGGGATACCAGGGATACCAGGGATACCAGGGATCCCAGAGATACCCGAGACATGTTTTCGATATATAGGATTGTAATTTGTAATACGTTTATATAAGAGAGAGTATGAAGGGAAAGGTAAATAAGTTAATTTAATAAAAACGTCTTTCTGAAGACATTAACTTGATTATAAATCAATCAATCCTGTAAAAAGTCAATGTGAGAGAAAATAAAAACAATTAAATGCATATTTGAACTTAAATATTTACCTATTGTATAGTCATAGGAGGGGGGCGGAAGTTCATCTGATAAATCCTAAAATTAAAATAGAATAATGATTACCATAATCTTTTATATAAAGCTCTTCGCACATATATATTTCAACTTGAGCACTCTGTGGCAATGGACAGGTGTATTAATTAATATTATGCAACGCCTCAACTTTTAATGAGTTTTTTGAGCTCTTTGGTCCCTATTTCATTACTCATCATCTGGGTTTGATGGAGCAGTTGTTAGCGTGTTTGATGCTTAATCCAAGGATTCACGGTTCAAGCCCCGCCAACTGCAAAATCAAAATACGACGAATTGTGCCAAACTGATGAGTCCTAATAGAACGAAACATTGCGTCTATTGATACATGGATATGTTAGCTATGGCTGGCCAAACGGCTGGACCGAATTGGCTGAATTTTTTAGAAAGATCTTGGGTCACAAAGCCTACAAAAATTTGAAAATTGTTTTCTTTCATGGTGTTTTTAAAATTCCACCGGCAACGCCGGGCACTTCAGCTTGCAATACCTATAAACATATTTAATATTTATTGTAAAAATTAATGGAAACCCAATCTTGGTTTAGAGCTCGGTTATTCCAACTGTTCGTTTTTATTCTGTTGAATCGTGCAAATTTTGATGACCAGTCGTTCATCATATAGGATCGAATTATATCAAAATCTGTCTAATCCCTATATCGTTGCAAATTGATGGTTTAACCTTTGATTTTTCAAACTTAGATTATTTGATAAAACAGGTTTCAAAGTCTGAAATATCTAAGGTCTACGACACTAGGTTTTAAATATATTAGAATTAGAAAATCTATGGCAAAGATTTATAGTGATCAACGAAAATGAAAACTTTATATAAGTTTGAAAACGATTTAAAAAGAACAGTGGTGCTCTAATCACCACGTTGGAAAGCAATCACAAAAATCTTTTTAATTGTAAATTAACAAAAACGACTTTTATAGGAGAACATCATTCTCCTAGAAAAGTTTTTCATAAAGAAAAAAGTTCAATTGTCTAGGTTTATATATATATGCTGGATTTTGTATAATGGTAATCTATATATAATTTATAATATTATATATATAAACCAGAAAAGGATTATTGAACGACAATTACAAGAAACGGATTATTATGGAAGAACCATAGATTAATTAAAATAACAGATAGGACACTAGATGTCGTCAGTTCAAGATTTGCATGAAACTCGTTCACAATAACCCTGAGGCAGAAGCCCAGAGGAGTTTCGCGCAGTCGGCGTAGAATCACAAGACAGAGAGAGCCTGTTCTACGTCGACTGCGCGAAACTCCGCTGGGCTTCTGCCTCAGGGTTATTGTGAAGGAGTTTCATCAAAATCTTGAAAAGATGACATCCGTTTGTATCCAATAAACTTCAAGACGGCTAAACAGATCGGGTCCAAACTTTTTGTGGGATCTCGCGAGACCCCGGTGGAGGTTTATGGATGATTGAATTTTCAAAAAATTGCTTCGAACGAAATTCGATTTATGAAAATTTTGAAAATACACGATTTTTTTTTATAAAATCCGTGAGATTCTTTGGTTTGTTTTACAATGCTTACAAAGAGAACATGCTCACAACTGGAATAGAAGATGGGCGCGAAGTTCCCTAAAAGCCTAGTACACAATATTTCGAATATACTTTTGTATCTGTGTTTGACACAGTTGAAAATCAGGCATTGCCGTTTTTGTATGGAGGGTCCCTTGAAAATATGTTTTCAGCCCTTCCAATCTTTTTTAATTATTTTGTTCTAACCTGTGTATGAAATCCTGAGCGAAGTAGAACCTCCTCTGGATTGTCGAAATGTTTATATTGATCAGGGTTCCAGGTATCCTTCTCAGGGTGCCTTCTCAACCCTTGGTAGCCTGCAGGACGGATCCCTATATAGTCCGAGGGGGGAAGAAGGTTCGGTGCACTTGATGACTCAGATAGTTCTTCATCCTTCTCATCCTTCTCCTCCTTCTCCTTCCGTTCTCTAGGAAAAAATAATGTCAAATATAGAGTAATAAAACTTTTTGAGCAAACCGTGAAACACAGGGTTAACCAGAAAGGATGAGACTTCAGAAACGGCTCTACGGCATGAAGAGGGAATATTTAGTAATATCTAGTTCAAGCTTCTTGGAGATACATATATATATATATATTTCTTCCAAAGTATCAAGAATAAAAGAATAATAACAAAGTGATTTACATAAATAATGTATGTTTATGTATTTTGATATAATTGTATTACATATTTTCAATTGTCTGGGTAATTGATAATAAGCAAACTAAATTCTTTTTTACTATAAGGGACTGTTCAGATGTTCCAGTATTGTGTACAAGGTACCAATTAATAAAGGGATTGTTTTAAAATCCACATGATACCCACATTTTTGGAACAATTAACGAACTAAGCGTATTCATTGATTCGTCAAACAAAAGTTTATTGTGCAGGCAAGATTTAAAATTTATATTTTTCAACCACAACTCCTCTTATTAAAGTAAATTTTTACTGTGAACTTTATAGAAGGAGAATGCGAAATTTCTAGACTGCTTTTGTGACCTCTTGGCACCTCTAGTTTTGATTTAAAGCAAAGTTATTCGGTTGTGTATAAAAATTCAAATCATCTCTGTTCTTACTTTAGTTTTAGAAGAACAAAAACGTTTTGAATTTTTAGTTAAGTTTGCTTTCTCATACTTGTGCGGGAAATCATAACTAGAGAAGCTACACGCACCTCTGCCCCTTAAGTAAAAGTAAATTCAACCTATATGAAGCATAAAGTCTGACCGCGTCAACCTTGTTGCACCGGCTAGTCCTGTTAATTGTCTTCTTTATTAACCCAATGTCCGTGCGGTGCAGTACAAACTGGGACCGGAAAGGTTGACCCGGATCGGAAATTCAAAAGTCCGTGGCTAAGAGAAGTCGCACCACTTAGTCGTATGAATTTGACTTTCTCTATCTGTGCGATCTCTGTTTATAAGCCTAGTAAATCTTGTCAGCTCTTTTTCAAAAAAAAACTTGAAAAAAAGCCCAATTCACGACAGTAAACTTCTTCTCAAAAGATGTTCTTTTTTTTCTGAAAATTTATAATTTTCAAGTGTCTAGTGTGTTCTCTATAAAAGGGACATGCGCAATTATGCAACAGAGATAAAGAAAGAAATTGTTAGAATCTAATACTTGTTTCATATATGTTTCATGATATTTATTACTTGTTGTTTCTTAAAAAGTGTTAATGATTCCGTTTTGAAGCTAGTTTGCAACTCTATAGGAATTTTTCATGTGAAATTGCGTTCTCAGTAAAAATCTATTTAAAAAATAATAATAATTAGCTTCTACTTTACATTTTAATTTTTCCACGTTAAATTATAAATCTTAAAATACGGAACATTTAAAGATAATTTAATTCATGTTAATATAAAATTGCAATTTAATTTTTAAAATTCAATTATCAAGAAATTGTTTTAATTGTTCCAAAGAATCTTTCTTGAAAAATCTATCTCAAAAGAATTGAATTAAAGGAATGTTAGTACAGATTTTCAGCAAAAAAAAGATAGTTTTTCATCGATTGTGAAATCTAATTTTATATGGCAATGTTTTTTAAAAATTTTATATCTTTCCAAAAGTATATCTTCAGTGAAATACAATATGTTTTTCATCAAATAAATACAGTTTAAATATTTTGATTGGATTTTAAATTTGAATAAAATTTTCAAAATCTTATTTAAAACATTATTCATCTTTTCTTAAATATTTTCAGTTTTCATTCAAGATTAAAAATAATTGTGATAATTTAAAGGGGCTTTGTTTAAGAAAAGAGAAAAAAAGAAAAAGAAAATGGTATTCATAGAATATTCAATTGTTCATGCCGCGACTCATGAGGAAAATACCTGGAAATTTTGTTCCTGTTCTGATTCCTTGAATTCCGCCATGAGTCGCTAGTTTTGTATTCAACATTCTTCTTCTTTAAACCGGAGCTGATTGTCTCCGACGGGGATGAATCCTCCTCCTCCTTCTCTTCTTTGTGTTCTCCTGAACTCCTAGAAATAGAAAACTAAAGTTCTTCAAACTTTTTCATTAGTTGCGGAGTCAGTTCAAAGGTTTTAGAGATCAGGTAAGAACATCTTTCAAAAAAGATAAACTACGTTATTTCCGATTCACTGAGGATACCTTAAACTTTAGTTAAAAACATTACGGAGGATATCGTCGTTTTTTCTTCTTAACAAGTGTTAATTCTGACAATTTCTTTCACGCTCTTTAAAGCATTAATCGAACATTTTTTTCTGGAAAAATATTTGAAAGTTCCTGAGCCCGTTGAGCCGTTGTTCGTTACACCCGACCTTAAGACCCAATCTTCGACTCTGACGACAGGTTGTGTCACTTAATTGACAGCTGCAAGATCTTCGGCTCGAATTAAGGAGTTCGGCCCAATGAAAATGAAACCGACCTTGGTTGGGTTTAGTAGAGAATAGGGCTCAATGTTGAGTCTTGTTCTCATAAAAACCTGGAATGCGCCAATTCCTTCCATGAAAATCCGCCAAATAACCCGGTTTTTTGAACTCAACTCTGTGGAAAATAAGATGCAGCTTGAATCCGAAAACTCAAGTCGTAAATAAGGCCCAACGACAACTTAGACCCGAGCCGTATTTTCACGAGTTTTTTAAATCGTGGGCGGGGATGGAGGGGAGGGGGACACGTTTCAGACTAGAAACAGTTTAATTTGTACACTGTTCAGAATATATTGAAAAAAGGTTTCATGACTGCATGCGTTAAACTTATATTGATAAATAATTTTCAAGTGAAATCATAAAGAAATTGAGCTTCTGTCACAAAATCAAATTATCTAATCTCTATGTTTTTGCAACCTGATGATATTTATTTCAAACTCAGACTTATTGATCAAACAGAATTCATATTTTGAAATATCAAACTTCTAAAACATCAGGTTCAGAGATATTTGGTTTTGAAAATCAGAGTTTGTGGCAGAACTCAATGCAGCCTTTAATATTTTTTCTGGGTTTTCTCCGCAAATTGCAACCAAGAAAATGTCTTACTGATGTATGATATGGTATGATATATTCCCAACCTCTCTACAACTCCTACAACCTTTCATAAACTTTGGTAATGTGAAACATCAGATTAAAATTTAACTTTGTTGACTTAACTAGAAGGGTTTCCTTGTTATAATTATAATTTTGAAATAAATATGAAAAAACAATCTGTTTTAATTAAATTGTCTGAAAATTTACTTTTTTACCAACCTATAAACTGGCTTTCTAATGATCTTTCTTTTCCTGAGAACCTTGTTCAGGACGGGTTTAGTATCCGGGTTTTCCCTGGACTTGAGACTCATGAGACGAGCTCGGTTTACTATCTCCAGGTCCTCATTATCCTTGTTAAGGGTGGGACGGTTCCGTTTAAACTCTCCTGTCTCCGGGTCAAACAAAGCATTTCCTCCGTTCACACCTCGACCCTTGGTCGTTCTCCGAACTCCGTTATTGAAATTAAACTCCTTGAGGGAGAATGAGAAGGAGGAGAGGAGAACCAGGAGAACTCCTTGAAAAACTAAAACTTCGTGTCTTCTCATTGTTTCATGTTTTCAATCCTGTAATTAGACATTTTATTAATAATAAGTTTATAGATGTATTGTTTAAATCAAAATTATGCATTCTGTACATTTGCATGGACAAATATCACTTTTAGCATAAATTATAGGTAATTATCTCTTAAACATTCTACAGGGCTAATTTTTCAACTACATTATTACACGGAAGTGAGGATGAACGCAAAGCGGAACAAAATTAAACTATTAATCATTTTGTATTTTCAGTTCCAATAATTTATTACTAATATTGCCGTCTCATCTTCTTTATATAAAACATTTTTTATTGACACAAGGATGTGAAAAAGCCGTGAGAAAAAACGTATCCTATAAACGTCAAAACGGCTGAACCGATCAGGCCTAAATTTTGTGTGTGACCTCATGTGGCCCAGGAAAGGTTTATGGCCAATAATTATGAAAATGCGCTAAAAAATATTATGAAATCCGCAAATTAAAAAAGTGTTTTTGTGTACACAGAGCAGTTGCTCGAACGGATAAAGCCACAATTAAAAGTTGAAAAAGAAGATGGGCGCGATGCGCCCTAAAAGCCTAGTTGTAATAAAAAACATAAAGATAAGATAAATGTTTGTTTACAAAAGAATTCCAAAAATATTTGATTATAACATAAAAATGTAAATTCATGTTTTAAGAGGAAGAGAATCTGTTGTGTAAGTAACCTTTATTTCTAAAAATATTTTTTTATTTTTGTTTAAAGAGCAATTTATTTTAAAAAGTAGGATAATTATTTAAAACAGCGTATATGAGTAGGATAATATAGAAGACATGAGTAGGATGAATATAGAAGATATGAGTAGGATGAATAAAAAAGATATGAGTAGGATGAATATAGAAGATATGAGTAGGATGAATAAAGAAGATATGGATAGGATGAATATAGAAGATATGAGTTGGATGAATATAGAAGATATGAGTAGGATGAATATAGAAGATATGAGTAGGATGAATATAGAAGATATGAGTAGAATGAATATAGAAGATATGCGTAGGATGAATATAGAAGATAAGAGTAGGATGAATATAAAGGAGATGGGTAGGATGAATATAGAGGATATGAGTAGCATGCATATATAGAAGCTATGAGAAGGATGAATAAAGAAGATATGGGTAGGATGAATGTTGAGGATATGGGTAGGATGAATATAGAAGATATGAGTAGTATGAAAATTGAATATAGAGGATATGAGTAGGATGAATATGGAGGATATGGGTAGGATGAATATAGAAGATATAAGTAGGATGATAAAGCAGATATGGGTAGGATGAATATAGAAGATATGAGGAGGATGAATATAGCAGATATTAGTAGGATGAATATAGAAGATATGAGTAGGATGAATATAGAAGATATGAGTAGGATGAATACAGAAGATATGAGTAGGATAAATATTAAAGATATGAGTAGGATGATATAGAAGATATGGGTAGAATAAATATAGAAGAGATGAGTAGGATGAATAAAGAAAATATGAGTAGGAAGATATAGAAGATATGAGTAGGATGAATATAGAGGATGTGAGTAGGATGAATATAGAAGATATGAGTAGGATGAATATAGAAGATATTAGTATGATGATATAAAGAATATGAGTAGGATGAATATTGAAGATATGAGTAAGATGATATAGAAGATATGAGTAAGATAATACAGAGGATATGAGTAGGATGATATAGAGGATAAGGGTAGGATAAAAAAGAAGATATGAGTATTATATAAAGGATATGAGTAGGATAATAAAGAAGAAAAATGAAAAAATCAGATAAAAAAGTATGAAAAGTAGAAAACGTAAAATTCTAAATGAATTCAAAAATAGGTTTTACTCAACTCATATTTTATCCATTTTATCACCCCCTCCATCTCCCCAACTTTCACACAAATATCGTGACCCCCCCCCCTCCCTCCCAGTAGCATCAGGTCTAAAGTAATTTGCAGCTGACGAGGGTTTATAATGTTGAGCAATCATACAATCCATCCTAAACTCTCTCCTGGACAATTCAATATCAACCAGATATCAGAAGTTAGAACAATCAATCGAGACCATTTATAAGAACTGCAGACTAGGGTATCCATTCGCAAAACTTTGAGCAATTTTTGCGAAAGAAAACGAAAATGTTTGCTTTCTTTACGCTACGTTTTTTGCGCAAAAAAATAGCACTTTGCGCAATTATTATCAAACTTAATTTCGTGCAAAATTGCTATATTCAGCTTTTGCGTTATTCTGTTTTGCGCAATTTAGCGGTACAATTTCTCATTAAAAGCTTGAAAGTAGAAACAGATGCGTAGCATCATTAAAATGTATATGTCTAGGCCTAGAAAAAAGGATTAGTGAGTTGTGAGATAAAACCAAAGACCAAGGCGTTGCGACACTTTAAAGTTTAGACGGTGTAGAAATTTGATGACTTAGGGTTGTCTTTATCTCAGTGGGCATAAATAATAGACCTTTTATATTTCAATCATACGCATTCGACTAGAAGTAGACAACATTTTAAATATCAAAAGTTGCCACCATACAAAAATTCAGACATCTAAAAAAATCTATGCATCAATTTTCAATTTTCAATTTCTTTTTATCAGTTTTTGTTCTTCAATTTGAAGTTTTTGTAACTAAAAGAATTCAGATTAAAATTATAATAATTTTTTTTTCATGCAAATTTTTTAATAAACCTTCAGTTGTTTGATTTTGTGCTGAAACTATCAATTTTGGTCAATTTGCTTAAAAATATCATGTTTTGCGTAAACGTTTTGTGCAAATTGCACAAACTAAATTGTGCAAAAACACGCAAAACTTATGATGAGTTTCATGCACAAAATTTGCGCGAAAATTACGCAAATTTTGTGCATAAAGCGCATTATAAATTGGGTTACAAAGATATAGGGATAAGAAACTCAGAATTAGTGGCAAGAACTCAGTTTCTGTGAAACAGTCTTCTAAGATGAATTGGCTGATGATGAATACAAATTTTGAAAATTTGAAATTTACATATTATTATTCGGCAGTTCGGGGCTGATAATTTGAAACAGAAAATCAACTTGCTAAATTTGTTACAAATGGTTAAATTTGCAACAGCTTACTAGCTTTTAATATGTGTCAAAGTGGAAACAAAAGGAAATGAGTCTTTGACTCAAACTCTGATTTTATAACACCTTTATCTTTGCAACCAAATGTCGTAAAACTTAGATTTTTTAACTCTATAGATTCTGTAAGATCAAATAATCTAAAAGAATTGAGTCTTTGCCAAAAACTCTGATTTTCTAATCACTATATCTTTGGAACCAAATGTTGCAGACCTTAGATATTTCAAACTATGAATTCTGTTAGATCAAATAAATTGAGTTTGAAATATCAAAGGTTTACAACATCGAGTTCTAAAGATATTAAGTTTTAAATTTTTGATTTTGTTCCAATATCAAAGGCTTGCAACATTAGTTTTACAAAGAATATCAAAATTTGAGTTTGTGGCAAAAACTCGATTTCTTTGGTCATTATTTCTTTCAAAATTTTAATAAAAAATTAAAAGAATCTAAATAACTAAATAAATGAATGATTAAAGTTTTTCAAAATGCAGATTAAGATTTAAATTCTCAGTTTTCTAAGTTCTATTCCACTTTACATATTTAATTTAACTTATACGTCAGTATATACTTAACTAATATTATAAACAAAAAATGAATGTCCTGAATCCTAATATTTTAAACAAAAAAGGAATCTCCTGAATCCAAATATTTTTTACCAAAAAATGAATGTCTTGAATCCTAATATTTCAAACAAAAAATGAATGTCCTGAATCCTAATATTTTAAGCAAAAAATGAATGTCCTGAATCCTAATATTTTAAGCAAAATAGGAATCTCCTGAATCCTAATATTTTTACCAAACAATGAATGTTTTGAATCCTAATATTTCAAACAAAAATGAATGTCCTGAATCCTTATATTTTAAACAAAAAAGGAATCTCCTGAATCCTAATATTTTAAACAAAAAAATTTACTTAAAGAAACTTTGCACATAATTTAACGTTTAAGTATATAACTTTTTTCATTATAATGAAATTAGATAAGTTCTGGCTATTTTCTTCCCTGTCTCGCAACCGCAATTGAAAATTTTCTATTTTTAGTTAGAACAACTATAACCGTGAACAGACAAAGGTTTGTAGGGTACCGTTGTGAATAAGGTATATATATAACGTTCTAAATAAAGAGTGGACCAATTTTACTCAAAATGGGAATTTTAAGCAAATACAGATTTGAACTGGTTTAAATTACTTCAAAATGAGTTCCAACTGGGCTTAGAGGCGTATACGGGGGGGGGGGGTTATTGGGACAGAGCCTTCCCCCCCCCCCCTCCCCCTGGATCAGTAATATAAACCTAAAAGTAGCAAAAATGGCGTCCTTCTATTTCAAAGTTGTCTGATTCTCAGTGTATCATAAACAATATGCTGAAGGATACTCGGGATATATTTATCTAATTTATCCACGATATTTCCATTCTTAGGTTGACAGCTCATGATCTAGGGTAGAGATAAACCTAAACCTGGAGACAGAGAGGATATTCTCTGGTTTCTCATGGTTTACCTTCTCCTCCATATACAGATTAATATAGACGCAAGGATCCCACAATTAAATACTGTGCGGGGATTATATAACGTCAAACCTTGGAGTTATTATCTTCAGTTTACATATGTTACACCATTGGAGGTCAATCATACAATATATGATATATATACTAGCTCTAGTCCCCGGCGTTGCCAGTGGTATAAAAAAATGAATATAAAATCGATTTAAAAAAACCAAAATGTTTTGATTTTTTAGCCTATGTTGCCCCAAAGATCACTGTCTATATAACAATAGAGATCAATGTCAAGATAGCACTAGAGATTAATGTCAAGATAACACAAGAGATCCATGTCAGGATAACACTAGAGTTCAATATCAAGATAACACTAAAGATCAATGTCAAGATGACACTAGAGATCAATGTCAAGATAACACTAGAAATCAATGTCAAGATAACACTAGAGACCAATGTCAAGATAACACTAGAGATCAATGTAAAGATAACACTAGAGATCAAGGCATTTCAAGATAACACAAGAGATCCATGTCAAGATAACACTAGAAATCAATGTCAAGATAATACTAGAGATCAATGTCCAGATAACACTAGAGATACATGTCAAGATAAAACTAGAGATCCATGTCAAGATAACACTTGAGATCAATGTAAAAATAACACTAACGATCAATGTAAAGATAACACAAGAGATCCATGTCAAGATAACTCTAGTGATCCATGTCAAAATACCACTAAAGATCAATGTCAAGATAACACTAGAGATCAATATCAAGATAACACTATAAAGATCCATGTCAAGATAACATTAGAAATCAAATGTCAAGATAATACTAAAGATCAATGTCAAGATAACACTACGAATCAATGTCAAGATAACACTAGAGATCAATGTCAAGATAACACTAGAGATCAATGTCAAGATAACACTAGAGATCAATGTCAAGATAACGCAAGATATCAATGTCAATATAACACTAGAGATCAATGTCCAGATAACACAAGAGATAATTGTCAAGATAACACTAGAGATCCATGTCAAGATAACACTAAATATCAATGTCAATATAACACTAGAGATCAATGTCAAGATAACACAAGAGATCCATGTCAAGAAAACACCAGAGATCAATGTCAAGATAACACAAGAGATCCATGTCAAGATAAGACTAGAGATCCATGTGAAGATACCACTAGAGATCCATGTCAAGATACCACTAGAGATCCATGTCAAGATAACACTAGAGATCAATGTCAAGATAACACTAGAGATCAATGTCAAGATAACACAAGAGATCCATGTCAAGATACCACTAGAGATCAATGTCAAGATAACACTAGAAATCAATGTCAATATAACACTGGGATCAATGTCTAGATAACATGCACAAGAGTTCTATGTCAAGATAACACTAAAGATCAATGTCAAGATAACACTATAAAGATCAATCTCAATGTCAGATGTGCTAAATATATTATACACCCCTCTCTCTCTTCGTTCCAGCTACCAGCATACCAAAAATACACTTTGATCTCTGTCCAGTGAAATTATTTAACAAGTTGTATTAAGACAAAATAATTCTCCTTCATGAAATGAATTGAATAGAATTAATTATAATGTTTTTACTAATTATAGTTTTTAAAATAAAAACTTTAATTTCACTTATGTACATTTTGTTAAAGTGTGCACACTGTACTAACTTCAAGGTAATCCGCGTAAAAAAAAGAGAGAAAAGTATGTCCGATTCACATTGGTTTAACTTTAAAACCTTTACCTGATCAAGAACGGGAATGATATCGTAATTTTTCCATCTTAAAAACTGTTCAATCGTTATAATTTCCTTCAACGTCTAACTAGCATAAATCCACCCACTTGTAACTTTAACAGAAAAATAAGGATATCTTTTATTTTGATCAACCAAATGTTTACAGGGTACCGTTGTGAATCAGTTATGCCTTTCTTGTACGGTGAAATTATCTTCAAAGTCCCTTTCAGGTTGAAGTCTCACCATATTACTCTGTAGAGCGCGGTGTATCAAAACAATAATTTCTCTGCGTATCACCCAGGTCCAGAATCTTACGCGCGTAACGGAGAACTGAGAATGATGAGAGCGCACTCTACGCACGTGACGGAGAACAAGTGTTTGTAAACAAACACAGAGTGCAGGGAACGCAGCAGAATTATAATTTGAGATGTGATACTAGAGATTCCTGAAACTTGTGTGAGTGTCATGATACTACTTTGTTCATGACTTTTCTATCTGAATCCTTGACAACAAGGAGAATTGAATAGAAGGAGGGGGTGATAGGGTTTCCGTACACTTTGATGTGACGTTTTTGGACTGCTGAAGAACTAGTTTTTGCGTAAGAACAATAACAAAGGCAGACGATCTAATGTAAACAAACATGAGTTAGTATACGGTGAATCTTCATCTAACGCCAGAGATGCGCCAGATGTCTGTTTATCATTTTTGTAATTGTTTACAATCTTTGTTATTGTTGTTACGCAAAAACTAGTTCTTCAGTAAATCATTTTCTGGTTAATTTTGTATTCAATTACGGTTTTTATCCTTCAGTAAAATCGATTAACAAGCTAAAAGGTTCATGACTTTATTTAGGGTTTTAACAAAATTTGTAATCTTCTTTAACGAAAGAGGAAATTTTAAACTATTCACTAACTTTCATGTTTCGTGGAACACCCAGTATTTTATTTGGTGTACCGTCCCGTTCTGCCCTCTATAGTCTAATGCAATATGCATTTTTTTTCAAGTTTTGATTAAAGTAAATCCTGCACTTCAAATGAACCGGATTTTTCGGTGCATTGTAATTGTATATTAAAGACTACTAGGACACCCTGTAATTGTATATTAAAGACTACTAGGACACCCTGCAATTGTATATTAAAGACTACTAGGACACCCTGTAATTGTATATTAAAGACCAGAATGAAAAATTACTGTCCTAACTCAATGTCAATGCTGAAGGAGACTCTTTGTACAAATCATTAGGACTGAGAAACTTTTTCTTTTTTTGTTTTATTTTAAAGGGACTGTAAGCATAATTTCAAGTGACCCCCTTGCAAAGAAAGGAATGCATGATTTAAACCTTCGACTCCGTGTTTGTTTACCTATGAGGGTTCAACCTAGAGTTTACGCTAGCGTACGGTGCGAACTCAGTGCAGCTGACTTCATATATAATATATTTCTTGGAAATCCAGAATTTTCTATGCCCAACGCGATTTTAAAAAATCAAATGAAAATATTCATTTTCTGCGACTTTTGGAAAGTAAATATTACTATTTCTTAAATAGAAACAGCTCACAAACAAAGTTTTGAACAATTACACATGCGTTTCTGTTTAGAAATGGTCCGTTATCCTTGATCAGTGATAGGTTTAAACCATAGATAAAGATAGATTGCGCATAAGACGACATTTTTCATCTTGACAGATATAAATGTAACAGAGGTCGGTTGTGAACATTGGCTGTTCTTATGTCATTGAGTACTTGTGGTGTACATGAGTTCTGTAGAGAGAAATTTAAGCTAGTTTAGTCCTCATGTTCTTCTTCAGTTCTCGTCAATATGGTAATTTGATAATTTAATATTCTCAAAATTCACTCCTTAGTGGTTTAATAATTATGAAATCCATTAAAACACCAAACCACCCGCTTATCATTGAAGTACACTTTGACCCCTAGAAGTATGAGTTCGCGGACTGTACAATTCTTGGTTATTTTACGAACATAAGCTATCTATGTTTATTTATTTATCTATGGTTTAAAAGGTACTGTTGTGAATTGGACATGACAACTTAATTAATGAAGGGTCACTTAAAATAATGTCTTCAGTCTCTTTAATTAATAAAATTTTCATTTTATTGTCAAACATTAGAACACATTTCGATATTTATTCAATTTATTGTTCAATAAAAAAAAAATGAACATCCTCATACACAATGTTTCATGGACCATTTGTCATGGACCAATCTTCATTCTTCAGTGAGGTGTGTTCTCGAATCTTAGTTCGATATTTATGTATTTTAAGAAAGATGCGGAGCACCCTTTATTCATTAAATAATAGAATATAATTATATTTATTTTATCTAAAGTTATACTAAATGCCAACTGCATACATAGTATGTGCATAATTATATGAACATTGTAGATATATTATTAATTATATTTAATTTCACAGGTTTAATAAGTTTTTGATTTTATTGCAGTTTGAAATTTAAACGGTGTTGCAATATATAGATCAAAAATAATAAAAAAAGCTTTTAAAGTTTTGTGTTGAAATTAGTTTTTATTTGCTTTCTTACATTATTCTTAAATAATTCATCTGAAGTTTGAAGAAAAACAAGCAAAAATGCTAGATTTTGCTAAAATATTGCTAGCTATACTCGTTTACTACAAATCAGATTGAGTATACTGCGTAAGAACCCTGTCTATCGCATCAAGAAGAGTTGCGGCATTCTCTTCGCTGAATACCAAGGGGGACTTGAACTTTAGCACGTTGTTATGAGGTCCATCCGACTGCAGGAGTATCCGCTCCGCCCTAAGACAGGATAGAATATGCTGAGCTAGAGCTGTGTGAGGTTCCCGACTCTCTCGATCTTTAACTAGATCAATCCCTAGAAACATTCCTCGACCCCGAACGTCTCCGATAACGGTATGTTTGGCCGCCAGCCGGTGTGCACCATCTAGAAGTATTTTTCCAACCTTCTGCGCATGCTCCAACAGGTTTTCATCCTCAATCACATCCAGGACAGCGCTGGCTATGGCGCAGCTAACCGGGTTTCCTCCAAAAGTGTTAAAGTACTCAATACCTGTGGACGAAAAACTTTCAGCTATCTCCGGGGTTGTTATTACAGCAGCTATAGGATGTCCATTTCCCATCGGCTTACCAATGGTCACAATATCAGGAACCACAGACTCTCCGTAAGTCTCGAAGGCCCACATGTGAGTCCCAACCCTGCCAAACCCAACCTGGACCTCGTCAGCAATGACGACCCCTCCAGCTTGTCGAACAGACTGGTAAACTTGTGGAAGATATGAATCTGGGTAGATGATTTGACCGCCGCAGCTTTGTAAGCTCTCGGCGATGAAGACGGCGGGTTTCCGGCCTTTTTCTCCCATTTCTTGGATAATTCTGTCTACCTCACTAAATACAATGTTAGGGTTAGAAAAGAAGAATCAAAATACAGGCTTACCCAATAAGGATGAGACTTCAGAGACGACTGTAAAGACTGTATTTTGACTGTCTGTGTCCTTATATTGTTGATTCCCTGCAGCTGTAAACTTGCCTTTCTTGGACCAATAATCAAACAAGTCATTACAAAAGACTATATCTACGACAAAACATTCAACTCAACCATGATCTATCGTCATATTTCAAGAGTTTAAGGTGTCTTTACAGTCTTAGCTTTCGTGGGTAACCCTGTATGTATATGAAAAGAAATCTTATGTTATGAAAGGATTTAAGCTTCTAAGGATTTCTTGTAAAAACACAGGAGTTGAGTGAAGACTTGAAAACAAAAATTCAGAGATCAAAATTATCAGTATCTCTGTCATTTTAAAATGTAAAAAAGCAGACCATACCCCAGGATGCAAGGTTGTAAATGCTTTGACTGAAACAATTTTACGTTTATCTTTAATAAAAATCTTTTTTTTTTCTTTACTGGAAACCTTCTTTTAACAGGAAAATCTTAACGTAATTCCAAGTAAACTCCTAATTAAATGGTTGCTTTCCTGATTCACAAATATACAATTTACACCTTGTGAGCAACAATTTGGAATATTTTAACGTGTTTAATTCTGTCCATTTCAATCCTTCTCACTGCTCCATAAATTCGCAAGTCACTTTTAAAGAGAAACCACAAATGAAAAATATTTAGTGTTCAGGTAGAAAAACAAAAAACAAGGTTTATATAGGGAATTTCGCTCTAAAGAACAAATTTTTATTGTACGCGAACTAAAGGTTTACCTTGAATAAAGTTTTCCCATATCCTCCCCTGGATGTTTGGATTGCCAATATTTACCCCTGTAAAGATCAGGGACAGGGGCAACCCAGGTGTGTTCAGGGCATCCTGCTCCCCCTGGTTTATCAAACTTGTAAGGAGATATATCAATCAGGCTAATCACGTGACCATGGTACGCATGATCAAGAGTTATCACATCACGGTTACCTAGAAATTATTATTTTTTACATATTATTGTTAATGCCATTATTACCATGAATATTGAATAATGATTATTGATTATCAATAATATAATTAACAACATTATTTTTATGATTATTATGATTATCATCATTATTAACACTATTACCATGATCATTATTATTTTATTTTTTATTTTGTTGATAACGGAAATTTAAATTTTGATTGTGATATTTCACTCGATTAAAAGAATGAAGGAAATCTGGAAATGGAAATTGCTAACGAATGTTTAAAAACTCCTGAAGCAATTCTGTACAGTCGTCTCTGAAGTCTCGTCCTAAGTGGGCATCCTTCTATGTCAAAGTGATCATGTTGGTTTTGGTTTCTCTTTAATTGGTAAATGTTACAAAAAATATCCGATTATTTCTTATAATTAATGAAATATTTAATCGTTTGGAAAATTTGTGATTTTTTAATTTCACAGAATATTGGACAATTTATATAAAAAAATTACAAAATTTATATGATTATTCTTCAAAAACATCTTCAGACACAGTTGTGTTCTTAATTCCATTTAATATATTTTTATTATTTTAAAGTAAAGTTCAACAGGCTCTTAAAGGGACTGTAAGCGTAAATTCAAGTGACCCTCCATGTAAGATGGCAAAGTTCAATTTACAACGGTACCAATGAAAGCTTTGTCAGATCAAATATAAATTAGAATTCCATGTTTTTGTTTATTTAAACTGTTTAATTTCATTCGTGATTTCTCTGTTAACTTTGCATGGGGGGGGGGGGTCACTTGCGAGTTGCAATTACGCTTACAGTCCCTTTTATAAACAATATACCTGTGTGTTGGTACGCCATTCTTAAAGCAAGATCATTTGCTTCGGAGCCCGAATTCACCAGATAGGCCACGGATAGGTTTCCTAAATTAGTTTTAATTATATACAGGGGTGTATACTAATCATAATGATTTATGATGACTTAGGGAAAAAAATTGGTCATTACAAGGCAAGTTTTTAAAAATTCATTTTGATACTTTTTATCCCAAAATTCGTTTATTTTCTCCAATTCAAGGAATGAAACCATGAAAATTACGCTGGGAATGGGGGGTGGGGGGAGGGGAGTGGATTCATTTAAATGGAGTGGCCGGCTATGTAAGGTAGTTAAACTGAGTGTTGTGGAAAAATTCTTTCTGATTCATTTGAGACATATTAAACTTTTTAAAGATCTGTAATTCCTGAGTTTGAGCGCAAATTCCACGTTCAAAACTCCTACTTTAGGAGTGGGTACGTTTTCAAAATTAGTTTTTAAAATTATTAAATAACGACGACATAAAATGTAAAAAAGCTCTACAAAAAACTACAGTCGTCATGTATAGGAACATGTCGAGAAAATAAAAATTAATCTTAACATCGAAAATAAGTAATCATGTTCAATTATTAGTTTCTATTTTCTCATTATTTTGATTTCTCCTTATTCACAAAGATTCAAGAATCATTATTGAAAAGACGACATTTGAAGAATTTGAAGAAATCTGCGTATAAATTAAAAAAATAAGAAATTCAATATAATAATGAAAACGAAATAATTCATTTTAGCATTGATTTATTGACAAATTTCTTTTGAGAAATACGTTCCTAACCATCTAATTAGATCACTGTATAATTTTTGCTTTATTGTTCGTTGTCGTTATTTACTTATTAAAAAATCTAATTCTGAAAACGTATCCACCCCCAAAGTAGGAACTTTGAACGTCGAATTTGCGCTCAAACTAAGGATTTACAGATCTTTAAAAAGTTTAATGTCTTAAATGAATCCGAAAAATGTTTCCCACACACTGCATACTCAGTTTAACTACCTTACATAGCCGGTCACTCCCTTTAAAACAAAGAAATGGAAACACTTACTAAAATCTTTGAGAAAAACGACACTTTTCTGTTTTTTGTTTTTTTTTGTTTCCAGTTAAGCCGAAAACAGTAAACTGATTTGGCTCAAATGTTTGGCACCTTACGTAGCTACTATTTAGTGTTTACTTAAAAAATCTGTAATCTAAGAAAAAAATTTGCATAATATCTTTTTCTTTTAAATATATATAATAAAGCTCTTTGCTCAACTAAACATTTATATGTTAGCTATAGCTGGCCAAACTGCTGGAACAAATTGACTGACATTTTAAAGAAACCCATGGATACCCTGCACTGGGGGAAACAAAGCTACAATTGATTTTTTTTTAAATTTCATATTTTCCCCAACGCAGGGCACTTCAGCTAGTTATTATTATTATTATAATGCACAAAGAGGAAATGTTTACAGAGATAAAAGAACAAATAAAAGGTTAGAAAAATAACTAGAGAAAGGGCATAAATAGTCTAGAAACAATAATAATATAAAATCATTATTATTTTTTCCCGTTTTCTAAATAATCTGTCAATTGATTGCAAATTGGTTTGATGGTGGTTTCTTTTATATGGGTCTTTAGGTTTGATATGGTGGTTTCTCCTAAAAGGGTCTTTTTAGCAGAGGGTATTAGATAGTAACTATACACTATTATATATTAGAGATGAGAAAATTCCTCACTTGTTCGGTGACACCCTCTGTATGGATATTAGCGTTAGATCAGAGCATGATCTTTTACTTATCCCCACGTATTGATATTCTATATCACCCTGTATGGACATTCTATAACACCCTGTATTGATCTTCTGCTTCAACCTGTACGGATATTCTGTATCACCCTGTATGGATATTCTATATCACCCTATATGGATTTTCTATATCACCGTGTATAGCTATTGGCTATTGTATATCACCCTGCGGGATATTCTATATCACCTTGTATGGATATTCTCTATCACCCTGTATGGATATTCTATATCATCCTGTATGGATATTCTCTATCACCCTGTGTGGATATTCTCTATCACCCTGTATGGATATTCTCTATCACCCTGTATGAATAAAAGTTCACCTGGAAGTGTTTTACATAATCTCTCTGCATACAGAACAATATTATCATGAAGGAATCTGAAAAAAAAACACATAAATATCTATCAAATCGAAACAATTTGAAGAAAAAATGCATGAGTACTTTCTACCAAAGATGATACACCAGCTAAGCCCCAGATATTTGTCAACAAAAAAGTGTACTGCAAATATCTGGGAGAAATATAAACAAAACTTAGACTTATTTTGTTTACATTGCTCCCAGAAACTGTAAGAAATGTAAACAAAGATATGGTGGTTCCTCGTGTATCTTCCTTGCAAGCAACAATGAAAAGTTGACCTTGAGTTTGTATTGAGGATTCCCATCTGCTTCTGACCGGCAGCAACTACTCGAGGGTGACAGTGACCCACGTGGGCCACATTGTTTATACAATCAAGATGGGGTTCATTCTTCTCATTGTACAAATATACTCCTTCCCCTCGTACAATCTTTAGAGGATCCTGCCTAAACATGTATATTGTACTGTACTGCAGCACTGAACTGTACTGTACTGTACTTGTACGTGTAGTGTACTGTAGTGTAATGTACCTGCACTGTATTATACATGTACTGTTTTGTACCTGTACTGTATTGTATCCGTACAGCTGCACTGCACTTTTAGGAAAATAATGAATTTTTTGTCTTCATTTAATTCAAGTGTGTAAACGGATATTATTATGAAAATTATTTTACTCTGAAAACTTTGGCTAATTTGAAGTGCACGGGCCGGCTACGCACAGCAAAACAGAACCGTACAACAAAGGAATCATCTCCGTTTTGCAAGATGATAATTGTACCTGAAGAATAGTTTACAAGAAGGCCCGATATGTTTTCTTCTAAGACTGACAGTTTCTTCTTTGGATAAATCTGATTCCTAAATAAAGATAATAAAATATATACAGGGTGTCCCACGAAACATGACAGTTGCTGAATATTTTAAAATGTCTTCTTCCATAATTTGTTAATTTGTTTGATACCAAAGAAAATAATGGTAAACTTTATACGGCAGTTTTATTATAGTAAAATCGATCCCAGATTAAGATTTATAGGAGTGAAAAATTTTGTTACCGAACTAAACTGCAAAAAGTCTTTAAATCTAGTCCAGTATTTGGAAGACGATATTCTAAACTATTCATCAACTGTCATGTTTCTTGGGACACCCTGTATATATTTATTCTGAAATCCATTTTTTGTTTGTTTTCAATCTCGGAATCCATAATTTAATGCAAACCTCTTTAATATCCCGCGGTCGTCATATACCCTAATTTGAAAACTTTAATTGATTTAAATAATCTAAGAAAATGCTAGAAAAAATGTAAACATATGAAGTCCCCTTCATTGGGAAATATATAGAACTAGATAATAATCACAATCATGGTTGTGGGTTTTAGTTCAACGTGTGGATTAAAACAAAAATTCGAATTTTGAAAATTATTTTTTTTAAATGTATTTTATAAAAGGGAAAGTGTTCGCGGTTAAAGAAACTGCAGTAAACGTAATTTCAAGTGACCCTCCATTGATGGTGTGGCATGTCCGATTCACAACAGTTACGTTTAAAGCTTCGTCTGATCAAGTATGAATTAGATATTAATAAGTTTTTAAACTGCTCATTTTCATTTGTCGTTTTTTGTTCGCAAAAGTGACTTGCGAAATTCTTGCATCGAAACAGCGGAAAAATTATCAGAATCAAACACTTTACAAACCGGAAAACGAATTTTCATCCACATTCATTATTAGATTTAAGTTTAAAGGGAACCGGTGTTAAAATTACGACGACAGTCCCTTTTATTCTATCTGTATAATAAAACAAGACATTCGTATATATGTTCCCAGTAGCCGGACAAACAGCTGGACCGAATGGGCTGAATTTTTTTTGAGAAAACCCACGGGTGCCCCGAAGGCAACACAAGGTAATAAAAATTCGAATTTTCTTTCTTAAAAAATTTTAAGTTTTATTATTAATCGAAATTTTTTACTTTCAACATTTAAATTTGGTTTTTCAATGGGCAAGGCCGGGCACTTCAGTTAATAAGAATAATAAAAATAGAAACCGAGATAAATACAATAATAACAACCTCAGAGGCTGAATTATGATGCTGAGGATTATCTTGATCTTCTCCCATTTTTATGCGATTAAATCTGAAAACAAAAAAGCTTCAATTTAAATAAAAACGGGTTATTTCTTGATTTAAATAAAAACCTGTAGAAAAATATCAATAATTATGATGGTAATATGTAATAGTCAAAATCCTGATTTTTACTAAATGTATTTAATTTTTATCGTCAAACATGAAGTTAACCTTGCCCTTTTAATGTTTGAGTTGAACTGAGAATGAATAAATCAGCTAATATCTTTCTCTCCAATATTCGACTGTGATTATAGGGTTGGGGCCTCAGGGTAGGGAATGGGGGGGGGGGTTAATGTGAAAATAAATAACCGTGTCATACATGTGATATCTAGTTAAATCTTGATGTTGGAAAATCATGGAGCTCAGCACCATTTTTTTATACATGCAAAGAGTGTGTATATTTTGTTATGAAGTCATGAGATACCCTGCAGTGAAAAGTAAAATTAATGGATCAATCATTGAGCCTCAAATTGGATATCGAGATCAAGCGTTTAAAATCTATAATACTCCGTTCAAAAATTTCTAACACTGAGTTTTGAAGATTTTCCTGTTTTTATTAATTAGTACATTTTCTAAATTTTCAGAAATCAGTTATTTAAAGGCGCACTGTTCTGTAGTAAACAAGTTGCTAGGACGCCCTAAATTTTCTAATTCGGTTAAAAATAACAAATCTTCTAAGCGATTGTGAATTTATTATTGTTCTTCTTCTTATATATATATATAAACATTTTCGCCGACCAATTTTATACAACGTTCCATGGTTGGGGCCATAGAAAAAAAAGTTTCATTCTGAAAGTATTTACGTTTTGATGACAGCAAAACACATAAAATTGCTCAATGTCGTCTTCCTATTCCGCGGTTTATGGAGCCAACTATAGATAATCATGTTTAAAAAAATAGTTTTAACTGGTTACAAACGAAGTGTTTAAAGACCGAAAAATTATTCTGTAACAATTAGCCCCCGAACTATTTCCATTAATTGTACTTCTAATTAAAATACAGACAAAGTAAAAATTGTATCAAATAACACTGAGTGACTAAGCAAACTATACCTTAGTAAAATGCAAATAAGATCAGTTTTGTAAATTATTTATATTTACAAAAAAGCTTACATACATTGCAAAATTAAAACGTAAGCGTTTATTTTAACAGATTTGAGTTTTCTATGAAATCATACAGGGTTACCCAGAAAAATGAGACTCGAAACTTTTTCGATTTGTTCTATTTGTTACAACGGTTTTTGATATTTTTTTTTGAATTAGTCACTTTCTTGAGGAAACCACAGTCTCAGGTTAATTTTACAATATCGATATTGTAAACAAAGGTTGAGAAAGTTGCAATGAAAAAAACTTGTTTAAGTAACCTATATAAATGGAGATTAATCACTTTTGCAAAACAAAATAACTTGGTAAAGTAACATAAGAATGGAGATTAATCACTTTTGCAAAACAAAATAACTTGGTGAAGTAACATAAGAATGGAGATTAATCACTTTTGCAAAACGAAATAACTTGGTGAAGTAACATCAGAATGGAGATTAATCACTTTAGAATAATCGATAAAAGTTCCCTTAAGTTCAGTGGTTTTATTTAGATTGAATGTAAGGATATCTAGAGTTTACTGACAAACTCCCTTGTTTTGGTTTCAGACTTTCTCTTCATATTCAGGAGAAAGCAGAAACTTTCTCCTAACATATCACATTTTCTGATATTATATAATCATTCATATAATTCCAGCTTCAAATCTTAAACCCTACTATACTCTATCCTAATTCTTAAAAAAATGTTCTATATCCTGAAAAAAAAAATTATCTTTTCGAAAAGCTTCAAGTCGCAAGGGGGAAAAACTGTTGCAAAATTTTAAATCTGAAACATCTTAGTTCCTCAAAAAACTTTTAATAATTTCTATCGGGAAAAAATCAAATGAATTTTTTCTTCATCGTTTTTAATAAAAAATAAGTATTTTTATTTCACCCCACGAAAAACCTGATATAGATAATTGGGGACATAATTTAATTTAGGAAAGTATATAAAAAGTAATAAAAGAAGCTTGGAAGTGTACGTCCCAGATATAATATTATCATCTAGGGTACCCAGCTCAATGGCTTCAGGAAAAGGATTTTTCTTAATCTCGAGATTAAATAATGCTTGTTCTCCTCTTGTTTTTAACCTCCAGAAATTAATTAACCGATCGGGATTAAGGACATTTCATTCTAAAGCTTTCCGCTCAGAACGTATTTTGTCTAGAACTGTTTTCAATAAATATATCACATGTGGTATTTATCTTATTTAAACTGATTTATCTTGTTTTTAATAAATCAATATATTGTTGACCAGATTTTAAAAACTGGATTCAAGCCTCCAGAAAAAAAACAATTCGACATTTTTGTAAAAAATATATATATATATATCAAATACATAATATCAAGTAAAATCATCACATTTTTTTAGTTTTAACAAAAACATTTTAGATATATTTTAATGACAGAAAGAATAACTATTAAGTGAGTCAAGAAAATCATTCATTATTCAACATTTTTTAAATAAACAAATTGCATATGTGCAGTTTTAAATTCATAATATGGCTTAGTTTCATATGTATAATTCTAAATAAATACAAATAATCGTTTAAAAGCAAGAGCGTGTAATTATTTACGCTAATTTAAAATATGTAGTCGTCTTCATATTAAAATTCTATTATAACCCTTAAAAAGGTTTTACACTTTATTTAATGATTAAAAAACATAATAAGGATGAGCAATAGTAAGTGAATAGAGATCGTTAAAAACGATAAAAAATAAGAAAAAGCATTGCTTCTCTAATACTAACTCGCCATAAATTGTAAATTCTACAACCATTAAAAACTAGTGTCAGGCTTATAATGCCTTTTTTAGTTGGCAATTCATCTTGAAAGATGGTTTTTAGTTTTTAGTTTTTAATTTTAAAAAGCTAAAAAACTAAAAGATTAAAATTATAAGGAATTGAGGCTTCGCCACAAACACGAATTTTTAATTCCTATATCTTTTTAATCTGATGGTGTACACTTTCGAACTATATTTAATTATATATCTTTGGATCTCGATGTCCCAAACTTATGATATTTCAAACTACAAACTCAGTTGGAGGAAATAAGTTTTAAATTTAACTGGTTTACGCCGATAGGTTGCAAAATAAAGGAACTAGAAAATTTAAGTTTGTGACAAAAATTCAGTTTCTTTATATTAAAAACAGGCCCACTTTAGTTTATAAATTGTGTTTAATGCAATCGGTAAAACTATTTGATTTACAACATCAATTACTCATAATATTGCCTAAATAAAGTCGTCCAATTAGACAGTTTTATTGGTCTCGCTGTATCAAAATTGACCGGAGACATTCGAACATTCAATCTTTACAAAGGAGTTTTTCTACAAAATTAATTTTCTAATCCCTTTATCTTTACCTGCAATCCATTGCTTACTTTATCTAACAGAATTCTTGGTTTGAAATATCTAAGGCTTACAAAATTTGGGTTGCAAAGATATAGGCATTAAAAAATAAGAGTTAGTGGCAACACACAGAATCCTGTAATTGACTGGAGATAGTATTGCTCGCTAGTGATTTGTTACAGAAAACAACTGTACAAAAAGGAATTACTTTGATGTTTTACTGGTTTACCGGGGGAAAAGATACACTTCTGCCTGTAATAAACTATTCAACATGAAGATTTGAAAACCTATATCGAGAGAAACATGTAATATCCAGGTTTAAAACTCTCCTCCAAAGAATTATTGTAAGCACTAGCTCCCCGGCGCGCATGCCCCCTAGTAATGTGCTTACTCCGTAAGATTGGTATTGGTAGTATACCAGAAATCCTTGCTGTATACAAGACAGGAGAAGGAGAACTTGGTAAACTTTAATCTGATAATTCTTTACTCCGTTCTCTTCTAAACTCTTAAATCTTGCAAGAACTAGACCGGAGAGAAGAATTGTAACGGGCAGATGAACTATTGCAAGATGAACAGTTGCAAACAACCATGTTGTTGTTGTTGGAAGGTAAGTTAACCCTGTCTCGGTCCAGAACAGGGTTCCCCAGGTGAATATTATCCCGTAGCTGCTGGTCATCATCTCCCCGATACACCAGGGTCCAGCTGCCAGGTAGATAGGGTAGAGGATGAGGGGGAAATAGATACCGTCTAGAGAGGAGAGAAGGTAGAACCTGGTGAGGATACAGGACTTGTCCTGGAGGTGGGAGCTCAGGGTCGTCCTACATAATGCCAGGGGGAGGGTACATATACAGAAGGTGACCAGGAATAAGAACTGGAATACTGAGGTCAGGTTGAGAAGGATGAATAATCTGCTCAGGATTGGGAGAGAAGAATATCCTTGTCCTGTCACGGAGAACTGATGTTTATGAATAGATATCTCTCCGTCTTCATGAACAATCTAAAAAGATGTGTTATATTTAAATTATTTAAAGGGACTGTAAGCGTTATTTCAAGTGTCCTTCCATGCAAAGATAACAATGTCTGATTCACAATGAAACCCTTGAAACCTTTACGTCCCATTCCAACTCAGGTTCTAGAAAATTCCCTGTAAGAAACGTATAATTGCTTCTGATCTGTTTTATTCTAATTTGTTCTATTAAAAAATGATTCTGATCCAGCTCATGAATATTTTTAAATAATATAAGATCTTATACAAACACAATTAACGAAATGTTTTTCCTTTTGAGTGTTATTCTTTTCTTATTAAAACTTGGATTATTTATCAGAGAAGGAAGTTATTTTGGGAAATGATTCACTGAAGTTGGTAAAAAGAATTCTTTTTGAAATAAAAATTTATTTTCCTTTTTTTGTGATATTTAACCACTCGGATCCGGATCTCTAGATAAATTGTTGCTGATCCGGCTCCAAAGAGCTGAATTGTTACGCATCCGGATCCTAAGGAATAATAAACAAAACGAATGCGTCACCTTGACATTGATGGTGTGTATTTTATTGTATTTGTCCTGGTTCCAGGCCAGGGTGTACAGGTTGGATAATGATTTATCCTGAACACTTCTCTCCTCCGATCCCTCGTCTATTGTGACTAGGACCTCGGAGACAGGTTTAAGGGAGAACATGAGAAGTCGGATATGAGAGGATTTCCGGAATTTAGTTTCGTGACCCAACCTGAAAATAGTAAACGTTCTAATCTCAACCCCGGTTCTTGCTAGGAATACAAAAAACGGGATACAGCTATAGCTAACTAATCTTTGATCAGAAAAAAGTTTAAGTTTAAAAGTTTAAATGATGCGTTGTAAATGCGTTTGTCACTTGCAATTTCATCTCCAGTATTTTTAAAGAAAAAAAGACTACTCAAATAAAACAAGTTATAAACAATTTTTCTGGTTTAACTCGATTTTAATGCATAAGAAGTCTCTTACAATTGGACTCCGCAAAACATTACGTATTATGAGGTGATGGAAGTAAGTTTTATAGAAATATTATCTGCAATCATTAAAAGATATTACAAAGGAATTAAATCTTTGCCACAAACTCAATATTTGAAGTCACCATACCTTTAATAGATGATTGTAAAAACCTAAAATATTTCAAACTTATAATATTTGGTCTAACATAATTCATTGTTTGAAATTTCTGAGGTGTACGACAGAATATTAGTGTTTGAGGCAAAGACTTAAATCTCTTTTGCCTACTCTTTTTATAAGCTCTCTATCCTTCTGTTTGATTTCAGCTCTCTCTCTCTCTTCTCTCTTAGTTCAAAGATATATACGTACCTGGGAGGCCAGGTGACCAGCACAACAGGCCAGCTACCATGCTTCCAGTCCGTGTAGGTCAACCTTCCGTTATCAACAGCTAGCAGTCGAACCATCCTAGCATCCTTCCAATCCTCAAGCTCAGCCTCAACCAAACCTATCAATACCAAACCTATTAATACAAAACCTATCAATACCAAACATATCAATTCCAATCATAACAATACTTAACCTATTAATACTAAACCTATCAATAATAAACCTATCAAAACCAAACCTATCAATACCAAACCTATTAATTCCAAACCTATCAATACTAAACCTATCAATTCCAAACCTATCAATACCAAACCTATCAATATTAAACCTATCAATACTAAACCTATCAATACTAAACCTATCAATAATAAACCTATCAATACCAAACCTATCAATACCAAACCTATCAATACTAAACCTATCAATACCAAACCTATCAATACCAAACCTATCAATACTAAACCTATCAATACCATACCTATCAATACCAAACCTATCAATACTAAACCTATCAATACTAAACCTATCAATACCAAACCTATCAATACCAAACCTAACAATACTAAACCTATCAATATCAAACCTATCAAAACTAAACCTATCAATACTAAACCTATCAATACCAAACCTATCAATACTAATCCTACAAATACCAAACATCACAACAGTACCTTTAAACCTTTGATTGATCAAGGATGGCGGAGCTATCCTTATTTCATCCACAGAACGCTTGTAATAGTTTTTTATTATTCATAGCTGTTTAACGTTTTTCAAATAATATACTTCATTTTCTGGGAGTGACAGAAAATTCAAAGAAATTGAGTCTTTGCCACAAACTCTGATTTTCTAATTCCTGTATCTTTCAAACCCAATGTCGTAAACATTAGATATTTTAAACTCTGAATTCAGTTAGATCAATTAATCTAATCTTGAAATTTCAGAGATTTACACTATCAGGTAGCAAAAATATAAGGAGGAGAAAATTTTCGCTTTAAAAAAACTTTTAAAAAACCGCGTTGGACACGTACAGAATATTTGGGATTTTCGTCAAGTTCACACTCAAATTTCCCAGTATAGTTAGCAGAAACATAATTTTTAGTCTGAAAATAATTAACCACCGTCGATGATTATATAAAGGTTTAAAGGGTACAGTTGTGAATCGTTCTGACCACTTTACAAGTGGAGGATCGCTGAAATCAGGAGAAATTATGGAAAAACCTGAGCTATGTACACCGTACATGTCCCTGGCAGTACCGTACACAGAATGGAGATGACCAGCTAGGTAAACAAGTCCTGATCTCGCAATATCACGCAATCCTGCTTATCCATATCACACTCATTATCATTTTTAAATTTTGGACAATAATAATAAATTAATCTTTCCATTACTTCCCTTCTGAAAAATAATTATTTCCCACTCAAAATTTTTCGTATTTCAGGGAAAATAAAAGTTTTATTTAAACCAAAACAAATTTCGTCCATAATTTACATGTTTTTCACTTCAGTTATCAATATATTTTATCTACAATGGTCGGCGTTTATATCAATACAATGAAGACGACCTCTTGTTAAAAATGCCCCTCTGATCCAGTTGAATTGTAACAGTGTGTATCCCTGTATTTGAATATATTAAAGATGAAGTAGGATAATGACCAAACCAAACAATATTAGGGGTCCACGCCTCTGCCCTATAACAAGGAAAACATTCAACTTTTAAATCAAAATATTAAAATAGTTCAAATAGAAAAAGTGATTGATCGTTGACTATAAAGTGTTAGGGTGTGTGAAGAACTAGTGTTAACACGGGAATGGAGTAACGCTTACACTTATAGGTCGTCTTCTGCCTTTTCTTGTTTTAAATTAACTGCTAACTAATCTATTGATTATAGGTCGTTAGGACTAAATGAATTCTAAATTCATATAAATAAACCTTGAAGATGAATTCTACTTTTGTGTCTAAAAAAATCAAACCTTCGCAAACGAAGCAAAAGGAATTGATTCTTTGACACAAACTCTGATTTTCTAATCCCTATACTTTTTCAACCTAATGTCGTAGACAGGCGCGTAATGGAGGTTTAGCCTATGGGCTTTTTGTGCACCCCCCTAACGGTTGATGTGCATCCCCTAAAAAACCTGTATTAAGAAAAAATAAAGTTTGAAATCTATATTAATCTACCTGACTGCTGACTATTAGTCATTTGACCATAATTACCAATCATTTTAAATGAAACCCCGCGAAAAAAATATTGTAAATAAGATCAAGATACAAGAAAGAATTTGAGTAATAATCATAAAATTGGACAAATTGTGATATTGTCGATTAACAAGAAAAGTAAAAAATCTGAATATATGTAAGTATCTGAGCAAATGTAAGTTTACTGTTTAATAAATTAGAGACTGCCTCTGGCTCTAAAAGGGGGGCCTAGGGGGGTGCATGTCTACGCACCTGGTCGTAAACTTTAGATAGGTCTAACTATTATCTCTGTTAGATCAAATATAAAAGTTGAAATATTATAGGTTTGCACCATCAGGTTGTTTAGATATAGGGACGAGAAAATTTAAGTTTGTGGCAAAGTCTCAATTCCTTTAATCTTTATTTAACAAGTACAACAAAAAATACAAAACATATCAACTTAAAAATATTCACCTTTGACGAAGAACTTGTAGATCCTTAATATCAGTCTGGTTGAGATGTCCAATAAAATTAAATGGAGCTCTGAACCCGTATTTAGGAGTTTCATCTACTCCTAAATATATAAAGATGAATGGAGTCCTGTGTTCTACTTCTAAATATAAAAATAAATGGATTCCGAACCCGTATCTAGGGTTTAACATCTACTCCTAAATAAAGAGATAAATGGAGTCCTGAACCCATAGGGTTTCATCTACTCCTAAATATAAAGATGAATAGAGTCCTCAACCCGTATCTAGGGTTTCATCTACTCCTAAATTTATAAAGATGAATAGAGTCCTGTCATCTACTCCTAAAAATAAAGATAAATGGAATCCTATCATCTATTCCTAAATATGATATGATATGATTATAGTCCTGTCATCTACTCCTAATATAAATAAAGATGAATGGAGTCCCGTCATCTACTCCTAAATATAAGGATGAATGGAGTCCTGACCTAAATATAAAGATTAATGGAGTCATGAACCCGTATCTAGTCGTTTCATTTCCTAAATAATCCTTGAAAATAAGTTCTCTTGTAAAAAAAATCCGCATGACAATTACAAAGGATTTAAAACGTTTGTGAACCATATTTTGAATATAATAATCTTTACTTTTATTGTACTACTACTTAGCAACTAATTCGCCCTCTAGCAATATTCTAATTATGCTAAATACATGAATAAAAGTTATTAACTAAGGTCTAACCAATGAAAGCTAGTTTAACTCCTCTATTCTCCAGAAGATAGAGATAATGTCGACCCTGCCAAACCAAACCAGTTCTACCAGCTTCTTCTCGGTACTTTAAGTAATGATCCTGCAACATTGATCATTGATCATTCAGTTAGGAAATGTTAAAAAAATAATAATCATTTAACAATTGATTGATCCAAAAATATGAATGATTCATAACTTTTGGTTAATGAATGATTAAGGATTATTAGATAAGTATCGTTAAATGATCAAGTATAAAAATGATCACTGATTGATAACAAATTATAAATTTACCGACTCTGCTCTGACCAACACATCGAACCTATCATGGTTTCCCGGCACCTCGAGCCATATATTCGTTTTCTGAGCCTGCTCAACCACCATTCTTAAAGTTGATATTAGTAATTCCAGGAACTAAGAGTAGTCGAAAAAGGACTGAGTGTCATTTCTGATTCACAACGGTACCTTTGAAAGCTTTGTCTGACCTAGCTCTGGTTATTGATTAGATGTTATAGCCATTTCTTTTATTTTAAACTGATTATTTTCCTTTGTGTTATCTTTGATAAATCGACTTGCGCATTTCTCGCTTCCAAAAAAATGCCAAAAATTAATTGAACATTTTTAAAGCTAGAAAACTGACTTTATCTTTCAGATTATTAAACAGATGAGGGGTTCAAGGGTATCTTTATGAATCGGTTATGCCTTCTTTAGATTGATGGTCACTCGAAATTATGTCTTCAGATCTATTAATCCCGTAAATTTGTACGCAAAAATTCAGTTGGTCCATTTTTTCATTTTGATCTGAGATTGCATTACAGTATTGGAAAGGAAAAAATATCCATAGTCCTTGAACCTATTTTAGTGATACAGAGTTAACGTGAGCTTCTCTTGGTTAAACCAATTGTTTAAAATACATCAAATGAGAAAGTGGCCTTAAACTTAAAGGGACTATATAGAATTACTACCCGTGAACAACGACTTTTCTCCAGTTCCGTAAAAGTTTAAATAATCTTCTACCTGTACATATCCCATTCTTTCACTGATTGTTTGCTACTCAGCATGTTTTCTGATTTCGCATCCGTCAGATCTCCTGATCAATTAAAGCTGTTAATTTTATGGGTGAAATCAGAAGTATATTTTTTAAATTTGCCCTCTCGCAAACAAATGTTTGACGAGGGGGAATGCTTGTTAGTATTATACTTTTTTTCTTAACTTTGTTACTTCTTAGTGTTAGGATGGGGGAAACTTATTTCTGAAGAAAATATACATAAACGTGAAATTGAAATACAACTTCTGTGATTAAAAAGAAAATGGCCTAGCTGTAACAACAACAGCTGCTGGAATAAGAATGTGTAAGGATGTATCTGTAATAAAATGGTCTACCTGTTACAACTACGGCTGCTGGATTAGAATATATAAGGATATATCTGTAAGAAAATGGTTTACCTGTAACAATTACAGCTGCTGGATTAAGAATGTGTAAGGATATACCTGTAAGAAAATGGTCTACCTGTTACAACTACGGCTGCTGGAATAAGAATGTGTAAGGATGTATCTGTAATAAAATGGTCTAGCTGTAACAACAACAGCTGCTGGAATAAGAATGTGTAAGGATATACCTGTAAGAAAATGGTCTACCTGTAACAACTACAGCTGCTGGATTAAGAATGTGTAAGGATATACCTGCAAGAAAATGGTCTACCTGTAACAACTACAGCTGCTGGATTAAGAATGTTTAAGGATATATCTGTAAACTCTAGAAGCTGATCAACTCTTCCAATATCCTTGAACTGGGAGATATGAAGATCACTCAGTTGAACAAACCAACTCAGGTTTTCCGAATCAGATGACACAAAACTGAACATAGTACGTAGTAAATTAATTTAAAGGGACTGTAAGCGTATTTTGAAGTGACCCCCATGCAAAGATGGCAATGCCTGATTCACCACGATACCATTCAGAAGTATCAGGAGGAGGATTAAAACCTTTATCTCATCAATAATGTTGAAGACGATGTCGTTTTTCTAGGGTATAGAGTGCTTAGTTCTGATAATTTCTATGTTTTCCTGCAGTAAATATGTGCAGGCCACTTTTGTAGAGAAACTACATTTGAACTAAAGCCGTTTTTAAAATGATAAACATTGAAATCTATTTTACTTGATCAGACAAACATTAAAGGGATACTATCGGGCATTGCCATCTTTGCAATCCCTTTTATCCTTATTTTATTATCTAATATTAAACATTGAAATAAAGAGATTGTGAACGTAATCTAAGTGCGACTTATCACAATTCTTTCTAACACCATTATCCCCAAACATATTACGTAAAACATATAAGGCTTGATAAATGTTCAGTACTATAATGTCAAATCTGCATTTTGGATTTAATGGAATAGCTAATAAAAGTTCTTAAAATGTGATTTACTTAATTTTTATTTTCAATTAATTTGCTTGATTTTCAATGAATTTAACGAAATAACTTGGTAAAGTAACATAAGAATGGAGATTAATCACTTTTGCAAAACAAAATAACTTGGTGAAGTAACAT